AAATAACTATCTGGTTTAGTACCGTCAGACTAATCTTTGTTTATATTAACCTTCCCACAGTTAAAAAAAAATAAAAAAAAAATACAAAAATAAATACTTATGGGTAAACTAAATTAATATAGTTAAATGAACTATTCCTTTTTTTCTGTGTAGGTGCACTTTTCAAATATTTTTAGATAAACAGCGTTTTGGTGTTTGCTGTATATAACATTTTCAACCATAATTCATGGTGTTATATTAACACCACTTGGTGTTGGATTTTGACACCTTTTTAAGATTACTCTTTACACCACAGATATTTTAAACAGTGTAGCGATACTTCTTTAGCGTATAGCTAGGTATTTCTAAATGAGATACCTCCGAGTTGGAAATTGAATTGTAAAACAATGATTTCTTAGTTTGAGGTCACGGCGCTACTTTGAATAGAATGCCTTTGCCGCATCTGTGGCTTACTTGCCAGGTTAAACCAAACTAATTATACCGTAGTCGAGGCAATGCTTCCTTTTGCTGACAAAGGCACGCCCGCCTAAAACCGCACAAGACAGCCCGACAAATATTCGATTCAATTTTCCCAACAAGAAACAAGAAATTTCTTATTATGTTGTCAATAGATAATTAATTAATAGCCATTCATTTTTTATTTGTATTTGTGTTCTTTTATAAAGGAATTTTGGTAATTTTATTATTTTCTCTTTTTTTTTAAGGAGTTGCATACTATACGAGGTGTGTTCAGAAAATATCGGGAATTTTCGTTTTTTGAAACAAATATTTATTTATTCGTCTACATTAATGTTGTCGCCTTCAAAATAGTCCCCATTGGATATTATGCACATGTGCCAGCTCTTCTTCCAATACTCGAAACACTCCTAAAACTCGATCTTTGGGATAGCCTTTAGTTCTTTCAGCGATGCGCTTTTAATGTCATCTATGCTTGCAAAAGGACGGCCCTTTAAGGTTCTCTTTATTTTTGGGAATAGGAAAAAGTCAGACAGAGGCATGTCTGGCGAATATGGAGGCTGGGGCATCATTACAGTATTGTTTTTGGCCAAAAATTTTGTTCAAAGTTTAACAATTTTAGAACAAATTTAGCTGCCACGCGTTTCATAACCAAAACATTCGAAAAAATTTCATGGGATGAGCCAATCGATATACCAACATCATCAGCGACTTCTCAGATGGTTTATAACCATTTCTTCCACTTTTTCCATGTTTTTATCGGTTGTTAATGTGCTTGTGCGTTCGGAGCGTTCGTCATCTTCAACGTCTTCACGGCCATCTTGGAAACTCTTATACCACTTGTAAACTCTTGTTTTACTTATAGCAGACTCACTATAGGCCTTTGTTAACATTTCACAGAATTTATTTAATTTTTTAAGCAAAATTGGATTCAAATTCTTTGGATCCATTTCTTTTAACGAACGAAAAATCGCCGAGCTCATAAAACACGTTTAACCTTAGCGGCTGCCACAGACAAAGTAAACAATGAAAACAGCTAAAGTTTTTATCATACTTCGGGGGCATGTATACCAATATAATAAAGAAAATTTTATGACAACCGGACCCTCCGAACCCGCGAAATTTAACAATTCCCGTTTACATGGTGTGGACACCTCGTACTTTATCTATTTTACGTTCATAATGACTTCATTATATCACCGCTTTCGGTGCTGTAATGAGATACTTTATTCACTCAAAATTTTGATTTTATAGGTTGGCTATACTTTAAACAGCATAATAGTTTGCATATTGGTTATAATATTTTTATGATTTTTCTAGTACTTACGAGACTTTTCTGGCAATAAATTTTGCAGCCGCTTATTGTAAATAAGTAAATTAAGGACGGCATGGCGAATCGATTTTGACAGTAACTGTCAAACCAATGACTGTAATACCAACTATCTAAATTAAAAAATGACGTCTTATGACAAGTGTTATTTGACAATTGTCAAAATTTGCCTTAATCCGGCCCTGTAAATTACTTAAACTTAATTATGTTTACCAAAGTTTAGGCAGCAAATATTAATGTTTTTACAGGATTTCCTTATGTTCTGTTTACAGGGCGTTGACAGACACATTTTTACTAGATTTTTGCAATTGGTTTTACTTAGTTGAGTTGAACATGTTCTCGTTAAAGCAACTCAATTCAAAACTATTACTAGTTTTAATAATTATTGTGCTTACTGCCTTGTTATGTTACATTTCTTCAAGAGATAATAGGAAACCTCATATTAATAGCAAAAATAATGTGTGAGTATCTACATAAATAATTTATATTTTTTGTGAAAAAAATGTAAGTTTATTGCAGCAAGTACCTACTGGAAAGCATAATTATTCGGGAATATAAAGAAGTAAAATAAAAAGGTAAATATTAAATTAACTATATTATCAATAATAGAAATTGGTGTGAGAGACAATCCATATGAAAACGCCGAAACTCGTTGCTCGACCATATTGGATTTTGCTCAAATTTTATAGAAATATTCATTAGGGTCCCAAAGCACAAAATTCCCCCTTATTTATTTTTTCGCATGTGTCAAAACCGACCTAATCGAATTAAAACTTTTTAAAACCGTCATTTTTATGCTTTAATAATTTAAGCTGTAATTTTTTTTCTATTAAAGATAGTTTTAATTTTAAGATGTCATTTTAAAGCTAAAAAATAGGAGTTTTTATAAAAAAAAATATAAATTCATTCAATCAATATTTCTAAATAATTATATTATATATTATATTATTACAGATTATTTCCCTCATTATAATATGAACCAATCAAAAGCCTTGAATTTTCGAATAAATTTCGTTTAAATAAGCGATTAAATCACTAGAACTATTTAACAGCGATTAAATTTTAGCCTCCATATTGGATTTTTGTTTACGATTTTATGGTGTTATTTACAAGTTTTAACAAACATTTTTTAAAAAAACAATAAAAAATAAGTTATCCAGTTTACGAAATATCAATTATTACTTATTACATACCTACCTTAAATTAATGGAATTTTCTTTAAAAAAATATTTATAAACTTTGACACATAGGTACGTCAGATTTTATGAATGGTCAAATAGTTTCCTTTAATTCGAGAAATAATCTAGACGTACTAGGTACCTATATCACTCAACCTATAAATTTAATCAAACTATGCTCAGTAAGTTTTTTATTTTATTTTTCTTTTTGGAAAATAGTTTCATGCAAAATAATTAAAAATAAAATAAATAAATAAATAATATTAAATTATTTTGCATTCAATATTTTCCAAAAAAAACCAAACAAAAAACTACTGAGCCTAGTTTAACCGATTAAATTCATAGTTCTCATGATATAATATATGATTATTTCCCTCATTATAATATGAACCAATCAAAAGGCTTAAATTTTCGAATAAATTTCGTTTAAATAAGCGATTAAATCACTAGAACTATTTAACAGCGATTAAATTTTAGCCTCCATATTGGATTTTTGTTTAAGATTATATGGTGTTATTTACAAGTTTTAACAAACATTTTTTAAAAAACAATAAAAAATAAGTTATCCAGTTTACGAAATATCAATTATTACTTATTACATACCTACCTTAAATTAATGGAATTTTCTTTAAAAAAATATTTATAAACTTTGACACATACGTCAGATTTTATGAATGGTCAAATAGTTTCCTTTAATTCGAGAAATAATCTAGACGTATATCACTCAACCTATAAATTTAATCTGTCAAACTATGCTCAGTAAGTTTTTTATTTTATTTTTCTTTTTGGAAAATAGTTTCATGCAAAATAATTAAAAATAAAATAAATAAATAAATAATATTAAATTATTTTGCATTCAACATTTTCCAAGAAAAACCAAACAAAAAACTACTGAGCCTAGTTTAACCGATTGAATTCATAGTTCTCATGATATAATATATGATTATTTCCCTCATTATAATATGAACCAATCAAAAGCCTTGAATTTTCGAATAAATTTCGTTTAAATAAGCGATTAAATCACTAGAACTATTTAACAGCGATTAAATTTTAGCCTCCATATTGGATTTTTGTTTACGATTTTATGGTGTTATTTACAAGTTTTAACAAACATTTTTTAAAAAACAATAAAAAATAAGTAAGTTATCTAGTTTACGAAATATTAATTATTACTTATTACATAGGTACCTTAAATTAATGGAATTTTCTTTAAAAAAATATTTATAAATTTTGACACATACGTCAGATTTTATGAATTGTCAAATAGTTTCCTTTAATTCGAGAAATAATCTAGACGTATATCACTCAACCTATAAATTTAATCTGTCAAACTATGCTCAGTAAGTTTTTTATTTGATTTTTCTTTTTGGAAAATAGTTTCATGCAAAATAATTAAAAATAAAACCCCTCGACCGCTACGCGGTCTCGTGATTTTATTAAATTATTTTGCATTCAACATTTTCCAAGAAAAACCAAACAAAAAACTACTGAGCCTAGTTTAACCGATTTATAGTTCTCGTGATATAATAACTAACTTCTAGCCGGTGCCCCAACATCGATCCCGACTGGACAAAGAATTTATTATATATTATACAATGCATCATTATCATTTAAAATTGACGGCACAACAATAATATAATAATAAATTGTACCTGTATACATGTTAAGGGCACGTTAGTTACGTAATAAAACCAAACCAACCCAAACTCAACAACACAACCCAACCGACCCCGCCCCATTGGCCCCCCCCCGCCCCATTGAGCAAAAAACCCAACTAAAATGGGCAAATTTATGTTACGATAAAAATAAAACACTTTTTAACAAAGGAACAACAAATTTATGAAATAAAAAAGTAAAAAAAATTCGACAACTTCTGAGTATCGAACCCGGGACCTCTCGCATGCAAAGCAAACGCCCTACCATCTAAGCTATCTAGCTTGACAACAAATTTTGTATGTTCGGGGAACAAAACCGGATTATTATTATGACGTCACGTTATAAGGCGGTTCGTGCCAGCTCGTGAGAAGTCGGGATCGATGTTGGGTCACCGACTAGAAGTTTCTGATATAATATTAATAATTTTTAACCTTAGGCAATCACCGCTAATAGTAATGCTTACTGTGTTGCCTATATCACGTCAAAACAAAATAACCTTTATGTTGATGTTTTCAAGAAGTAGAGTAAATTAATTAATTATACATTTGTCCCAAAATATTTGTTTAAAATTGATTTTAAGGTTTTTTCGAGAAGCATTTGTAACCTCCAAACCAAGATGGTAAAATACCTCGGACAGCAAGAGGCTATTGACATTGATGTTGAACTCTTCAACGAATACAAATACTCAGTGGACCAGTTAATGGAGCTGGCTGGTTTAAGTTGCGCTACTGCAATCGCCAAAGAATACTCGCCAGAAAAACTCAACAATAGATTAATATTAATTTGCTGCGGCCCCGGTAATAACGGGGGAGATGGTTTAGTGTGTGCCCGTCATTTAAAATTATTCAATTATAGCCCGGTTGTGTATTATCCAAAAAGAACTGATAAACCTTTGTACATTAACTTGACGTTTCAATGCGAGTCGATGAATATCCCACTGCTTAGTTGCTTACCCGATGGTTGTAAAATTGAAAATGAATATGGACTTATCGTTGATGCCTTATTTGGGTTCAGTTTTAAGCCTCCAGTTAGGCTAGATTTTGTCCCCATTATTGATTTGCTTTTATCCACCAAAGTGCCAATTGCCAGGTAAATATTATGATTTAAAATGTTTTTGTACTTTTTTGAATATTTTTTAGCATTGACATTCCAAGTGGATGGAACATAGAACAAGGTGAACCTGAAGGAGGTGGAATTAAACCGGAAATGTTAATTTCACTTACAGCCCCAAAATTGTGTGCACAAAAATTCAAGGGAAAATTTCATTACCTGGGAGGAAGATTTGTTCCTCCAAAATTACAGGAGAAATATAACTTAAATTTACCTGAATATCCAGGAACAGAATGTTGTGTATTGTTAAAGTAAAGTGTATTATAATTTGTTGGTATCTTTGATTTGGGGATGAATCTCTCAATATGGCAACACTGCAAAACTGTAGCCAACCTTTTTGAACTACTGAGAATTTTAGCAAATGGCACAAACATCAAATCAAGATTCAAATTATTGGATATTTTTTGTTGACAATTCAGAAATTTATCTTTTTAAAATATGTAGTTAAAATAATAATAAACCCGTTGATTGATTCACTCAACGATAAAACAATTGACAAGTCAATGAAGCACAAAACCGCAGATCCGAAATCCCCTTCACTTATTTTAGCAGGCACCATATTTTGAATTGGTTGTTATTTAAATGGAACCTTGTTAATTAGAATCACAATTAGTTTTTAATTAAAGGACATGGAGGAACCCGAAGTGCATATTTTTACTTTAAAATCTATTATATTTTTGGTAAGTGTTATTTCTTATATACCGTATATATATTATTTTTAAATAGTGTTGGGGCTATAGCTATATAAGTACCATAAAGTTACTTTACCAATTTTAATGAACTTGAACTTAAATGAAATTTAAAAATTGCTTGGGTATATTGCAATTAGGTATTATTTGAATAATTAAATGGAGGTTTTATAAGATAATTTTAATTTTTCAGTTGTCATATTAAATGTTTTATTAAATTTCATTTCAATTTTATCCGACATCTGACAATTGTCATTCGATTTTAACCTCACTTTTCCAATATGACATCTGTCAAACGGTTTTAACCCTTATATACCGAAATTTACTAAATATAAAACGGTTCTTTTTTATAATTTTATAACTCTTATAAGATATTGCTAATTAATCTTAAGATGCTTTTTTTTCTAAACGCACTTTTTTGATAAAAATACAAACGAAATATTTAGAAAAAAACATTAATTTTTTGTAATTTTTTCTATTCAAGCTTTAATTTATTATGAGTTTTTGTTTGTTTTTTCATTTTAATTAAAATAATTATGTAATTAACATTTTTTTCGCAATTGATTAGATCTATTTTTTTAAATAATATATTAAATTTAAATAGTAAAACACAAACATAAATATGCAAAAAGTTTAGCTTTAACCGATTTTGTAGCTCCAATTATAACGGAGTTAGCAATGGCGGTGGCGAGATGGAAGACATTTCAGTCTTTGCAATATTGGTTGCCTACTACTGGCGTAATGTAGAAAACCTATTGTTTCTGATATATATATATACAGGGTGTTCCTTAATATCATGTACAAACAAAAGGGGGTGATTCTTTGGCTTATTTTATGAATTAAAGTTCCTATAAACATGGGCCCACAAACGCTTCGTTACCGATCTACAGGGTGTTAAAGTTTGGAGATTTTTTTAGTTTTTATTTTATAACTTCTGCAGTTTTTGAGATATTTGGCCCAAATTCGGAATATAGGTTAGGCTATAAGGCTTACATCATTGGGCATGCCAAATGGTTATAAGAATCTACAGGGCGATACTTTTTTGTATGTCATACTCCCCTTTTTTCCCAAGAACTTTTTTATGGTGCGCTGCTGGTAGATTTTAAAATACAAAATAAATTTTCTGTTTTGTTTAAAAACTTTTTGGTAACCTAAAGTTTTTTCGTATTTGCGACCGTTATCGAGAAAAATATGTAGAACAAAATTTGTGAGATGAAATTCAAATTTTTAAAAGGGTCTGGTTGGCTTTATTAATAATAACTTATTTTTATTTATTTTAACAATTTATTCTACACTTCTTGTTAAAAACAAAATGCTCTTTGTTAAAATGATTTATTATAATACAAAAAACTTAAATATTTAGAAAAACAAGAAAACTACATTACAACAATTGTTGAAAGTGACCTCCTCCAATTCTCACACAAGCATCTGCTCTTCTTCTCATTGATGCCCTTACTCTTTCAAACACCCCCGGAGTATTTCTTACGGTTTCAAATGCTTCTACTATCCGATTTTGTAAGTCATTTATATTATTAACTGGTGTTGCATAGACTAAAGATTTGAGATGCCCCCATAGGAAAAAATCCAGGCTGTTTAGGTCAGGAGACCTAGGGGGCCATGGCTGAGGTCCACCCCGTCCTATCCACCTGTTTTCATATGCTACATTTAAATACTCCCGAGCCAAAATAGAAAAATGTGCTGGGGCGCCATCGTGCATATACCAAATACGGTTTCTTAGCAAAACAGGCAAATCTTCTATTAAAAAAGGCAATTCATGTTGAAGAAAATGCCTATATGACTGAGCATTAAGTCGATTAGGCAAAAAGAAAGGACCAATCAAATAATCCCCAATTATACCACCCCATACATTTAACGAGAACTGTTCTTGAAAATGCGTTTCTACAATTTCATGTGGATTTTCTTCAGCCCATATGTGGTTGTTATGAAAATTTATAATTAAGTCTCTAGAAAAGTTGGCTTCGTCGGTAAAAAGGATTTTACAGTCAAAATTAGGGTCTCTTGCTAGCCTGGCAAGGTACCATCGGCAGAAATTAAGCCTTAATGGGAAATCTCGAGGAAGGAGCGCCTGCACCCTTTGAATGTGGTAAGGGTATAGCAGAGAATCACGCAGGATACGCCAAACAACTTGATGACTAATGTTGAAATGTTCACTAATTTTTCTAGTGCTAGTATCTGGATGCTCTTCTATTTCATTTAAAACAGCTTCTTCAATCTGTGGTGTTCTTACCGTATATTGTCTACCTGCATCATTGGTATTCTTTTTAAAAGTTCCACTTTCTGCAAGACGCCTATGAATATTTGTGAATGTTCGATGATCGGGTATTATTCTATTATCGGGATAGCGCTCCATGTACAGGCGTGTAGCTTCTCTTGCATTTCCATCCGCAAGGCCATAGATGAAATGCATGTCAGCCATGTCAGAATTCGTATAATTTGGCATTGTTACGGACTGATAAGAAATTTAATTATAACGAGTCTTTTAAATAATTTTACACCTTGCAGTTTAAAACTTTAAATGCGTGCTGTCAATAGCATCGTTTTTATGTATTTTTTTGATGTTGTAGACAGTGTGTTGTCTGTGATGTTGTATTCAATAGCTACATAAACCATTTTATTTCAGATTTGATATTTAATAAGTAGTGGCAGAAATGAATTCAAATCATGTTTAAAAGAGTACACCATTACAACAATTGTTGTAAGGTAATTTTCTAGTTTTTCTAAATATTTAAGTTTTTTGTATTAAAATAAATCATTGTAACCAAAACCGTTTTGTTTCTAATAAGAAGTATAGAAATATTATTTTAAAAATAAATAAAAATAAATTATTAATAAAGCCAACCAGATTATTTTAGAAATTTGAATTTCATCTCGCAAATGACAACAACTTGTGTTATATTTTTTTTCTCGATAATGGTTGCAGATACGAAAAAACTTTAGGTTACTAAAAAGTTTCTAAACAAAACAGAAAACTTATTTTGTATTTTAAAATCTACCAGCAGCGCACCATAAAAAAGTTCTTGGGAAAAAAGGGGAGCATGACATACAAAAAAGTATCGCCCTGTAGATTCTTATAACCATTTGGCATGCCCAATGATGTAAGCCTTATATCCCAACCTATATTCCGAATTTGGGCCAAATATCTCAAAAACTGCAGAAGTTATAAGATAAAAACTAAAAAAATCTCCAAACTTTAACACCCTGTAGATCGGTAACGAAGCGTTTGCGGGCCCATGTTTATAGGAACTTTTATTCATAAAATAAGCCAAAGAATCACCCCCTTTTGTTTGTACATGATATTAAGGAACACCCTGTATATATATAAATATATATATACCTACATATATATATGGGTGAATATATTGAGATGTCCCCCAAGTGAAAATGATTATTTTTTATTTTTGGTTGTTTCACTCTTAGTCTAGAATGGGTTTTTTGGGAAGCCACCAGGTCTAGTAATAACATAACATAAGTGGTTCTGCACTAATGCAAGAATTTTAAGAAATCATACATTTTGAATATTAGAGCTTCACGGAGATTAGGATTTCGTATGTTTTTGTTAAAACATCCCTTTGGACATTTTAAATAAGTTATTGTATCTTTTAACACCTTAATATTTTAAAAAAATAGAATTGTACATACATAAAATATTTATAAAAAAATCTACTTACTGAGATATTACACTTCACGGTGGATAGTTTTATAAATACCAAATTAATGAACTTAAACTTTTGAATTATAAAACAGCAACACTCTCACCTGCATATAAATTCTAACTGACCTTCAGGAATCACATGCATCTATAATGTCGTAAACAGAGGTTTTTGCTTATTTAAAATGATTAAAGCGCCATCCGTTACATAAAATTTAACGCAAAAACAGGTTCACGGAGGATAGAATCAATTTTTGTAACACCTACATAAATGGTTATAAAAATTATTTCTTTTAATTTTTAATAATATTTTATATTTGATTCGATTGCTTTGGATGTGTTTAATTTACTTAGTGAACTGATATTTTTAGTATGCTTTTACTACCTACCTCAGATATTTGAAAACATATAGGTTAACCTAGGTACCTAGAAAGAGTAACAGTCACGGAGGATAGGTTTCTTTATTGCAAAAACCAAGCAAGGTTGGAAAACATTTAAGAGGACATTAAAAAGACATTTATTTATTTACCTATAATATTTTACTAATTCTAAGTAATTTTGCAGGATTCTTTATGCTTTGGTTTAATGTATTCCCACATAGCACCTCATTTAATTGATATAAGTGGAACCCAACTAGGAATTGGGATATTTAATGCATTCAACATACTTCTCTCCCTTGTTTCGAAAGACATAACCGTAAATTAATATTTATGTAATGTGTAACAATTTACCTACTACAAAGTTTGTATTTTAGAGATCATTTTTATCCATAAAAGGAAAGAAATTTGCCACCTACATGATTTTTATGATTAGTATTATGTCCCATTTATTTGTATCAATGACGTACTCTGTTACATTTACAATTTTTAGCAGGCTTTTATTCAGTAAGTGTAAATCTATTGGAAATAGTCTAAACAAAATACCATATTTTCATATAACAAATATATTTTGCTGTACAATTAATAAATAGTACTTTTTTAGCTGCAGTAAATGAAGCAAACAGGTTTTGCAAAGATTTATTTTTCAAAATAGCTCCAGATTCAACCCATGAACAAGAAAAAATGATTTTGGATATTTTATCTTCTTTAGGGTACATTATTGGGCCTAGTATTGGGGGATATATTTTTACAGTTCCTGGGGGATTCACCATACTGGCCCTATTAACCGCTGGAATAACATTTGCCAATGTTTGTAAGTATGACGTTATACAGGGTGTTTCAAAATTAAACTACCCTGATAGCAAAATTTGATTTTAAGAATCTTCTAAGAAGATATGACCCGGAATAATGGAATATTCTTAGAACCTTCCCTTATTGCTCAAAATGTTCTTAGGGACTTTTAAAACATTCAATAGATACCCTTTTAATGATGCAATTAGATTCTTAGAAGCTTCTTAAAACCTTCCTAAAAAGCATTCTAAGAACATTTTAAGAATACGTTTTTGGAATGTTCTTAGAAGGTTTCTTATGGAGCTTCTAGGAAGCTTTTGAGAATATTTCCAAATATGTCAGATACCCACATTCTAATATGTTGGATTCTACATTCGTAAAATTCTTCAGGAGGCGACAAATGCGCCTCACTGTCATAATATGACAGTTAAATGTATTTGTCGTCCCCTGAAAAAAGTTTTGGGACATAGTAATTAATATATATTTATTTAAAAATATTAAATAAACAAGTTGACTTCTAAACCATAAGTTGTATGACATTATTTCATAAAAAGTAAAATTGGAAAATTTTGTGGGATAAGTCAGATTAGATTGAAGTTGAAGATAGTTAGGATTATTGTACATAAAAATGTTAATTCAGAAATAAACAATCGGTACCTATACAAATTAATAAATATTTATTTTTAACATAAAATAAAATATAAAAAAACGAAATAGGTATTTCCTTATAAAATAATTCTTCATAAAAGAAAAAACCAAATAGTTCTTCATAAAAAAACATTTTTCATTGAATTTAAGTTGGATAGAGCCGGATAATTTAGATACCTATAGTAAAAGTATTTTTGTTATCGAATATTGTTTTAATTTGACAAATAACTATAAAAAAATATTTTGGGTTGTGTTTTTTACTTAGTATTTAATACTACCTATAGGTATACCTTTATACGTAGATTATGGTATATTTTACTATTATATAGGTACCTAACTGAACTGAATATGCTTAACAGAATCTTCTAAGAATATTCCTAAATGAACTTTCTATAGCAATTACTTTCTCAACATTCTAAGCATATGTTTAGAGTGGATTAATTTTTACCACTAAGCTTTGCACCTTCTAAGAACCTGCCTATAGGCCAGTGAGAATATTCTTAGGATTATGCTATATTTCTTTTAAGCATTTTCTTTAGAAGAAATATAGCATGATCCTAAGAATATTCTCACTGGAAGGTTTAAAAAACATTCTTAGAATAAACTGTGCTATCATGGTAGGGGGGACATTTTTATTTTCTTTACATCGAAGTTTAAAATTAATTCAAAACTAATAAAATCCATTTGCATTTTAGTGCTTCTTTTGAGGATACCGGTGATGAACGAAGATAATAAACCGCAAGCTTTTGATGAACAAGAAGTAATCGAAAGATATAAAACGGTTATTGATAAAAACATTGAAGACGTAAAAAATTCAAACTGGAAAGTGACTTGGCCTTTTCTAGCAGTACAAATTCTTGTGACGTGTGGTTGGACGATGTTTTTTTCAAAATTCACACAAGTAATGCATAGTAATTTTAACAGCGGCAGTTCCACATTTGGGAATGCGGCTTCCTACAAAAACCTTCTACTTTTTGGGTCTGTTACATTGTCTACAGATTTAAAGTCGAAATATCTTAACGATGTTCCCCTAGTATCCACATTGGATTGCTCGTTGATAATTAATTTTTGTGCTATATGTGGCATGTGCTATTCCCAGTCATTTTTAGCCTATTGGGTACTTTGTATACCTCTCGTTTTTACGAAATCCCTAATTAATTCGTATTGGCCAGATATGCATTCTCAAAGCGAAAATTCCGCACTAGTGAATCTAATTCCAGCAATTAATATCGCCTCTGGAATTATAATGCCAATTTTTTTTGGCATTGTCTGCACTCACTTATGTCCAAACCTTGTGAAATTCGTCTCAGTGTCTCTGGTGCTAGCCGCATTTCTTATTTTTACTTTTATTGTCAAACCAAATTTAAAATAAAAAAATAAAAGATAATTTTGTATTTATTTAACAAGTTTAAATGTACGTCACTGACATTTTTATATATGCTCAAAAGTATACTTTTATCCATACTCTACACCCAAAATTCCCACCATGACTTTTCATTGAGAAAAGCATCTCCATAATTGCAATTATGGAGATACCTCATGAGGTATCCGTCTTATTTTATAAAAATAGCGATTTTTGCGGTAACTTGGCGTATAAAGATCATAATTTAAGACAACAAAACATGTAATCGTAAAAACATTCAAATTTAATCAAAGAATTCTCCGATCACCCCTCGTAAAACAAACTTAAAATAAAAATTGGGACATTTTAACTACGGTACGTTATAACTACCTTTAACAAATTTGTTGTATATTAGCATATTCATAACCTTACTTTTAAACGTCAAATCACTTCAACAAACTTTTTTAAATCCAACTTTTAAACAATTTAAAATGGAAAAATATATTCAGGGTGAATGTATGACCATGTGTCCTGATGAGGAAATAAAAATGTAAGTTAAATACGCCTAACCACATAAAAATTACCAATATAATAAATTTAGGAGGGAGACCCAAAAATTGCTACACATATTAGAAATTGCCCCAGGTACCGAACATTATAGACTTCCCAGAGCTGACAAAAATAAAATGGTGAAAGAATTTGGCAGATCTGCAGCTGGTAAAACACACAACCCCAAGAGTATTCGTCCGCCCAGTGTTTTACTCAAAACGGTACATTTCTTGATGACAGAGTAAGTTTAAATAATAACTTTCAAAAGCATGTAATTTTTTCTGTATTTAGGGTGGCAACAAACACAACTATTCCCTGGAATGTGATATACGATTATATAGCAGATAGACTGCGATCAATAAGGCAAGACATGATAATTCAGAATACCAATCTTGCACATACAATAACTATTCTACAACCAATTGTGAGATTTTACGCGTTTTCAGCATATACGTAATGTTTATTTGAAGTTAAATAACATTCTTAACTATTTATATAATTTTTAGACTATATGGCTGTAACAGAAGTATATTTGATGATTTTTTAAATAACAAACATTTACTGGAATGTTTAAAACGGTTACTTAATAATTATGATGACTTTGATATTCTAATTAAAACAAAACAAACAGAATTTGAGGAATATTTATTAGAAAATAGACCTCAATTTGAAGCTATGTATATTATTTTTAATATTGGAGAGGAAGCAGCTATTTTAAGGGGCATAAACTTGGACCAAAAATGGAGGTGAGGTATATTAATAATAAAAACATTTTTTTATGATGCCCAATTTTTTTATTTAAGAACAAGTGAAGTTGAAAGTGCAATAAAATTGTCAATATTATTTTCAAATGGAAACTATGTTAAATACTGTAGGCTTATTACACATTTTCCCCCAATTTTGGCTGCTTTAGCTTCCCTACATTTACCAAAAATGAGAAGGTACCTATAATAATGTATACAGGGTGCTATGTAATTAATGTAATATATTAAATAACTGAATAACTTTTGATACAAGGTGTAGCAGAAAAATATTTATACAAAGAAAGAAAAAATATGCATTAGAAGTTTTTTATATTTTTTGTGATATGCCACTGGTTACACAAAGTTGCCAGTTGTAAAAAATTGTTACTAAAAATTTTTCTTGCAAAAAATAAATAAAAACTCAATAATTACATTATGCCCTTAAAGCTCTACCCAAGCAACAATTTAAGTATTTGTTACATATATGGGACTATTGAAAAAACTTTAAAGTGTTTTGCGACAGTCGCCGGTCTCTATATTACTCTTTCATTACTAAGTTACGACTAAAGTGGGGAACAATTATTAAGTTCCAAAAAGGTAGCAAATATGTCACTAGCTATAAACCCTGCTACTATTTGGAACGTAGCTGCTACGTTACTAGAACGTTTTAATATCGTTGCTAGAGCGTTATAATTACTATTAGGTACTTATTTGTTTTTACTTCTATATTAACCGTCTTTGTCAAACTTATATTAGATTATACTATCCCTCCTTTTTTAAATGGAACCACTACGGACTTGGCTTTTCAATGTCGTCGTTTATTAAATATGTACTGTTAGTTTATAACTTCCAGAATAACAATATAATGTTTAATTAGGCAGGTAATTTATAAACCCTTTAAATTTTACTGTTGAACTTTTGAATTTAGTTTTTGTAAAATAAATGCGCTTCATCAATATTTAAGCATAAACAAATTATTTATTTAATAATGTTTAAAAATAAAAAATCTTAATATTTATGATTAATTTTTTATTTAATTATTAATACCGTCTATTACCAACAAAATTACTATTTATTAAAAAGTTAACAACCATTTACAAACAATTAAAATAATTTATTATTTACATTACCACGTGGTACTGTACAGTAAAAAATGGCCGATAAGAAGCATTTTCCTTTGAAGTAGTTTTCGCTACTTTAAAGTTTTTTCCACCCTAATTTACTTTATGATAGTTTTGGTTAGTACCATAAACATTCCAAATACTAAAATAATAACTTTTAAGTTATTAACTTTTTAGTTTTTAACTCATGTTCCAGTTTCGAGATTTTAACTTGCAAAGGGACTACAAAGTAAAAATAATTATAATGTAATCTTTAGGTAGCAACCGAAAGTATACTGCTACAAATTAAATTTACTTGAAAGTTTTTTTTACTTATAACACCTTTTTTAAAGTTGCAAAGTCTCCTTGGGGGCAACCAAGTTTTACTTAAATGTTTATTACTTTATAGTAACCATTTAAGAAAAAATTAAGTTTCTGTTATATTGCTATTTAAAAGTTATAATTACTTTTAAGTAAAAATTAAAGTAGCTGTTTATTATACTTAACTAATTTAAAGTTATCACCACTTTACAATGGTTTTTGGAACCAAAAATGCTGCTTGGGTAATACCCTTCTAGAATTATTTCCTCATCCAGCTTTAGTGCCTATTTTAAAAACTCCATAACCCCAAAATTAATTTTTTCACCGGTTTTTTTCTTTCTGTTTACTGTTTGAGGTGCTTCTTTATGGACCCTAATTAAGGAACTACTCATTTTAATAAATTACATTAATTATAACACCCTGTATTACCTATATGTCAATTAAAGGAATTTTGAAAAAAATATAGTTTTAGATGGGGTTTTAAAGTAATGAGTAATGCTTACAACAGTAAAACTCTAACATATCCTGTCAAAAAATTTAAAACTATCTTCCTATATAATTCTGATGAAGAAGTTGAACAGAATTGTGGCCATTTTGGGTTTCCTGTGGGAGTGAATGGAATAAGTCTGCAAAAACAGTATTTTAAAGAAAATACAGAGAATGAGACTGAAAAGGATAACAAAAATAAACCCATGTATGAGGTATTTATCTAAAAATCCAAAAATGTTTTTATTTTTGATCTACAATATATTTTAGGTGCCTTTTGTTAAACCAGAATTTATTGAGGAAAAAGTGTTTGATACTTGTTTAAGTGATCTTCTTTTGTACAGTTAGGTAATTAACTTATTTTTTATCCCGAATTTTTACAAATATACTTTTTTTGCCATGACTTTTGTAGTTTTTTTGACAAACATCATTTTAATTAACCCCATGAATTTTTTGTCCATGTTTGTCTGGTTAAAAATGACTATAACATCATCATTACGGTATTGTAAAGAAGAACAGTAAGTACAAAAGATTTCATTTGTTGTGTCAAAAATAAATCACTTTATTATTTCTTATGTCATTACAATCATTCATAAAAAAATATTATTTTTGTTGAAACAACAGGCAAAATTTCAGTACAATGATTACAGCAGGTAAATTTTCTAGACTTGATTTCGATGATTACGGTGATAGTTTTGATAAAAATTTAGAGAGGAATGTGAGCAGAACTGCGGGAGAGGCCCCACGAAACAATTTATTTAACGCAAACTTTTTGGAACCGCTACGACACAGGAAACTTATGTCCGCTTCCGGTATACTATCCACATTAAATGTCTTAAGGGAACCCATTGCAGATTACCAAAGCAGCAGGGGCATTGCACGAAATGAGTAAGATAGTTTTTAAAAATTATACTTAAGAGCGTGGGATAACAGAAAAGCATATTCTACTATCAATAATATCAAGAAAAAATAGGGTAAAGCACATACTTATTGGACACTTAAGGAATATTATTTATTTAAAATTTATATATGCCGTTGTTTTAAGGATTTTAGTTTTTTTCTTATAAAAATATAAAAAGGATAGTTTGTTTGTTTAAATTTAAAATATTCTTATTTTTAAGTAAACGTAAGTAAATAAAGTTAACTTTATTTACGTTTACTTAAAAATAAGAATATTTGAATTTTTAATAATAGTTTTATAAAAACATGCAAAAAAGTGTAGTAATTGAACATTTTATATAGTAATTGGACACATAGTTATTGGACATACAATTTTTATATAAACACAACTTTACATCAAATAACAAAAATTGTTAAATATTTTTTAAAGATAAATTGCTGTTTTAGATATTTTTATTTCGTTTTTGTAAATATAATTCATATATTCCTCATCCCTTTTCTGGATTCTGAAGGTAACTACTAATTCCTTGGTCTGACTTCTGAAATAGTTTGTTGCAAATATCATCAAGTCTAGTTTGTGAAGCATTTATAATGTTTAGGCCGGAACAGGATGATTTATAATAACTAATATTCTTTCGGGTGGTATCTTAAAAGTATTTTCTCTATGACTACTTAAGAATAGTAACATTCTAGTGTAATTTTTGATCATAGAAAGGATGTTTTTCTGCAATACTGTGCGAGAATATTCCTACTCTTGTTTAAGAATGGTCACAAGTAACGACATCTCCTGGCTGTTTACTAAACGTAAAAATATTTAAATATTACTGTATTATTTATTAATTAAAAAATAATAGCAGTTGTATAATTAAGGTTTAGGCACAAAAAAATAGTTATATTTATTGTTTTTCAAATATACAAATCAAAATTATAATAAATTTGATATTAAAATGATAAAGCAGTTACCTACTATACCGGCTTTGAAGTTTTGACAGATTCAAAAAATTTAAAAAAAGACCTTTAAAATGTAGAAAAAGAATTGATGTTGACATAGATTACTTGTAAAATTAGTTTTGTATTTTTTACAATGTTATTTTTTGTTATTAGTTAGTGTAAATAACTATTTTTAATTATAATAAAGATTTAGGCTGCCTAAATTAGGCATACCATTTGTTTAAATTTATTATAATTTACATTATAAAATTGTGACGGCACAAAATGGTTTGACAATACAAAAAACTTAAATGTCAAAAACTGCTTGGTTTCTTTTCTCTGTTTAAAATTATAGGTATAAGCGTTACTATTCTTACGTAGTCGTAGAGAAAATAATGTCTGAAACACGTTTGGAATAGCATATTTCACTCTCGTAAAACCGTCACACTCGCCTTCGGCTCGTGTGTCAAATTTTTCCTCGAGCGGAATATGCTGTATTCCAAACTTGTTACAGAATGTACTATTCCGAATTTATTTATTTTACTGCCATTAGTTTTTTATGTTCTCTATCATGCACTGTATTTAAATCACTGTTATTCTGCAAGATGTCCTGTGACGAAGAAATCACTATATTACTTACTCTCTAAAAATGAATTAGTCAAAAATGTCATAGCGAAAAAGCAGCCACTAATAATTCTTGTCAACAGCAATTTGTATCCAGGACATTTAGCAGTCAATTCCTTTGAAATATTATTCGCTGAATCCGAAAATTTCGTCAAAAGTTATAAAATGTTGAACAGTTTTTGAAATATAATCAATATGATATGGAATTGACTATATCTCAAAAACTGCTTAACTTTTATAGTTTTAACGGTATTTTCGGATTCAGGGGACAATTTTGGTAAATGTTCGGGATACTAATAGTGTATGATATTGGACATATGTCCAATAATAGAAATTTACATTTTTTACCAATCAGTAATTGAACATTTCACTGTTTGTTTTCAGAATTAAAATTAAAACGCATTAAAGTGACAATGTTTAAACCATGAAGAACACAATTATACCACACACTGATCTGTATACAGTGTATACACTTTTTAGAAATATTTTTTATTTTAATTACAACACAGCCCTGCTCTTAACAAAAAAAACAAAAATCTTACCACCAAAGTAACGTTCGAACTTTTTTGTCCCAAATTGGACCCAAAATAAAGTACTATATTATTACCGACTGAGATAGTTTTAATTGTATACAGCGTCATCTAATGATTTGACTTTAAGGTAACTATTTATAGAACTCTTGTTTTTACAGTATTAATGTTAATTGTCCAATAACTATAAAGTGTCCGATAACTGTCTACTTTACCCTACTCAAATTTTAAAAAAATATTTTTTTATAATGATATTAGTTTTTATGGAATATATTTTTTGTAAATACCAAGCTCCCAGAGGGCCTTATCAGGTTAAAACTTGGCCAAGAATTGCCCTTTCACCTTTGAAAAAGTTTTGCCAATAAATGTACAATATTGGACTTAATATTTCTATGATTTTTGTGTAATTGTGATGGCCGACAATTTTTTTTTGGGAGTATTTGAAAATATGGTAAATAAAACACTTTATATACAGGGTGTTATGTAAGTAATGTAATACATTAAAATGGGTAATTCCTTAGGGTCCATAAAGAAGCACTTGAAACTTTTTTTCTTCTAAATTCTAAAAATAATTTATAATAACCTTTATCCAACCAAAAGGTACGCCAATGATCGACTAAGAACTATAGGTTAATCTGGTTGCCTAACTTAATTTATTATGTTATGGTTGGTAACAGATTCTGTAAAAAAAAGTTGCCAGATTTTGTTTAAATTTAGCTTAATTACAAAAATGACAAAATCAACAATGCAAATTGATAATTTGACGATTTTATTAATTGTTGATTATGTCATTTTTGTAATGAAGAATCTAGTGCATTTCTTTCAAATTTTGGGTTATGCGCTCAAATTGTAAATATCTTAACTAAGGAAAGTGCTTTTGGATTTATTTACACAAACCGAATGTTTATAGTTTAACCTGCGAACTTGTCCTAATTTCATCTGAGTAAACAGAAAGAAAAAAACCGATGAAAAAATTAATTTTGTGGTTATATATGCAATTTTTAAAGTTGGTACTAAATTTTCTAATCATTGCTTAAGGTAATAGCTTGATGAGTAAATAAATACAGAAGGGTATTAGAGCTTTAAGGGCATACAACTTTTGTATTTATTGAGTTTTTATTTATTTTTTGCAAGAAAAATTTTTAGTATCATTTTTTACAACCAGCTACCCGTAGCTACTTTGTTGGTTGGTATCTATGTACTCACAGAACACAAGTGTGTAACCAGTGGCGTATCACAAAAATATAAAAAACTTCTAATGCATATATTTTCTTTATCTTTGAAAAAATATGTTTTTAAATATTTTTCCGTTACACATGTCAAAAGGTATTCAGTATTTTAATATATTACATTAATTATTAACCCTGTATAATATATATAATATATTGTCTTTAATCACTAAGAAAACACCCTGTATTTTATTGACGCATTTTCAGAACCATTACATTCATGAACCTGATAACTTCACTGATATCTCAAGCATACACAGCAGGGTTGACAATACTGGTAATGTTATGGAATCTTCTACCACTTGTTGAAGGATTCGTTTATTTAATCAGATTCATCCTTGATAAACTCATAGATATACTGGAAACTGAGGAGCCCAAGGATAAAGTAATGAAAACCATTATATTTTGCGGAGAACTTTTCTTAATATTAATAGTCATATTTTTAATAGTCGGGTTAATTTTCATGCCAGTTTATGTCCTAACAGCCAAACTGTTTGGTAAATTGTGGGGGATGATAGTGTGGTAATGTAGATTGTAAATAAAGAGCTTAGGTCTTAAAAATTGTTTTAATTGTATATACATTAATGTATCTTCCGTTTTAAATTAAAATACCAGCTTAAACCCATACCTAAAGTGGCAGGTAGGACAGACATTAATATCACACTCTGCCCAAAAAAGTCCACCATAATACCCGAAAAAAGTGGCGAAACAAACCTAGCAATTGACATTATACTGTTTGAAGCTCCCGATAGAGATCCTCTTTTAACCCCGTTTGATTCCTTCATTAATAAATCCATACTAATTACTCTTATAACGATTGACGATATTGCTAGAGGTATAAGACACAACATATAAGTGAATAAATTAGGTGAAACATAAATGAAATAGAAACTTAAAGCAAAGATTGCAAAAAAATGAAATAATTGTTGGTAGCCTGTTCTGTCATTTTTATAAAAACTATTAATCTTTTCCAAATACAGAGCCACTATCATTCCAATGCTGCTGTATATGGATATTGTGTAACCTATATGTTTTTGGGACAAGCCATGTTTTTCTTTAAGGTACAAAACTTGATTGCTAAAATATGCTGATGAACACAATCCAAATAAAAATCTTAAGAGAAAACTGACCCAGTGGGCCTTCCAGTCAACTTCAATCAATTCCCTGAGCGATTTTTTAAATTCAGTCTTTATTCCTGTTAGTAGTGAGTCATATTTGTGCTTTTTAGTGGGCTCTTCTGGCAAGTTAACAGTAATTCCTAAAAGGTTTACATTTTTATATTGTCATTAAAAAGTAAAAGCGAATTGTTTTTTTATCTTAACTTTTTAATCAATTGGTTTAGCAAAAAATCATAAGACGCCGTTTTAGCATTTATTAGATAAAAGTTTAAAGATTAAAGTTTAGCACTTAAATTATGTTTTAACAGAAATTTATAAAGCTATTTTTTTTAAACTCAAAACAATTGATAGTCAAAAAATATTTTAAATATAAAATGCAACAGTAAAAATGTATGTTTAAAAATATTGATTTTTAAAAGTTTTGGTTGTAATATTTTATTCTACAAAATTATTGGTTTAAATTTTTAAAGAGTCATTTAAATGATAGTTGATAAATTATTAATACAAAAATTCTCACATTACATTAAATGTAAGTTTTAAAGTAGTAATTTTTGGATTAAAAATTTATCGACTATCATTTAAATGACTTTACAAATTTAAACCAAATTTTTTTATTTTTTACAATTTTAAAGTGATATATTTTTAAGACAAAATTTATAACTAAAAATGTTGTTGTTCTATTATTAAATTTATGTAATAAAGAATCATTTCATTACGATAATTTGTCAAATATTTATGGAGCAAGCACGATTTGGCAACACTGCGGATCAAACTGGCTGCATCGTGGCTCCGATCCCAGACTCTTGTGCCTTCTACTAATTTAAAAAGTATCGACTTACATTTAAATGTAAAGTTATAAATTTTGTCTTAAAAATGTATCAATTTAAAATTGTTAAAAATAAAAGTTATTGGTTTAAATTTGTAAAGAGTCATTTAAATGATAGTCGATAAATTTTTAATGCAAAAACATTTAAATGTAATGTTCAAATTTTTGTATTGAAAATTTATCGACTATCATTTAAATGACTCTTTACAAATTCAAACCAATAATTTTGAAGAATAAAATATTAAAATTCCATTTTTTTAAAATTAATATTTTTTAAACTTTTACAGTTGCATTTTATATTTAAAATATTTTTTAATTATCAATAGTTTTGAGTTTACAAAAATTTAACTTTTTAAACTATTTTGGTAGCAAATGTTTTATATGTGTTTTTATTTTAAATGGCTTGATACTATTTTTAAATACTAAAAAATTTAACTTTACCAAATTAATCTCAATAATTTTATAAAATATTTATTTAAGTTAACATATATGTATATATATATATGTATATGTATATAAGTATACTTAATGCCACCCAAATAAATTATACTTGGGAAATTATTTTTATTAAAAAATGATAGAAATTTTTGCAAAAATTGATAGAAAATAATATTCTTTAATACAGAAGTGAACTGTTGGTTAGTAAATTTTGTCTTTTAATTCATGATAGTTGAAAATATTATAAATTTATAAATGTAAACCTAAAATTTTTAGTTAGGAAAATTCTAAATCAATAAAATTTTAAATTAAAAAATTATTTAATAAATGTTAAAACAGCGTACCATACACCTTTTCTGTATGACCTTTGGTTAGTGAGTTACAAAAATCAATGGGGACAAAAAAATTCCCATGTTCTTATGGAAAATCAAAAAGTGCAAAATTAAAATTAAGAGCTCATATTTTCACAGGCTTATTTTTACACCTAAACGAAATTTTTGCAAGAAAAAAAACAATTCGCTTTTTTTTAAACACCCCAGTGACCATACAAGCACACAAAACAATAACAAACCTAAATTTAAAATGAAGAGACCAGAGGTTATTAAACAGACATACATAAACCCATTTGGATATTCCGACAAGTAACCTCCAATTAAAGGTCCTATAATAAATCCCAGGTTACCCCAAGCTGTCGATTTTCCAAAAGCAGCGCTTCTTTCTTTTGGTGTTATAACATCAGTAATAATGGCTTTTGTGAGTGTTTGTGTATGTTTACACATGCCTTAAATGTGTAATATTTGTGTATTTTAATAATAAAATATGTTGATTAAAATGCTAACCTAAACAAAACCGAATTAAAAATATTCCTATAATTGATTTCGGAATTCCTAGTAAACCATATAAAATTGCACATAGTATAACAGTAATTTGTAGTACAGACTTTCTATCTCTTACATCACTCCAACTACCCTAAAATTATTATACAGGATTTTAGGTAAATAAATACACAAAGGTATGTGTATAATTAAATAATAATAGTTTAAAACATTCTTACAATTATAGGACCAGCTAAAACTTGTATTCCTGCATAAGTAGAACTTAAAATACCTATAGTAAATTTAGAAGCCCCAAGGTCTTTTAAATGTGTGCTGAATAATGGATAAGTAAGGCCAACAGCTAACAAATCCTAAAAATATTATTTTTATTAGTTGTTAAATCACCATTTCGTATTAAGTGGAATTTACCAAGAAGGATACTAAATGTAGAATATTTATTGGTCCCATTATATTACTACACGTTGATTAAGTCATTTTAACTGATATATAAGTTTTAAAGTTGGATAATTGTAAAGAAACCTTGGAAAATAAATCATTTTGCATATTGCCCACATGATTTTGACGTTTAAGAATCAGTGCATGTTGCCAGATGGACTTGGACGATAATCATCAAATAATATCATTTTTACAAATATACACATATGACATATGTATGTACTTTAGTATCACGAAGAATTTTTTTTTTCTCAAAATGGTCTACTTTTAAAATTGACCCTATCGCAAAAATTTAATATCCGCGGGACCTGATTGGGGATAAATCTCTTCATCTGGCAACACTGATCAGTGCTACCATGCTTTCGAAATGAATTTTAAAATAAATGTATTGTTAGTTGCCTAAAATAGTATTAAGTTTATAGATTATAAAAAAATTAAGTTTTTTTACTCCCACCTTTAAAACGCCCTTTATCGTACTTGTTTCCATGACCTCTTAAATACACATTGACAAGTTGTGGCTTTATGGCGCTTTAGTCACGGGCTGAAGTTAGTTTTAAGTTAGTTGACAGTTGTCAAATGTCATACAATCGTTAAAATAAAGTGCCTTTCTTGTAAAATAAAATTAAATGGGAAAATTATTTTATTATCTCAATACAAAAATACAAAAGTATTAAATAGTTTCTCAACGCCAATATTTGAAAAGTTTATATGAACATTGTACTTTTATTTCGCCGGCAGTAAACTATAACTTAAATTCGGACACGGACTCCACTCTAAAGTGCTCATAAAACATTTTCTTTACTTTCACTGTGAAAAACTGTCAATTTTCAAGAAATACATTTCGATTTATAACCTTTATAATATAAAAATTTGACATTAAATGTCAAATTTTTATATTATAAAGGTTATAAATCGAAATGTATTTCTTGAAAATTGACAGTTTTTCACAGTCAAATTTTGACGGTGACACACAGATTCCCCTATTGTTTCATAGATGGCGTTCTATACAAATTTTTGATTTAAATCATTTTGAGATTTAAAAGTATTTGTCGTAGAAAAAGTATAGTATGCACCTCGTTTATAAACTTTTCTATACACTCAGTATACTTTAAATTATAATTTAAGCACTTGCTCGCAAGCTCGCTCGAGCCTAAATTAAATTCGTGTATAAAATGGCGTTTATCAAACTTGATACATAATATATAATAGTATACTATTTTCCATTTTCATCATCGACATTTTAATTATGCATGTGACTTCAAAAATAAATCATTTTTGGCTCATTTTTTGACAATATATATTTTTGAATGTAAGGTTTGCCATCTTAAAAATTGTTAATAAAAATTTCGGCTAAGTAAATACTAGTGTACATCTACGCCACGACAATCATTCTAACATATAAAACCCATGTTCAGCATCCTCTATTCACATACACGAAGCTGAAATAATTTTATTGTGCGTGTATACAAAATCATACACATGGCGCACTGGACCCAACTCGCGTGTATATTTTTTCATACACATGGCAGTTAACGTGTTAATAATTCTAAATGCTGTTTAAATTTAGACAACTTATTTGTTTGACGATTATTACTGAATTGAAATGTTTACACTTTTTACGTTAATCATTACTAAAATGTGTATTTATTGTATCTACAAGATACAATTTATATTTACAGGGACTGTATGAAATTTATTTCTTCATTCGGATTAACACTGTTTATTGTAAAACTGATAAAAACTCAACCCAGGATTTCCTCTCAAAATATACCCAACAACACAACAAATCGCGCCATGGTTTTTTTTCGATATTTTTTAACATTTTCCGGGTCAAAAACAGCGTTTTAATTGAAAAACTAAAAAAACTCTTATTCTATTATAAATGATTTATTGAACATTCTAATTATAACTATATGTACCTAGATATAATTTAGTGATATAAAATTATAACTTGTCAACTTCAAATCTGTAAAAGTCCACATACACATCAACACACTTTTTTTTATGAAACCTATATGATGCCGGTAAATCATATTTTAGTTCTGCCAAGACTTTTCCTTCACCACCTAGCAACTTGGCAGTCTTCAAAACATGATCTCTGAAATGTTTTATAAAATTATTACCTTTTTATAACAAGTTATTATCATACCTTGTAGAGGTTTTATGGAGAGAATAGACTACATTATTGGAAAGTTTAAAAGCAGTTTCTAGAAATTTCATATCAATGCCAGCATTGTGTTTGGTGCCAAAAGGGGGGTTCATGATAACGGTATCAAATATTTTATTTGACCTATAACAATAAACATTCTAGGTTAATACTTGAATACAAACATTACTCCATATTTACCTATAGGTATTATCTAAATTAAGGACATCACATTGAACAACATCAATATTAGTAAGATCATGATCAGAAATGTTTTCTAAACAAATATCTATAGCGTCTTTGTCAATTTCAAACCCAACTACCTGACTAGCTTCCAGTACAGATGCTCCTATCGATAATGCCCCGCAGCCACTCCCCAAATCTGCCACTATTTTTTGGTCAATATCACCGTACTGAGACTAAATGTGACCAAATAAAAAACAAATTATACAGGGTGAGTTTTAAGTTGACGCGTTCCTTTTAACAGCGTGTAGAAATCAGATAAACAAATAAATATTTTGAGTAACTTTTTTATCAAAACTCAAAAATAAGAGAGTTATAGGCCTTCCAAGTTTAATTAAATTTTGAGCCGGTCCTGGCTATTGTTAACAAAAAACATAACCATAAAAATAAAAATAACAAAATAAACAATGCAAAATGTCATCCATGACAACAAACATAACCATTTAAATCAAAATGACATTTAGCAATGAAAAATGTTTTTTGTGCCTCAATTATTGTTAAAAATGGTTCGGCTTAAAATTTAATTAAACTTTGATGGGCTATAACTTTTTTATTTTTGAGTTTTGATAAAAAAGTTACTTAAAATATTTATTTGTCTAGCAGATTTCTACACACTGTTAAAAGAAACGCGTCAACTTAAAACTCACCCTGTATAAAATATAGAAAAATAATGTTACCTGTATTGTGTGGAGCATGTGGGACCCCAAATGCGAAGGAGTAACATACTGCTCCAGCAATACCTTTGGCCTTTCAAACTCCTCAATACACTGCAACCGTTCCTCCAAAACCCTCAACTTCTGGCAAGGAAACATTAAGGATCACTTAACATCAAAACGAGGAAGCACTGGCAGAATAAGATTCCCGAAAGAGGAATCTTGCGATATGAAATAACCTGTACTCTGTTGATTAGCCGTTTGAAGGGCCGTTCTTTGAGCTGTGTTCAAAGAATTACCGTCACTATGCGCAGTAAGGGCAGATCCGATTGTAGGCAGTGTAGAATGCAAGCTAGAAGCCACTCCTTGCTTCAGAAGTAATTGTTTTTTCAACTGCAATTCTTCCAATATTTTTTGGTGGTTTCCTATCTCTGCAATAAAATAAAATAACCCTCTTTAATTGTTATGCTTTATTTTTACCTCTCTGAATTTTCGGCGGAGCGAAAGCCATTAAATTGTTTACACAAAACTTGATAGAATGTACGCACTTGTAAAGACAAATTATAGGTTATGTTTAGAAATGTCAAAATAATTATGTTGGCGAAACTGATTTTGGAAGTTGTGGTGTTCTTTAAATTTGATTAGACTTTTTTGCATATTGTGATTCTGTGATAAGAACCACAAATGAACATAGTTAAATCACAACTTTAATTAAGTTCCTTCCATTTAATTTTAATAAATAAAGTATTAAACAACTTACGATTTAAATGTGACATATCTGCAACCAAATTTTAATGTTGGTATCCATAGAAATGGAAAAAAGGGTTAAGTTTACAAATAAGGGACGTTACAAATTCAAGAAAAATGCCTTCAACGTCAATTACCTTGAAACCGAAGAAGCCTTCAAAAGAAAAGGAGAAAAGGAAGTCGCAAACAGGGCAAATAGAATTAAATAATCATGTTGGTAATGACAAAGGTTCTCCAGTTAAGGTGGTAATTAATAAGTTGCTTTTGTTATGTTATTTGTAACATGCTTTTAGGACAACAATAATAAGCAATATGCCGGTATCGGTCCCGAATCAATTTGTATATATGCAGAACATTTGTCCGAAGATATTTATAAGTCTGTTAGTGAGGACTTTCGAAAATCCAGGGAAATATGCAATATCTTGACTGAAGACATTAATTACAAATTAAGATATATTATACATGTAAGTACAATAACAAATAACAAAATGTGGTAATAAAAATTACATTTTAGGATGCATTATTAAAGGCCAAACTTTGCGGTAGAAATAATATTAGTTCAAAAGATATCTCCCAAAGTTTTGAAGGCCTACAACTGGAAAAAGTTTATGGTGCTTCCTCGAATCCCAATTGGTTACCATTAACAGATCAACTAGGAACAATAAATTGTCTTTATTTAGATGTATGTATAATTCTTATACCAAATATAACTACTATACAAATCTTAATTTTTAGGACACCAAAATTAATCTTATGGATCTAGCAGAAGAAGAACAATTCTACACTCAACCCGGTGATTTAGTTATAAGCAAAAGCTGGTACCCTGAAGAAATAAGTAACCAACTAAAGCAATATTTTACGACGGTGTGCCAAAGTGTTGTGAGTTCCGATTGCAAATTAAGACAAACAGCTTTAAAAGACATTAGTGAAAATCCCAAAATCGGTCCTATAATTGAGTGGTTCTATCACTTTGGTTATCTGTTACTGTCCAAAGATATAACCTATGACTGCCTTACGTTAAGAGCCTTAGAATTAATTGATACATTGGAAAGTAGTCCCCTGGGTAGTGCTAATGTATCAGAGAAACAGGTATTTATATAATTTTACTTTTATTAGTTTAAATGTGTTAATGATTTAATTTAAGCAAATTTAGTTTAGTCAGAATTTTAATTTTATTTACTTCTATTGGTTGAAATGTGAGTTCTTATCCAAAGTTGCCTTATTTAGCCACTAGAGGGCTTTACATTTTGTTTTTGATGATTCTGATTCAACAAATTTCCAAATTATTAAATAATTTTTTAATTTAAATTTTTTGGTTTAAAAATAAAAATTTTAGGTTTACATTTATAAATTTATACAATTTTCAACTATCATGTATTGACAGACAAAATTTACTAACTGTTCACTTCTGTATTAAACAATATTATTTTCAATCAATTTTTGCAAAAATTTCAAACCATCATTTTTTAATAAAAATAATTTAAATTTTTTAGTCTTTAAAAATGGTATTGAAACATTTAAAATAAAAACACATATAAAACATTTTCCACCAAAAAAGTTAAATTTTTTTAATCTCAAAACAATTAATAATCAAAAAATTATTTTAAATATAAAATGCAAATGAAAAAGTTTAAGTTTAAAATATTGGTTTTTAAAAAATGTAGTTTTAGATAATATTTTATCCTACAAAATTATTGGTTTAAATTTGTAAAAAGTCATTTAAATAATGCTCCATAAATTTTTAATCCAAAAATTATCCCTTTAAAATTTAAAACTTACATTTAAATATATTGTGAGAATTTTTGTATTAAACATTTATCTACTATCATTTAAATGACTCTTTACAAATTTGAACCCAAAATTTTGTAGAATATTTAAACAAAAGTTTTAAAAAATCAATATTTTTAAGCTTAAAGTTTTACAGTTGTATTTTATTTTAAAAAAAAATTTGAATATTAATTTTTTCGAGTTTAAAAAAGACATTTATCGGACCCTATAGTTATTGGACAATTAATACTGTAAAAACAAGAGTTCTATAAATAGTTACCTTAAAACCAAATCATTAGATGACGCTGTATACAATTATAACTATCTCAGTCGGTAATAATATAGAACTACTTTATTTTGGGTCCAATATTTATTTATTTATTAAAGAAAGACTCTACAGGAAAATTTTCCCAATTACAGAGCTTTTTCTAAAATTAACTTAAAACTAATTAACTTAAGACTAATTTACATAATATGTATTATAACTTCTATTCTTACTTAAATCTATTTACCAAAAAAAAATAAAAATACACTTTCAATAAATACTTGAAAGTATTCCTAATACAAAACAAAAATCTCCAAAAAAATATCCACAATGTTACCTAAAACTATCTTAAAATTTAATTGATAAACTTTAATTCCTACCCAAACCAAAATAAGAAAAACTATAAGTCCAAAAAATATCTTTTTAAAGTATTCTTAAAAACAGAAAAATTAACACCAAAAATGTCAACAATGTTTTGCAAATTATTATATATAATACACATATAATTTATGGGAGAGTATTTACTATAATTTGTAGAACATTGTTTTTCAAAAAATGTTTTGACTAACCTGGTCTTCAAAATTGGTACGTAAAAATTTATTCTATTTAAAGAAAAAATGTCATCAACCAAATAATGTATTACCTTGTACAAATAGCATAATTTGACAAAAGATCTTCTATTTTCTAGCGATAAAATGTTAGATGTCTTGATAAAATTTAAATAATTGTATTCAATGGGAATTTTAAGATAGTAATTTGTAAGTTTATAAAAGTAACTTTGTATTTTATCAATAGATGCTGTATATTTTTTGTAAAAAGGATCCCAAAGAACACAACCATATTCTAATTGCGGTCGTATATACATATTAAATAATCGAGTATAGGTGGATTTGTTTTTAAATTCTTTACAATTTCTAACAATATATCCTATTTTTTTAAAACTATTTTTAGTTATATTTTCAATATGGGTATCAAATTTTAAAACTGGGTCAATATAAATTCCAAGATCCTTAACAATTTCAACCTTATTAATATTAATATTATTTATACTATAAGTAAAATCTATTTTATTGTGCCTGTAAGAAAATTTCATTGTATTGCATTTATTAATATTAAGTGGAAGGTTATTTTTATCTGACCATCTAAAAATTGAATTTAGATCCATTTGTAATTTGTTACAGACATTTTAGAAATATTTAAAAAAATCTTGGCATCATCCGCAAAGAGTCGTATCTCAGAATATTTTATAACATCACAGATATCATTTATAAACAAAATAAAAATTAATGGTCCCAAATTTGAACCCTGAGGTACACCTGAGGTAGAATTGTAGGATGATGAAATATGGCCGTTATAAAAAACCCTTTGTTTACGATCATGCAAATACGAAGATATGAACTCACAAAAATTATCGGTAAATCCATAAAAAGCTTTAAGTTTATACAATATAATTCTGTGATTAACCTTATCAAATGCTTTTTGGAAATCTATGTATACAACATCAACCTGAACGTTATTAGACAACGAGTCATGTATGTATTCAATAAAATTAAGTAAATTACTTGTAGTTGATCTTTTACCAACAAAGCCATGTTGATGTTGAGACAACATATTTCCAACATTACTATATATATATTTATAAACAATTGACTCAAATATTTTACTCACACAAGACAATACAGAAATTGGGCGATAATTTATAACATTTGTTTTATCACCAGACTTAAACAGTGGAGACACCTTTGCATTTTTTAAAACCTTTGGGAACTTTTTTGATTTTAATGATAAGTTAAACAAATAACACAGAGGATTCACAAACACATCACTGCACCCTTTAATTATATACGCTGGAACACCATCTTCACCTGGTGCTGCTCGTGGTTTAAGTTTCTTTATTGCTGCCAAAACATCAATGTTATGTATTTTCTTCAACTCAATAGGACTAATATTACCTGGTTCATCATGTCGAAAGTAGTCATAATCTATATTTTGAATATTAGTGTAAACTTTTTTAAAGTTGTCTGCTATAGCCTCAGCTATTTCGTTCCCATTTGTTAATTCTTTTGTTTCATAGTACATTATGGGAGGTAAACGGGATGTTCTTTTTTTACTATTAATATATGACCAAAATTGTTTTGGATTTGAGCTTATATTATTCTCAGCACTTATTGTGTAATTTTGATAAGCTTTATTTATATTAGTTTTGATTTTTTTTCTAAGTCGTTTGTATTCGATTAAATAGGTTTCATTTTTATATTTTTTGTGTAATTTTCTATTTCTCTCTTTATCATTTAGTAGGTTTTTTATTTCTTTTGTAAACCATGGAGGAAAATTGTTGTTTCTTCGGGTCTTAGGTACTGATGCATTAAATATTGTATAAATAATATTGTAAAAGATATTAAAAGCTACATCGATGTCTTGTTGAGTATAAATTTCCGACCAATCCTGACTTTGAAGTAATCTATACATTAACATAAAATTTGCTACTTTAAAATTATATGTAGATACATTGGGAGGTTCAATTTTTTTTTCAGAAATATTAGGTAGTATTAATTCAACTCTTAAAGTTGGATGATGAGGATCTTCATTAACTAGACCATCATCTTTCTCTATTTGACATTTAAAGTTGGCCGCAACAATGTCTAAAATTTTATTATTTTCATTTGTAAAATTGTTAAATTGCTTTAGATCACAAACAGATAGAAAGTTTATAAAATTGTTTACAAGATTTGTATGAACCCTAAAGGCATTGTAATTAATTAGTTCTGGAATGTTTATGTCTCCAAGAATACAAATATTTGAGTCTCTTTCAAAAGTAAATTGTTGAATACGAGAAAAGATGTCATCATACACTTCCAGTCCCGCACTTGGAGGTATATAAAGTACAATAATAAACACATTTTTTAGTTCTAACTGAATTTTTACACAAATTATATCGACATTTTTATAATTTAAGTCCAATGGCACATTTACAACATTTATGTCTTTTTTAACTGCAATCAAAACACCGCCACCACGTTTTTTGTTGCAATAATTTAGATTTCTATTTGCACGAAAGACGGTATAATTGTTATTAAAAAGTTCACAATCTTCTACATCTTCTTGTAGCCACGTTTCAGTAATTGCCACAATATCATAATTAATTTGCAACGCATTATTATAGAAGGCAGTTGTTTTGGTATTTAATCCCCTAACGTTTTGATATATACAGTTTAATGTGGTCATTTTGGAATTATTAACATATATATGCTATTATTAATACATATATGTTATAGATGCATAAATAAAATGTATTTCATTAAACTAATCTAACTTTACAATGGTTGGTAATCCATTTTTGTATTTAATAGTATATTTTACTTTAGAATCATATAGGATAGGAATATAGGACAAAAAAGTTCGCACGTTACTTTGGTGGTAAGATTTTTGTTTTTTTGTTAAGAGCAGGGCTGTGTTTAAATGACAATAAAAAAATATTTCTAAAAAGTGTACAGATCAGGGTCTGGTATAAATGTGTTCCTCATGATTTAAACATTGTCACTTTAATGCGTTTTAATTTTAATTCTGAAAACAAACAGTAATTGGACATATGTCCAATATCATACTCTATTTGTATCCTGGACATTTACCAGCCAATTCTTATGTAAAATTGTCCCCTGAATCCGAAAAGACCGTCTAAAACTATAAAAGTTAAGCAGTTTTTGAGATATAGTCAATTCCATATTATATGTAAAATTGATTATATTTCAAAAACTGTTCTACTTTTATAACTTTTGACGACATTTTCGGATTCAGCGAATAATATTTTATAGCTAAGAAATTGCTGTTGACGAGAATTAGTAGTTGACGCCTTTTCGCTATGACATTTTTGACTAATTCATTTTTAGAGAGTAAGTAATTAGTGATTTCTTTGTCACAGGACATCTTGTGGAATAACAGTAATTTAAATACAGTGCATGATAGGAAACATAAAAAACTAATGGCAACAAAATTAATAAATTCGGAATACTTTTAACATACCAGCCGAAAAAATATTAGATATATATAAATCATCCTGTTCTGGCCTAAACATTATAAATGCTTTACAAACTACACTTAATAATATTTGCAACAAACTATTTCAGAAGTCAGACCAAGGAATTAGTAGTTACCTTAAGAATCCAGAAAACGGATGAGGAATGCGAGAAAGAAATATATGAATTATATGATATTTACAAAAACGAAATAAAAAAAATTACCTAAAACAGCAATTTATCTTTAAACAATATTTAACAATTTATGTTATTTGATGTAAAGTTGATGTTTATAAAAAAATTGTATGTCCAATAACTATGGTCCATGTGTCCAATTACTATATAAAATGTTCAATTACTATACTTTTTTTCATGTTTTTTTAAAACTAATATTAAAAATTTAAATATTCTTATTTTTAAATAAACGTAAATAAACACACACACTCTCCTTTTATATATTTATAAGAAAAAAACTAAAATCTTTAAAACAAGGGCATATATAAATTTTAAATAAATAATATTCCTAGTGTCCTGGTTTACTCTATGTAAATTTTTGTTAAAACATCATTAAAGTGCTAAACTTTAATCTTTAAATTATTATCTAATAAATGCTAAAACGGCGTGCCACCACACATTAATTAATAAATTTAACATTTTTAGTTAAAGTTATTGGTTAGATTACTATTACAAAGACTATTGAAATCAGTGACCACTGATGAAGTATTAAAACCCATGTGTTCCATATTAGCCAATCTCTGTTTGAGAGTGCCTTTAAGAGAATTTGTTATACAGAAGATTAATCAAAAACTACATAGCCTATTTAGCTGTCCCTTGAATGTTTTGATGATTGTCAGCTACATTGGCATCGATGCAATCAGGGAAATTTTTTTGCCCAACACCAACTATTTTTTGGGGCGAGTAGTACAAAGAAACGACTGTGAATTGTTACACACTGTGTTGGTAGGTTTTTTGCCCTAAAGAAAATAAAACATAAAATGCTAATGTGTACTTTACTCTACCTTGACATTTGAATACCTACAAATAATTGAGGTTATATAACTGTCAGTATAACGCTATTTTCTGAAAAAAAAATGTATAATATAACCCTGAGAGCAAAATTTGATTCTAAGAATCTTCTAAGAAGATATGACCCGGAATAATGGAATATTCTTACAACCTTCCCTTATTACTAAGAATTTTCTTAGGGCTTGTAAAACATTAAATAGATACCCTTTTAATGATGCAATTAGATTCTTAGAAGCTTCTTAAAACCTTCCTAAAAAGCATTCTAAGAACATTTTAAGAATACGTTTTTGGAATGTTCTTAGAAGGTTTCTTATGGAGCTTCTAGGAAGCTTTTGAGAATATTTCCAAATATGTCAGAGACCTACGTTCTAATATGTTAGATTCTACATTCGTAAAATTCTTCAGGAGGCGACAAATACGCCTCACTGTCATAATATGACCGTGAAATGTATTTGTCGTCCCCTTAAAAAATTTTGCGACATATTAATATATATTTATTTAAAAATATTAATTAAACAATTTGACCTCTGAACCATAAGTTGTATGACATTATTTCATAAAAAGTAAAATTGGAAAATTTTGTGGGATAAGTCAGATTAGATTGAAGTTGAAGATAGTTAGAATTATTATAAATAAAAATGTTAATTCAGAAATAAAAAATCGGTATACAAATTAATAAATATTTATTTTTAACATAAAATAAAATATAAAAAAACAAAATATTTCCTTATAAAATAATTCTTCAGAAAAGAAAAAACCAAATAGTTCTTCATAAAAGAAACATTTTTCATTGTATTTAAGTTGGATAGAAGGTTTTATGTAAAAGCTGGATAATTTAGATACCTATAGTAAAAGTATTTTTGTTATCGAATATTGTTTTAATTTGACAAATAACTATAAAAAAATATTTTGGGTTGTGTTTTTTTCTTAATATTTAATACTAAATATACCTTTATACGTAGATTATGGTATATTTTACTATTATATAGGTACCTAACTGAACTGAATATGCTTAACAGAATGTTCCAGGAATATTCCTAAATGAACTTTCTATAGCAATTACTTTTTCAACATTCTAAGCATATGTTTAGAGTGGATTAATTTTTACCACTAAACTTTGCACCTTCTAAGAACCTGCCTATTATATTCTCACTGGCCTATAATAGGCCAGTGAGAATATAGGGATTATGCTTTTAAGCATGTTCTTTAGAAGAAATATAGCATGATCCTAAGAATATTCTTACTGGAAGGTTTAAAAAACATTCTTAGAACATGACTAGAAGAAATATAGCATGATCCTAAGAATATTCCCACTGGAAGGTTTAAAAAACATTCTTAGAATAAACTGTGCTATCAGGGAGTGTATTTGTATTCAAATGTACAAAAGTACACATTAGCATTCCATGTTTTATTTTCTACAATGATTTACGTGTTATCTTTTATTAAAAAACAATATCAATTAATTTTGTAGAGTATATACAATATTATATGTAGAGCAGAGATTCATGGTTGTGACACTTACCATTTATATCACCGAATTTTTGGTGATGGTTTGGTGCCATTTTGGAGACATACGTACATCAGAGAAAAAGGTTTGTTGATATAATTTCCTTTGCAACAATCCTAATGACATTTTTTTTAGCACCCCCTAAGGAGAATAGCAATCACGAACATCTGAAAGTGCAACTTTTGCGGACGAGAAAAAAAATAATTTACGATTCGATAAAGAAAAAGAAGGAATTACATTTTGATTCCCACTATACAAATGGAATTAACGGCATGAGTTTGGAGGAAGTTTTAAGTTTGCCCATGGATAATAATTATTGTGACAACGACTTGGACAAAGTAGATTTAAGTAGTGTCTTTGATTTGCCTACGGAAAAGTGCAGAATCAAAACTATTTTGGACGACGAAAGAATTAAAAGGCTGCCTTACATTAAAGAAACCTCTGTTACAATAGGTAAAATGTCGTTATCTTTACCGCTGTCAGTATTAAATTTTCACAAACCGAAATTCCGTTCAAAATGTTGCAACCATACTTTGTTACAATATAATTTATAAAATGATTTGTACATGGTTTTGTTTTAACCAAATATTGCAACCGCCTATTCCAGTTCCTATTTATTTATTTTTATTTTCAGTAAAGTGAACATTTTTATTTTAATTTTGGACAACATTTTTATTCAAAATTGTTTTTACCTAATTTAAATGATGTAAACAGGTTTTTTCATCATCTTAATATTATTATTTGACAGGAAATTAAGATTTTAATAAAGCTCAAGACATATTTATTTACATGGTCTGATTTAGAAAATAGCGAGGACAATAATATTATTTAGTCACCATTTTTTAACTAACAAATAAGGAAATATAATGTAGGTTTTTTCTTCCACCCACTTTGACCTCTAAATTCCCATTTAAATACACAACAGGTAAACAAAAAATATTATTAGTATTTTTTAAATATGTTTTTAAATGCCTTTACGAAAATATTACATAATTATTTTTAATTAAAAAGCACAAATTGTAAAAATCAACGATAAAGTTTACCATTACTAAATAGTCTAATTTTTTAAACCTAGTCAAAGTTTGGTTAAATAGAATCCAAATGCATTACTTCTAAAATACAACTACCCACCAAACACCCTGTATTCATTAGGGTCGGTTTTATTGAAAAATAATATTATTAAGTATATAGACACAATATTAATAAATAATACAAATTAAAGTGAATTTGTTTATTTAAATTTTGCTAATTTATATAACATGTAATTACAAGTATTGTATCACAATTTTGTATGCTAATTTTGCAATTTAACATGGTCCCAGCAAATAGACAAAAATGCTGCATTTATAATCCCGAAATTTAAAATAATATTTTCCTATTTAACCATATAATTATTATAAAATATTTTCAGAATCAAATTTAACATATTATCTGTGCGGTATATGATGGCATAATAATTTATATAAAAATTGTAATTTTTGCTCCAAAAAATTATAAATAAATGTGTTAAATTATATTATTCTAGTAATTAAATTTTTCAGATCAAAAATTACAGTTTTTATTATTATTTCAAAACTTGATTGCCAATATTAAATTATAGTATATAATTTACAACCTGTATTGTTTGGAAATATGCATATTTAGTAGGAGCATTTTAATTTTTTCAACATTTCTCATTATTTTTTTTTGAAGTTGGACAATTATCCTTAACAATAAATTCTGTAGTGTAATATTAAAGATATGTATTATAAAATATACTTTATCTACTCCTACATTGACGAGCTGTGACATGACTTTTTAGTAACTTAATAAATTTGGCAACAGTGGGCTTTTTAGTCACGGGCTGAAGTTAGCTTTATTATAAATTGGAAAAAAGTGAGGTTTTATCCGGGTGACAGTTGACATATGTCAAATTTTTAACAAATAAAATTCTGTTTTTTGTTAGTCACAGATAAAGTATAGTATGCAACTCGTTTTATAAACGACTCCGGACACAATCGCTCGTGACTAATTAAAACTCGTGACTAAAATGCCATTTATCAAGTTTAAACTTGTTACATAATCTGATGTGATACATCTTAATAATTTTATATTTCCAAATATTACAGTTTTGGAATAAATGCATAACTTTAAAATTTAGAAACAGCAAAGGGTACAACATTTTTTTGTTAAAATATGCTGCAGTGATACTCACAAATTCTAAAGCACCTTGGATTAATTTTTTGTTATTATGCTAAGACTAAGTGCTAAAAAATTAATGACGTGTGCACATTTTATATTCTAGTCTAACTATTAACATTAGCTTTGCTTTAAACATTATCAGTCTTAAAAAGAAGCAAATATGGACTTAAAAAAAATCTAAAAACATTTTGAAATATGAATCAAGCATTCAAGTTTATTGAATCTTTTTTTAATTGTTATACAAGCTCATAGACAGTTATAAATCTTCAACTTTTTATCCCTGCATTTTATAATTCAGTCAAAATGTTTTGTATTTAATATGCAACAAAATTTTAGTCTTTGTATTCAAAGATAATACCCTCCAGGGAGGTATTATCTTTGTTGTAGCGCGTTATCACAAAAATTTCAAGAATATGTCACAGTTGAGTCCCTGTATATATTTTTGGAGTTTTTTGGTTTTGACAGTTCTTAATGCTCCATGCATTAAACTAAATATACAAGGACTACAGTTGAGTTGATAGCAATTTTGAGCCAATATTAAAATTATATATTGTTTCAACTTATAAGTAACAAATATAAAACAGTCTTAAAATTTAACATGCCGAACAGGCGCGTTCGGAAAGCTCATTTTTTTGGTTTAAAACATTGATCTTTTCGTTGGTATCTAACAATGAGTATCCCTGAAAATAAAATAAAAATATTTAATATGATTGGAGAAAAAGTCAGTGTCAGACAATTTTTCTGTATGTCTTCATGAATGTATACAGGGTGTCCTAAGATTAAGTAGCTTGACATCAGCAGCAATAATAATAATAATAGTAACTTTTTAGTTAAAAGTACCAAAACCTGGGACGCCCTGTATAAACAAATTTTATGGATATACTTACTTTTTGTTCGCGTTTTTCTCTAATTTTTCGGGCCAATTCCATAAAAGAAGATTCTATGTTTACGTTGTCTTTGCAGGAAACTTCGAAAAATGGCAAATCGAAATGTTCTGCAATCTGTACAAAAAATATTAAAGAAATATTCTCATTTCAATTATCATTTTATGGAAATGCATAATAACCAATAGAATTAGTTACTGTTTACATAGACAATTTTTACTTACTCTACCCCTGATAGCAAAATTTGATTTTAAGAATCTTCTAAGAAGATATGACCCGGAATAAGGGAATATTCTTAGAACCTTCCCTTGTTGCAAAGAATGTTCTTAGGGACTTTTAAAACATTAAATAGATACCCTTTTAATGTTGAAATTAGATTCTTAAAAGCTTCTTAAAACCTTCCTAAAAAGCATCCTAAGAACATTTTAAGAATACGTTTTTGGAATGTTCTTAGAAGGTTTCTTATGGAGCTTCTAGGAAGCTTTTGAGAATATTTCCAAATATGTCAGATACCCACATTCTAATATGTTGTATTCTACATTCGTAAAATTCTTCAGGGGACGACAAATACGCCTCACTGTTATAATATGACAGTGAAATGTATTTGTCGTTCCCTTAAAAAATTTTGCGACATATTAATATATATTTATTTAAAAATATTAAATAAACAATTTGACCTCTAAACCTTAAGTTGTATGACATTATTTCATAAAAAGTAAAATTGGAAAATTTTGTGGGATAAGTCAGATTAGATTGAAGTTGAAGATAGTTATACATTATTATACATAAAAATGTTAATTCAGAAATAAAAAAGCGGTATACAAATTAATAAATATTTATTTTGAACATAAAATAAAATACTTATAGTAAAAGTAATTTTGTTATCGAATATTGTTTTAATTTGACAAATAACTATAAAAAAATATTTTGGATTGTGTTTTTTACTTAGTATTTAATACTAATTACTAATTAGGTACTTAAGTATAGGTATATACCGTATACGTAGTTTATAGTTTATAGTATATTTTACTAACTGAACTAAATATGCTTGACAGGAATACTCCTAAATGAACTTTCTATAGCAATTACTTTCTTAACATTTTAAGCATATGTTTAGAGTAGACTAATTTTTACCACTAAAACTTTGCACCTTCTAAGAACCTGCCTATATGCCAGAATATTCTTAGGATCATGCTATATAGTCAGACCCCTCTTTCCCATTGGGCACTTTGGGCAAGTGCCCAGGGCCCCGGGATCGACAGGGGCCCCCTCAGATCAAATACAATGTAGTTATAATTTGTCAAGAAACTGAAAAATTAATTAGACAAATCGTCACCTGAGAATTATAGTGTTCTATCTGCATTTTCTTTTTTTTATTTAGGTTAGTCTTGTTTTAAGTATTAAAGATGCATATTGTTCTATCTATATATAATTGGGGTAGAAATTGTACAGTTTAAGCCTTAAACGTTACAATTTCTACCCCAATTATATATAGATAGATCAATATCATCTATAAGACTTAAAACAAGACTAACCTGAATAAAAAAAAGAAAATGTAGATAGAACACTATAATTCTCAGGTGACGAAATGTCAAATAAATTTAAATTTAAAAATAGTGCCATGTATAAGTAATAAAGTATTGTACAGTCAATATTTTCAAATTCTGCAATGATTGATCATATAAAGAACCAAGATATATTGGACAATCATAGAATTCTTCTGATTAAAAAAATTATTGTTATATTTTTAAGCTCCAGACTAAATTGGGAAGGTAAAAAGGCTTCTGAAAAACCAGAATATGTTAGACAAAAACTACATAAGCTAATTTTATTTAAAAATCAATAAAATATTGTTTTTCTTTATTATTTATTTATAAAATATCCTAATTATTGGAATCATGTTTTTTAGTGTACATATTTGGTTACATATGGTTTATTTTATGTTTGTTTTTATAACTTGTATTATTATTTATAATTTTATTGGTACCAAATATGCTTGAATTAAATTGGGGGTTTAAAAATTAATACTTGTGTTTCTTTTACCTAACTAATTTTAAAATAATGTTATATCAATGTAAGTAAATTCACAATCTAGTCCCTTTTTTACAAGTAAGTATACTTATAAATCAACTGCTTATAGAAAAAGGAAGTATACCTTACACTTTTCAGTTTTGAAACAGAATTTCCCTAAATTAATTTGGACTTAAACCCAATATATTGGGTTTGGTTTCGAAATATACAATGTCTGTCGATAACTTGCGATCAATCTCCAAACAGCTAATAATAAGCGCGATGATATTTATCTATTCGTTTCATGTGATTGTTAATAAAAATAAATATTTAACCTTGTTTATCTACTTTCTTTGTCTATTCTAACAAAATAGTGTTCTGTCAAAGTCATAGGGGCCCCATTATCCTAACATGCCCAGGGCCTCCAATAGGTTAAAGACGGCCCTGTATATAGTCATGTTCTTTAGAAGAAATATAGCATGATCCAAAGAATATTCTCACTGGAAGGTTTAAAAAACATTCTTAGAATAAAGTGTGCTATCAGGGACTGTGTTAAAAATAGATAAATTTCGATATTTTGTAATAAAATTTTTATTTAAAAACGTATAATAGCAATAAATCCACGTATTATTTTTTTTAGATTTTACATACAGGGGGCGGTAGGGACAATTTAATTTAAAATTTTACCATGTTTTAAGGGTTAAAAAGTCGAAAAAGCAACGTTGTTTTATAATTTTGAGTATATCACGTTAAAGTACTGATAATTAAATATTATTTGATATATAAACTTCTACATGCAAATTATGTTTCTACGAGAGTCACCATTTTTAAGTTAGGCCTTCAAAGAGCATAATACCAACGTGTTTTACAAATTATATATTCTTTTTCTAGTTTTATAAGATAATATATTATATATATATTACATATAACATACAATTCTTACATATTTATTTTAAAAAATCGCCATAGATGGAGCTAAAATTACTTGTACCTATTTATAAATTTAAATTTTTTTCAAGTTTACTAATTTTGATCATAGTAGGCATCATAGACTTTTCTCTATAGTAACCTACCATTGGAAGCATGAAAGATAATTTGACAGTTGAGTTTATAAGTTGCAAATGTCTTATTGCGTTTCAAGTGTACTATAAAATCAACACATTAAATTATTAAAATGAATAAACTAAATAATAATTATAGACAGTGTCAGCAAGTTAGAAATTATAACCTACTTTAATTTTATTTTTTGCTCCACAACCAAGCTTCAATTTATTTTTTACTCGATAACCAAGCTTCAATTTTAATTTTAAACTGAGGAAAGTAATATTTACCCAATAAATAAATTAGAATAAAGACTTTATTTTTTATGTTGCGATCGGCGTTTTAGATACCTATATGTATATTTTTTATTCAGTTGTTTTTCGCTTTTTTGTTATTTTGCATTTTTTTATATTTAATATAATACTATAAAGGGTTTTTTTTGAAGAAACACAAACGATATGGATAGCAAATACAATTTGATTTAGACTATACCTAAAGTCAATAGTTTTCAAGATATTAATTTTTTTTGTTATTATGTTTGCTGACATGGGGTTGGAATTTTTGGAATATTAAAACATTGTTTAAATAATTTATTTTTTTAAGGTTTTTCAACAAATACCTTGAGAAAAAAACACTTGAAATTAGGCAAATTCAAACAATAACGTTTTTATTATAAATGTAAAACCCTGTATGTTTTAACATAACACAGCCACACAAAAAAAAAAAAAAGTCAGATACTTTTTACGAGACATATGTATTTCTATGTATTTTGACTCGCTGAATCCGAATCCGAGGTCAAAATAGGACCTTTCACGATTGGTTTTCGACATAACCTCAAAAAAACCGGTTTTTCAAGTATAGAATGGCGAAACAAAGTTTGATTTTAGATTTCAAGCTGCTGAATTCATATATAGCATCAGTTTTATAATATAACTATAGAATCTAAATCATAATCTCAAAACGTAGTTGTTTGAGCGGTGCTCTGCAGGACTAAGTAAGATTTCCGTACTTTCAGGAATCGAATCCGATATAGTCGATATAGTCGAGCTAGCGTTTGTTTTTCATAAATCACCTCGGTGGATCAAAATCAGTGAATTTTAAATCATTTTTTAGGAGAACATACTTTTATTATTGGATTAGTAGAATTTAGAGCAGTTGATTAGATAGCTGTCTGCGAATGAGATGGTTTCTATATAGTTCTGCATACTCACTCAGTCCTGCAAAGCACTGCTCAGACAATTATGTTTTGAGGTTATGTTCTAGATTTTCTTGTCATATCACAAAACTGATACTATACAGGGTGTCCGGGAAAAGGAGGTCAATCCGTTAACCATATATTCCTTGAGTTAAAACAATAAGACTTTCATAATACCATTTTTCAATTTAGAGCTTCATGTTCAATATACAGGGCGACAAAGTTTGAAATTTAAAACTGATTTTTTTAAATAATTCGAGTAATTGATAAGATACTAAGTTTAAATTCGGTACACTACTTTAACATAAATAGTTACATTTTTTGAGACCAACAAAACAAAAAACAATTGTCAAATAATCAAAATAGGGGGGTCCAGTACTCACTGACTCCCCCTATTTTTTAGTACGTGCGCCAATGACTTCCAAACGGTTTTTTTCCAGGTAATCATTTATTGTTAAAAAAAATTTGTCTCTTATAAAATTTTGATAAAATGATTTGTTTTAGAGATAATTTGTAAAGTATGGGTCAGTCCATATCAAATCAACCAAAGGTTCTTCCCCCACCATCTCCGATTTTGATCATTTTTGGTAAATTTGTTTACCTCACTAAAAAACTCAAAAATCCCATAAATGAATTTTTTTCGATAGGTGGTTTTTGTTTTATTGATTTTTGAAAATCAAAAAATTCCGATAAATTTGGGTCTTGCAAGTACTTACAAAAATAGCGATATCTCGTAAACTATTAAAAGTAGAAAGGTGAGTGATGGCTTATTTTAAAGGCCTATTAGAGAACTTTTTTATGATATATCACATGACCTACATTTTTTCAAAAAAAAATTAAATTTTGAAATTTTGATATGGACTGACCCATACTTTACAAATTATCTCTAAAACAAATCATTTTATCAAAATTTTTTAAGAGACAAAACATTTTCAACAATAAATGATTACCTGAAAAAAATCCGTTTGGAAGTCATTGGCGCACGTACTAAAAAATAGGGGGAGTCAGTGAGTACTGGAACCCCCTATTTTGATTATTTGACAATTGTTTTTTGTTTTGTTGGTCTCAAAAAATGTAACTATTTATGTTGAAGTAGTGTACCGAATTTAAACTTAGTATCTTATCAATTACTCGAATTATTAAAAAAAATCAGTTTTTAATTTCAAACTTTGTCGCCCTGTATATCGAACATGAAGCTCTAAATTGAAAAATGGTATTATGAAAGTCTTATTGTTTTAACTCAAGGAATATATGGTTAACGGATTGACCTCCTTTTCCCGGACACCCTGTATATGAATTCAGCAGCTTGAAATCTAAAATGAAACTTTGTTTCGCCATTCTATACTTGAAAAACCGGTTTTTTGAGGTTATGTCGAAAACCAATCGTGAAAGGTCCTATTTTGACCTCGGATTCGGATTCAGCGAGTCAAAATACATAGAAATACAGTTGTATTCAATAAAAAAGCGTACAAGAATTAGAATGAGAGAAAACTGTCAAAATAATATTATTGCTTAAAACCGGCTTATCACTGACATAAGTCATTAAAATAATTACTATAGGTTATAAAGAGCATTGACGTCGTAGGTTAATTAAATAATATTACAAAAATTATTAATTTTTAATATAGATTTTTTATTTCTATTATACCACGGTACAAATTGACCATTCTTCTTCGATTCTTGATACTATTTGAGCCTTTTTAACTGACGAGGCATTTTTATTTTCTACTGTCAGTTATAGTGACTTAAGTCAGTGGAAAGCCGGTTTTACGCAATAATGTTGACAGTTTTCTCTCATTCTAATTCTTGTACGCTTTTTTAATGAATACAACTGTACATATGTCCCGTAAAAAGTATCTGACTTTTTTTTTTTTTTTGTGTGGCTGTGTAATCAAATAAAATATTAAAGAATCTTTCGATTGGTATTATAATAACTGTTTCCTAAAGTTAAAATTTAAGATACATTTAACAATTTCTAATATTTTCAATACTGTTTTGTATCAAAAAACCTGTGAAATTCTACATGTGGTTTAATGTGATAGTATCCATGGTTACCACAAAATTAATTAAAATATTTTTTTGAAATTTATAACTCGAAAAATATTGACTTTAGGTCTAGGATATGGTATAGCCATTTTACTCAGAATTTTATGTAGAATTAAAAAATGTAAAAATATATTAGGTGTCCTGTTTAAAATAACAAAGTTAAAGACATTTCCGTTAAAACAGGAAGTATTATTTTGTTCAAAATAATTTAGGAAAAAAGTCTAAATCGAATAATTTACGCTATTAAAATTTTAAATCGATGTCTTTCGCGATTCCCTAGAAACTTCTAACGGACTACGTGAAACACCCTGTATATTAAACGTCATTTATGTGTTATGCTATACTTAATTATTAATAAAACATACAACAATATTGTATAAAAATGACAAAATGTACTTAACTAAACATTTATGAATACTGCTACTGCTAATTTAAAACTGATCCTGGCCACAGAAACATCATTTGCATAAAAAAGTTAATATATCAAATAATAGTAAAATATCAATACTTTAACGTGTTATACTCAAATTTATAAAACAAAGTTGCTTCGATTATAAATTTTTAATAAATTTTTTATTTTATTACGTATCGATTTAAAATTTGGACAAAATGTAAATCTTAATTAATCTATGACAAAATTTTGTTTAGATTTTAACGTACAGGGGGCGCTGGTGATAATTTAGTTTAAAATTTAACAATTTTTTAAGGGTAAATAATTATTTACCCTTAAAAAATTGTTAAATTTTCACCAGCGCCCCCTGTACGTTAAAATCTAAACAAAATTTTGTCATAGATTAATTAAGATTTACATTTTGTCCAAATTTTAAATCGATACGTAATAAAATAAAAAATTTATTAAAATTTTTTTTTAACACTGAAGAAAAAAATAAAAATAAAAGCAAAGTCGTCAATGGACAAATTTTTTTTTTAAAGTACTGCATTTAGATGTAGAAATAAGGTAAAAAAGTTTCAGTCTAATACCCTTCTGTATTTATTAAATTTTATTTACTCACCCAGCTATTAGCAATGATTAGAAAATTTAGTACCTAGGCATCACAAATACAGTTATAAATTAAAAGTAAAAAGCAAATGTTTGCCTATATCAAAGATTTTTGCCATCTTTTTTATAAATAAGGTAAGGGACGGTCTAGAGTCAAAAAATAATTTCAACAAGAAAAACTGACAAATTTTATATTAAAATTTTTTTGGATCTAAATATTAAAATATGGGGGAATTACACATACCTTTTTGCCGCTATCAGTATCGACAACACGGTCATTAGAATCGCTTTTATTTCCTGCCAATAGTGTTATAACATGTGGGGATGCGTTCTACAAAAAATCCCGATAAAATATCGACGTAATTTTTTATATTATCAAAAAGCAAACCTCCTCGATATTTTGCAACCAATAAGTAAGATGATTAAACGACTCTAAATTGGTGACATCGTACAAAAGTATTATGCCCATCGCCCCCCTGTAATATGCCGTCGTGAGGGTCCTGAATCTTTCTTGGCCAGCTGTGTCCCATATTTGGAGTTTTATCGGGACACCGTCCAAGTTGACGATCTTCTGCTTGAAGTCTATGCCTGCAACACACTTTTTGGTATTAAGTGTATCCGGTTTTAAGGTCTTAAAGCAATTTGTCTCACCGATGGTGGATATGTAGGTGTCGTAGTAACGCTCGTCGCAAAAACGATGGACTATGCACGTTTTGCCCACGTTAGAGTCGCCCAGGACGAGGATCTTGTATGTAGCGGCGAAATCCAGCGCCATTTTTTAATATCGATTTCATTGTTGTGTTTACCTGCCATCGCGCACGAATTGATTTTCCATTAACTAGCGCGCATGGACACTGAAATTAAGCCATTGGTAATTCTCCCATAACTTTAATATTTTTAAATACAAACCCAAACCGCAAAACACCATCGCAGACGCACATCTCCTACTGATATTTTAAACTTATCGGTATATATAGTTATCAAGCGTGCGTAAGCAACGGTGAGAGGTATTGCAACTAAACTAATGAATATTCACTGGGAATGTTCTTAGATGGTGTTTGGAAGTTTTAGAGGATCATTCTATGAAATATTCCAAATGAATATATATAAGTGGATTATTCTTTAAGGAATATATGTAATTCCTTAATGGATTTTTTAATCAAATTTTGTATATATAGTCAGTAGACTGGGCCAAAAAAAATGACTATTTTTTTGTTGAAAAATATATCGAGAATGTCATTCAGAATGACAAAAAATAATTTCGTGAAAATTTGAGCCCTTAATATTATTTTTAAGAGGTCTATCATCGCTATTTTTGATTTTTAGTCATAATTTGATGTTTTACGTTAGAACTGTCAAAACATTAAAGTGAAAAAAATTCCTTTTCACTTATTTTTATATAAAATTCAATTCTCTACAAAAAAGGTCAGATTGAAAATTTTCCGAGTTATTGAGCTTTTTACTTTGAAATTTTGTAACTAATGAATCAATGAATATTTAAAAAAGCTCACGTCGGATTCTTAAAGGAAATTTAATGTTCTAAAAAAAAGGTCTCTTAACATTTTTGCTTAAATTTAATTCTTCAAAAGTTATTCACGATTAAAATCGAAGAAAAACTTAAAATTTCAATTTTTTCTTCGTGAATAACTTTTAAAGAATCAACTTTAGGCAAAAATGTTAAGAGATCTTTTTTGTAGAACATCAAATTAAAAAATTAAAATTAAATTGATTCATTATGACTAAAAATCAAAAATAGCGATGATAGACCTCTTAAGGGCTCAAATTTTCACGAATTTTTTTTTGTCATTCTAAATGACATTCTCGATATATTTTTCAAAAAAAAATAGTCAATTTTTTTTGCCCAGTCTAATAGTCAGTTTTACAATAAAAAAATGCCTATTCTGTTTTTTTGAATTTTGAACTTCTTTTTAAATCGTTTTAGGTTAGGTTTTGGGTTTTGAACAATTTGCTTATACCCATTACACTTGGTTTTTAATTCTCCACAATTAAAATTCGTCGATAAGTAAAAAAGTTACAGAGGTGTCCACACTCAAAAGGAAACAATTTATATAACTCGTGAACTACTCGTCAAAATATAAACATTATTTATAAATATAATTACCTACATTTTAAAAAACGAATTTCTCAATTTGTTGGTAGGATCTCCCGGAAATAAGGGACGCACCCTGCTATAGGGTGCGTCCCTTATTTCCGCACGCAAGATCGATTTTCAATAAATGTATAAAAGTAAAAATATACCTATTATTTATCAGAATTTATATTAAAATATAAATTAGGGTTGCCAACCGTCCTGTTTTTCCAGGACATGTCCTGCTTTTTGGGGTGTCCTGGATAGTATAATACGCTATACCCAGATTGGTTATTTTAAATTTATATTATCTTAATACTTAATTTAAAAAAAAACCTGTTTGTTTATAATGTTTTTATTACAAATGGATATTATTAATTGTAGGAAAAATAACCAATCTACAAGAATGTCAGATATATATTTATTCAGTTACCCTATATGGTATACCCATCATCGTTGTCAAAACTTAAAATCCTACATTAATTTTGTTTCTATTACACCAAAATAAGATGGTACCTAATTATATCTTCCTATGAAGTGGCTGATAATGGGATATAATTTTAACTTGTCAAAATTCACTATTTTATAAAAAAATTAAAAAAAAAATAAACGGCGATATAAGGCATTTATAAGATGTCTTTAGAACATTAATGAAGATATCTTTAAGACGTCTATCAAAAGACGTCTTTCAGACGTCTTTTTAGATCTTCAGACGTTCAGGCATAATACAAACATACAAAAGACATCTTCATGAAGAAGTACTTCTAAGGTATTACTAATTAGTATAAAAATAATAATTTTAAAATTTGTTTTTTATTAATAATGATTAAAATTAATTATTGTTATAATTGTTTTAATATTATTATTACTTAAACAACAAAACAAATATATATATATATTTAGAAAATAGCAAAAAGTCAAGAAAAAAATATCAAGACTTTGATTTTTTAATATTTTAAAAGTACCTACCTAGGTATTTTCTAAAAATATTTTAAATTCGCTTAAGACAATCGATTTCCCCCCAAATATCCGCTCTGCATTAGTAAACTTGTACGGTATCCCAAACCCCGACCCATTAATACTTGCATCCTACGTTTATTTTAACCATATGCTCATTTTATAAACGCACACCTATTTAGGTAGACCATGTGGGATGCGGGTAGAAAAGCGTACCTTGTTTGTATTGAATTTATAAAACTTGATGACCTCATCGTATGCCGTCTGCCGTATATGGTGGTGATATCACAGGCGTCCTTTAAATTTGTGACTCAGAAATTATTATTATTAGTATTCTACACGGAGAGAAAAGTATAATGCTGATTACCATAATTATAATACACTTTAGTAAAGGGCCTTTACTATAATTTATATTACTATTTGGGACAACTATCTTGTATATTGCCAGATACTATCCATGTATGTTCAACCTTAAGGTAAAATATTATTATTCTCAACCAAATTTGTTTTTAATTCTTATTATAATTAGATTTTTTCCATTACTAATAAGTATAGTAAATTTTAAAATATTATGTTGCGATTTTAAATATAAACGAATATTTTTATATGTTAACAATTAAAAATTGTAACATATTTATTGTACTTTTTAATATACAAAAATGTTATGAGAAAGAATTGAACCTACATCTCGACAAAGTTTTTTGTTTTGAGTGCGTTCCATCAACTTCAAATACCGAAAGACAGGTGTTTTGACCTATATTGGGTATCATCAGTGTCGACACGACACTGTCGAGCAACTTGTAGTAGTGGAACACACCCAAAACAAAGAAATACAGTTGTATTCAATAAAAAAGCGTACAAGAATTAGAATGAGAGAAAACTGTCAAAATAATATTATTGCTTAAAACCGGCTTATCACTGACATAAGTCATTAAAATAATTACTATAGGTTATAAAGAGCATTGACGTCGTAGGTTAATTAAATAATATTACAAAAATTATTACCTTTTAGAAATGAAAAAAAACAAACATTAAAAAATATTTAATATTTAGTCATGCATCCCTGTTTTTCTATTACTTGAGCCAATCTATTTGGGATGAACTGAATTAAATTTAATACAATATTTGGATTAATATCTTTCCAGCAGTATAGTAGGTATAGTATAGTTGTATAGTTTCCCATAAATCCTCAGATATCCCAAAAAAGCAGCATCCTGTTCAGGGTGGACATTTTCCCAAACAGCACACAACATCCTTAAGACGTCTTGTTTATGTCTTAATAAGGTCTGAACGTCTTAAGACCTAAAAACGACGTCTTAAAGACATATTTGAGAAGACGTCTTAAAACAAGCAATTTAGTAACGTCTTAAAGACGTCTTTTTAAAGTCTGTTTCGGGATATAAACTATCTAGGATCTACCTGCTGTACTGCAATTTGTACCCGCGGCGTTTACTTTATTAAGATAACCTGTATAAATTAATTAATTACTTTCTTTAACTTTTGAATACATTTAAAGACTTAGTAAGGACGTCTTAAAGGCGTATTTTTGAAGACGTCTTAAAGATATGCAATTTGTGATATCCTAAAGACGTCCATGAAAGCCTAGTATACTATATATACCATATATGGGACATTTTAACCTAACTGCCTATTGAGAAACTCAAAAAAATGTACACCCATACAAAACTATCTGTTTATGTGAAGTGTAAGACTTTGCTCTATATATACTAAATACTTATTTTTAACAGTTTAGGTAGGTACTTTTATATCAACAATCTCTCTATTTTAATATTATTTGATACCAATGGTAATTTTAAATTTAGCGCGCTTCTATTATTTCCCTCTTGTGGAATTTGCCTTAAATACAAAACTGGACAACGTTGTCAGATCGACTAATTTTTAGCAGATCTACAACAAATTAAATATAACAACAAAATGTATTCAATAAAATATTAAAACTTACAGCATTTGTAATCAGGGCCTGTATAGGCAATTTTTTGTAGGATTTAATATTAAATCCAAACACGATAGAAATAAAGAAACAAATAAAACATCTGACCAAACCACCATGCGCAATGTGCAAAGAGAACTCCGGCAACGCTATTGTCAAAGCGGAATTGGCATATGATTAGCCATTTTGTTTGTTTTTTTTACAAACATTTTTGTTAGCTGATACTGCTTGACTTTGCATTTTATTTAAACTTTTTCGGTGTCTAGCTATTTACAAATAAAACTTACTGTGAACTATGAGAGTGAGTGTGAGTACCTACTCTAATAATTATAAAACTTAATTTTATGGCCGTTGTTTGGACCAAACAGTGTCGTGTCTTCAATCTTCAGCAGTGAGAATCCAGTGAAATAGGTAATAAGAAATATGAAGCGTATTCGTTTAAGTAAATATTATTTTTTATAAAATAGCTGTCTATTTAAAAGTTTTAAAACCTGTTAAAAAACAAACAAACCGCTGTTGTGTAAATTAATACGTTTTTTTTTTAGGATCAGTGGAGAAATCGGGTCTTGCCAAATTTGATAAAGATACGGAAATTGCTATTCAAGCTTGGCTAAAAAGGGCATCAGATAGAAGAACCCAATTATTAAAGAAGTTTTAAGATTTTTTTTTCAAATATTTTGCTATCTGTATGATTTTATGTGGCCAACCTTCCAAGTTGGAACACTTTGTTTATTTAAAAATAGAAAATAAAAGTTTCAGTGGATTTTGAACGATTTTTTTAATTTTAGCAATAAATTTTAGTCCCTTAAAGACGTCTTTACGACGTCCATTAATGGCCGTAAAATGACTTAATAAAGATGTCTTAAAGACGTTGGGTTTTTTAACATTCGACGTCTTAAAGACGTCGTAAAGACGACGTGCGGCGTAAATAAGACGTCTTAAGGATGTCTTGAATAGCGAAGCAAGGCGTCTTTAAGATGTCTTAAAGATGTCTGTGTGCTGTTTGGGTTGGGACGACCTGAACCAACTTTTTGGTTTAGTAAATCTTCCTGTTCCCAGCGTTGCTTAATTTTTAATATAGATTTTTTATTTCTATTATACCACAGTACTAATTGACCATTCTTCTTCGATTCTTGATACTATTTGAGCCTTTTTAACTGACAAGGCATTTTTATTTTCTACTGTCAGTTATAGTGACTTAAGTCAGTGGAAAGCCGGTTTTACGCAATAATGTTGACAGTTTTCTCTCATTCTAATTCTTGTACGCTTTTTTAATGAATACAACTGTACCTGAGCTTATATAACATGGTTGGTAAGCCAACAGAGGCGAGATGTAAGAAAATCACGTGATCCACACCGTCTAACGACGCGTCGCGACGTGGCCTTGCCACAATCGGTACATACTATGCAACCAAGTAGGTTCAATTCTCTTATAAGTATTACCAGTAATGGGTCAAGAAAGTTTATTGAAGAAACTAAGAAAATTGAATGTTTAAAATGTCATGAGTTACTATATTGTATATTATATTTAAATATATTGTTTACCTATTTACCTTGTACATAAAAGTATCTTTAATTTTACTATATTTTTTTACTATCTAAAATTTACTATACATTTATCTCCGTGTATTGGATCAAAATAATGATATATATTGTATAATAGTCAACAATTCTTTATTTCTTTTAATAAAATAATTCTTTTTATCATCTACTTCTTGAAATAATTTTAAAAATTCTTCCAAGAAGATATATCTAAATATATTTATTCTTGAAAACTTATATTTAGATTAAACCCTCCTATACTTATAGGTAGTCTAAATTTAGAACAATTATATTTATAGCCTTGTTCTTAAGAACACAAAAGACGTGTCTTAAAATGTTACCTTTCTCTTCTAAATTACTTAAGTTAATTTACCTAAAATACCTACCTGGATATATATATCCAATATATTGTCACGATATTCTAAGTAGGTACAGTAAAAATGATTGAAAAACGTATATTTTTTTAACCATAGAAATTTGGCATATAAAACGCTGAAGAAATTTCCGCTACAGCGACTTGACCGTGAATTTCTCCTCAATAAATATGTCAATGACCGTATGGTTTAAAAACTTTAAAATACTTAAAAATTGACTGAACTACAAGCAAAATTCGTTATTAAACATCACGCATTCAACTAAAAGTCCTTATTTTAAACTCCTACGACTTTTTTTTGCATTCAAATAAGCAAAAATTCGCCGACATGCTTTTGCCGCATTTTGTATTCCGTTATTCACGTGTCACCCGGCGACCAATAGCCGGTCAGGATTTAGGCGTTGGTTTGTGACGTCACGGAAGCTATATAACGTGCAAACAGCCGATTTCTCACCAAGTTCGTTTGGAAACCTGCATCACGAGTGTTTCGAGCGTCTTGCTTATATTTTTATTAGTAAACCTTTTTGTGGTGTAAAAGAAAACAACTAAGACAAAATGGTAAGTGTAATGTGTTTTTTATTTGTTATATTTTAAATTTTCGCTCAAATTAATTTGATATCGTTTAAATCCAATAAAACATGACGTTTTAACCGGCAAGTAGGTCGCCATTTGAAATACGGACTAAAAAATCGTTTTAATTTGTACATTTTTTTAACAAAATATTAAAATCTAAAATAATAATAAATTAATTCAAAATTAAAATTTAAAAACAGAAAATGTATCGGTTTTTTGTTACTTAACTTATTTTAATTCTTAATTTAAATTTTTAATTTTAAAATTCATATCTTCCAATTTAAATATTTTTCTACAACTTTATCTACTCCTACATTGACGAGCTGTGACTCTATGGAGCTTTAGTCACGGGCTGAAGTTAGCAGCAATAGTGGCTTTTGGACATTTTAGTCACGGGCTGAAGTTAGCTTTATTATAACCCAGGTAGCACAACGTGACGAAACCGTGACGATTTGTGTCCAATTGGACACAATGGACAGAAATCGTCACGGTTTCGTCACGTTGTGCTACCTGGGAAATTGCAAAAAATTGAGGTTAAATCCGTTACATTTGACAGATGTCAAATAAAATTGGGTTTAATGTGATTAAGTATAGTATGCAACTCGTTTTATAAACATCTCTAGGCACTCGTTTTTATTAAACACTCGCTTGCAAGTTTCGCTCGTGCCTAATGAAACTTGTACATAGAAATATAATAATAATTATTTAATTTATCTATTTTGCGTTCATAATGACTTCATTATAACAACGCTTTCGGTGCTGTAATGAGATACCAAAATTTTGATTTTATAGCTAGGTTGGCTATACTTTAAACAGCATAATATTTTGCATATTGGTTATAATATTTTTATGATTTTTCTAGTACTTACGAGACTTTTCTGGCAATAAATTTTATTTAACACCAAAGAAAATCCTTTTTTTTCTTCTTTTTCTGTCAAACCAATGACTGTGATACCAACTATCTAAAGTAAAATTCGACCAAATTAAATTTAAGGTATAAAATTATTTTTTTTATAGAATTTTTGCAAAATATATAAAATAGCATAAAGAACTCATGTCATAAGACCTTTTGTCGCACTCGTCCATTACAAAACTCGCTCCTTCGTCGATCGTTTTATAAATTGTCCGCGTGCGACAAAATGACGTCTTATGACATTAGTTCTTTAATACACTATTATCTACGACGAACACAAAGAAGAATTTTATTTCTTAAAAATTTGACATCTGTCAGCTGTCAACGGATTTAACCTCACTTTTACAAATTTATAATAAAGCCAACTTCCCGTGACTAAAATGCTCAAAAGCCGTTGTGGCTTAATTCAGCAAGTGACTAAAACGCCATAAAGTCACAGCTTTATAAGCTTTGCAATATATGTTAAAAAAAGTGCAGTAATGCATAAGTATGATATGATACCTATTGATATCTATCTATGATAAGGTTATTTAAATTTTGTTTGTTAAATTAAATAAATATTTAACTAATGACTCATTCATGAATCATAGGTTTTTCATTGTAATAATTATTATTTGTATTATGTATGTATTATTATTCAGCTGGGAAAGTTCTGACCAGGGTTGCCAACTCTACCAACTTTTCGGTAGATCTACCAACTTTTAGTAGTGTCTTGCTTAAATCTACCAACTTTTAAAGATTTAAATTTTTTTAATGGACGGGACAAATCACAAAAATGTTTTCATAAAAAAAATTGTAGGTAATTTATTATATATTATTTTTGCATCAAAATTGTCAAATATATTCTTCTATTATAAGGCTATACATTTAATAACAAAAATCGCAAGAAATGTTTTATAAAAGTAGAGATAATTTCAATAATTGACAGGGGTGGACGGGACAAGATAAATCTTTTTTTTGTCCCGTCCACACCTTTCAATTATTAAAATTATATCTACTTTCATAAAATATTTCTTGCGTTTTTTTTATTTAATGTATAACCTAATAAAAGAAAAATATATTTGACAATTTTGCTGCCTAAATATTATATAATAAATAATCTACAATTTTTTTTATAAAAATAGTTTTGTAATTCGTGCGTTTCGCGCGCTTGAAATGGCCGAATTATCATAATTCGTTCTTTAATTTTTGACTTTTTTCTATTCTTATTTTGAATATTGGCAATCTGTAATTCTGCTTTTTTTTTAAATACTTAAAATATTTTGTATCCATCAAAAAATAAATTTAAAGTGTCCGATTTCTTACTTTGGAGAAATATAGGTGGTAGATCTACTAAGATTTGTTGGAAACTACCAACTTTTAAAATTATATCTACCTCCTAGACCGATTTTGGGTTGGCAACACTGCTTCTGACTTAAACAAAATAACTTAGTTACCTCGGGTAACTAGATACTTTAAGTTGAATGTATCTTTAGTTAAAAGATACTTTAGAAAGTATCTAAGATAATTTTGAGTAACTAAATTACTTTTAAGTAAATAAGATACTTTAAAGTAACTAAGTTACTTTAAAAAGTATCTTAGTTACTTTACCGAGTAACTTAGATACAAGTTACAAGATACTTTTCCAATGTAACTAAGTGAAAGAAACTTTCTGCCCAATATAAAAAGTATCTTAGGTACTTTAAATATCTAAGTTACTTTTAAGATACAGCTACAAATGGGGTAGTTAAATTTTTTCTGACCTATACTTTTTATGGTTTTATTCAAGGCGTTTTGAAATATTAAACATTTCTGTGAAATCAGAATTTCAATTGAATTTACCGTTTTCGAGATATTTACAAAAAATACAAATTTTTATGACGTCACAAACCTCGCCATGTGACCAACATTCTAAGATTTCTATTGGTTGAAAATTACCCTGTTGTCAAGTTGTCTTGTTAATGATTTCATTCGGTTATGTCAGAAAATACCCGAAGAGGTTATGTACAAATACTGTCACTGTCAGTTGAGTGAAAGATGGTCGCCAAATTCATTAAGTACCTATCTTCCTTATTACGAGGTATCATATTACTGTTTGATATTTTAGAGTCCAAGATATATCTAAAAGAATATAAAGAACTAGGCATTATACTAATGAAATGCATTTACGACAAAATATGATTATAATTATAGGTACTTACTTTATTTGTTTAAAAGCTCCAATGTTCAATGTAACCAACCATTCCACAAGATTTCTCTGCTTTGGAGTCCGTTATTAATAAATCACTTATCTAATATCAATTACAAATAACATAACAATAACATTTTCAATAATCTAAATTAAAAAAAAACATACCCCGAAAAAAAGAAACGTCAAAAAATCAATTCTTCTTCTTCTCAACTAAAATTATGGATCAAGTGGTTTTAAAACTAAAATATTATAACGTGGCGCCATCTATCGTAAGAATCTTAAACTAAACACACTGGCAACCATAGAAAAAGCTGGCAACGTTGTCAATAGCCTAGTGACGTAATTGGGAGATTTTTTTTGTAAATATCTCGAAAACGGTAAACTCGATTGAAATTCCGATTTCACAGAAATGTTTAAAATTACAAAACGCCTTGAGTATCTCAGTTACTTTACCGAGTAACTTGGATACTTTTTTAGATACAAGTAACAATATACTTTTCCTAAGTAACTAAGTTAAAGATACTTCCTGTCCAATATAAAAAGTATCTAAGATAGAACTACAAATTGTATACTAACAAAATATTCTTGTTTTCCAGCGCGAATGTATCTCGGTTCATGTCGGCCAAGCCGGTGTACAAATCGGCAACGCCTGTTGGGAGTTGTACTGTCTGGAACACGGCATCCAACCCGACGGTCAAATGCCATCCGACAAAACGGTCGGAGGCGGTGACGACAGCTTCAACACTTTCTTCAGCGAGACAGGAGCTGGCAAGCACGTACCGAGAGCCGTTTTTGTGGACCTGGAACCGACTGTTGTAGATGAAGTACGTACCGGAACCTACAGACAGCTGTTCCATCCCGAACAGTTGATTACTGGGAAGGAAGATGCGGCTAATAACTACGCGCGCGGTCATTATACCATCGGAAAGGAAATTGTGGATTTAGTGTTGGATAGGATTCGTAAGTTGGCCGATCAGTGTACTGGGCTGCAAGGTTTCCTAATCTTCCACTCATTCGGTGGTGGTACCGGGTCTGGATTTACATCCTTGTTGATGGAGAGGTTGTCCGTGGATTACGGTAAGAAGTCGAAGTTGGAGTTTGCTATCTACCCCGCCCCACAGGTTTCCACCGCTGTGGTGGAACCTTACAACTCCATCTTGACCACTCACACCACCTTAGAACACTCCGACTGCGCCTTTATGGTCGATAATGAGGCCATATACGACATCTGCCGACGTAACTTGGACATCGAACGCCCAACCTACACCAACTTAAACAGGCTTATCGGGCAGATTGTTTCCTCCATAACCGCATCTCTAAGATTTGATGGTGCTTTAAACGTCGACTTAACCGAATTCCAAACCAACTTGGTACCGTACCCCCGCATCCATTTCCCTCTCGTAACCTACGCCCCAGTAATCTCCGCCGAGAAAGCTTACCACGAACAACTATCCGTTGCCGAAATAACCAACGCCTGTTTTGAACCCGCCAATCAAATGGTGAAATGCGACCCCCGTCACGGCAAATACATGGCTTGCTGTATGCTGTACAGAGGCGACGTCGTGCCAAAGGATGTCAACGCCGCAATCGCCACCATAAAAACCAAGCGCACCATTCAGTTCGTGGACTGGTGTCCCACAGGGTTCAAAGTCGGCATCAACTATCAGCCACCCACCGTGGTGCCTGGAGGCGATTTGGCTAAAGTGCAACGTGCCGTGTGCATGTTGTCCAACACCACCGCCATCGCGGAGGCTTGGGCCCGTTTGGACCACAAGTTCGACCTGATGTACGCCAAGCGCGCCTTTGTGCATTGGTATGTGGGTGAGGGTATGGAGGAGGGTGAGTTTTCGGAGGCGCGTGAGGATTTGGCCGCTCTCGAGAAGGATTACGAGGAAGTTGGAATGGACTCCGGAGACCAAGAAGGAGAAGGTGCCGAGGAATATTAAACTAAACTTCGACGACGATGAACTTCAATAAAACTTTTTAACTGCATTCTTGTCTTTTATTGATTTTGTTTTAGTGGAAACGTTCTCCGTGCTCATCACTTACTCTCTACTTCTTTTGCTCATTTTACACGTTTTATTAACTAAATAAAACCATGATCAAAATACCTTGTTGAAATATAAAAAAATAGCAGTACAATGTCAACAAAAGAATTCACGTTCAGTCATGTCAAATTTAAATTTTAAATAATGTTTTCGGTGAAAAAAGTACGTAAAAACTCAACAAATTCAAATCATGCACTTTACTTAGGTTTTCATTAAAGAATAAAAATATTACAAAATAAAATAAAAATCGTCAAAAAGCTGAATTTTGGTCTTCCATTAAAAAATTCAACTTTTTCCATGTATTTTTATCAACATTAGCTTTTTTTGTAAAAATGTCAGCTTCACGAAAAAAAATCAAACTAGCGTCAAAATACTCATCCAAAATCAAAAGTATATAAAAGAAAGTTTTAGATGGCTCAAATACTTTCAATTTAAGGGCTTGTTTGACCAAATCGATCAATTAGATTTCAAGCCATACTCAAAAACCTTAAAACAACTCTGAAAATTGAAAAAAAAATTGAAAAGTCATATTTTAAAACCGCTTCCATAAAAAAAATTGAGTGTGATTTTCGTGATTAGTGGATAAAAATACATGGAAAAATTATAATGGCAGATTTTGTAGTGTAATTTGTCTTTTCAGTAAATCTATTTTTTAACAATACTCAGACAGACTTAAGTCTACTTAATAGATTGAGAATATTCCTAATATTCAGAGAATATTCGTGTCTATAAGTTACATTCATGGATCATCATTTTGGTTTATGTTTTTTGGTACATTTCTACAATATTCTACTATAGTATATTATAATATTAAATTGTTCCATTTTTTATTTAGTTTAATTGGTATGGCACGCCTTTTTAACATTTATTAAATAATTTTTTCTACTCCCACCTTTAAAACGCCCTTTATCGTAAATGTTTCCATGACACTAAGTGACCTTTTAAATACACACCCGCACAACATTTTTGATTTCATATTGTACTCATATGGACATCAAGTCATGATTTATAAGTCATGCCATGACTTCATTTGAGCATACATATGAGTCCTCATAGCGATCTCATGTTGTGGTCATGTCATGAGCCAGGATCCAAAAATTGGGTAGCGCGCATGCGCATACGATTCATAAATGCCCGCGAATTTTTAAATCAATAATCAATTGAATCGCTCGTTCTTAAAACGACCAAGTCAAATTCAATTTTTACCACAAGAGCTTCTACATGTAGAATGCATAACATGTAGAAGCGTTTCATGGTAAAAAGCGAATTTTGTAAAAAAGTGACCTATGTCGTTTTTGAAACGAGAGATTCAATTATTGTTTAAGGTTAAAAAATTTAAAATTAAAAAACAAATTGCATATTTTTATAGTTGTTTATTAGTTAATTAAAAAGCAAATTTTGTAAATGAGATTCAATTATTGTTTAATGTTAAAAAATTTGAAAATTAAAAAAAAACAAATTGCATGTTTTTATAGTTGTTTGAATTAAAAAAAAATATATTTCTAAACAAAATTTTTTGAGGCAACATTTTAAATCATAAAATATTTTTTTTATGTTAACATATATGTTAATTATATAATTAAATTAACATATAATTTTTTAAAGGTGATAAAATTTAAAATCAAAAAATATCTTTTTATGTTACTTAAATAGTTTCTAAAAATTTCAATCGAATTTATACATTTGTTTATTTCTTGATAAATTATTTTAAATTTCTTGTCAGATTTTCATTAATTTTGAGATAAAAAATATATTTATAACTTTTCAAAAATTACAATAGAATGAAATGTACACGAAAAATTGTTTTATATTCCTTGAGGTACATCTACAGATTTTTATTAATTTTGCATAAAAAACATTAATTATAACGTAATTAAATTAACGTAATTACGTTATAATTAATGTTTTTTATGCAAAATTAATAAAAATCTGTAGATCTACCTCGAGGAATATAAAACAATTTTTCATGTACATTTCATTCTATTGTAATTCTTGAAAAGTTATAAGTGGAACTAGCCTCTTCTTCAAGCATTTCTTGTGCACATGTTGAATTGGTCCCTGGTGACTCTTGGGTTGTGCAGTCCATGGCAGCTTCTGTAAAATAGAAAATAGTACAATGCATTTCTACGAACCACATATATACATTTTGGCTTCGATTGCACTCAGCTGTGCTGTCATTATTCAATAAGTTTCTTGTCGTTAATTGTCAAAATTTGCATTTAATGCCTATATTAATCACGCACATAAATTATAAACCCAGATAAACATTTCACATCAATTTAATTAACGTTCGTATTTCACACGTTTCAATTTTGCAGACATTACAAAAAAACCTAGGTTATATTTTGAGGTTAAATTATTAATAATTATTATTTAATAAATAATTATTAATTTTCTTAACAAAAAACCAATATAATACTTATTAAATTCATGAGTAAGTAAAATGTAAATTTGAAAACAAACCGACTGTCAAATAATTTAATAAGCGAGGACATGTCACATGTTTATAAACAAAAAAAAAACGAAACTTACCTTCTTTTTCCCAGTTATATTATAATATACATATTATAATTATAAACTATTATAAATAATTATTACAACCATAGAAACAGAATATTACAACCAAAGATAATACAACCACTAAAACAAATAAAACAATCGGGCAAAGACGACACAGCTTGTTCCATGCGCATTCATATGCGCAGCCGGTGGAGATCTTCAAAGCGCGAATATTCAAAAGACATCACGGCGGATCATGCCGTGAACTTACCATGACTCTGAACTCATCATGAGTTCCATATGAGCACAAAACCGTGAAGTCATGACATGAGGTGGTTCATGAACTCATGAATGTTGTACGGGCATTGACAAGTTGTGGCTTTTCGGCGCTTTAGTCACGGGCTGAAGTTAGCTATAGCAACAGCTGTTAGGTTTTTAGTCACGGGCTGAAGTTAGTTTTAAGTTAGTTGACAGTTGTCAAATGTCATACAATCGTTAAAATAAAGTGCCTTTCTTATAAAATAATACTAAATGTGAAAATTATTTTATTATCTCAATACAAAAATATTAAATAGTTTCTCAACGCCAATATTTGAAAAGTTTATATGAACATTGTACTGACCTTTTAATTTCGCCGGCAGTAAACTATAACTTAAATTCGGGCACGGACTCCACTGTAAAGTGCTCATAAAACATTTCCTTTACTTTCACTGTAAAAAACTGTCAATTTTTAAGATACATTTCGATTTATTACCTTTATAATTGTGTTTATAAAATGTAAAAATGTGACATTTGACAGTTTCCCCTGTTGTTTCATAGATGGCGCTCTATACATTTTTTTGATTTAAATCATTTTAAGATAATAATAAGTATTTGTCGTAGAAAAAGTATAGTATGCACCTCGTTTATAAACTTTTCTATACACTTATTAACTTAATTAAATTCGTGTATAAAATGACGTTTACCAAACTAATTTAAAAAGTAATTTTTTTTTAATTCAAAACACTTGAGAATTAAAAAACATTTTAAATTTAAATGGCTGGAATATTCCGAATATTCTTGGAACATTCAAAGGAATAGGTATTCTTTAATTATCTGACGAATTCCCATTGGACTTTTCTAAGAATATTCCAGTATATATTCTGAGAATCTTTAAAGCATAGGTATTCCAATGTTCAAAAAAGTTTATGCGGGGAATATTCTAGGAGAATCTAATGATTTTAGTAAACTGGGGGATTTTTCAAATCTCTGGGGGAATTCGTAAACCATCTGGCAACCTTGCTAGCAAATCCGATCTTATTTAAAAAATAAAAAGATTTGATAAGCAATTGGTGTATTCATATTTTTATATGTATTGTCTAAAATTGCTTAAATTAGCCTAGGTAATCATGATTTACTTATGGAAAATAATGTTTTATCTTTGTCTAGCCTTTTCAAGCTATTAATAGAATATTATGACATAACAGTTTAAAAACTATAATTATAATTAACGATTTAATAATCTTAGGCTAGGCCTACCAAGAAAAAGGTAACATAATATAAAAATCAATTTATCAGTATATAAACACATGGGTATCACTAAATCAATAGATTTTGGAATTAAAAATAAAACACTTCAGATATGAAATTAAATAGTTTATCTTGACTGGCTTTATTGCTGGCCGCGTCAAAGTTTTAGTGAATATATTTTTATTAATAAGTTAAAAATGGTACGTTATTTTGGCTAAATTGTACATGCCACTTATACAGGGTGACCCAAAAGTCATGGACAGCAGATAAAGTTCTTTTGGCGTTTTTAGAATCTGTCGCCTCTTAATTAAGGTAGTATCTCTATTTAGATAAGAGTTTCCATAGAATGTCTTCAAAATGTAAAATATGATTTTGTGAGGCATCAGACCATTCACAAATAATTTCAGATTTTTTACAGCACAGATTCCAATAAAATAATTTTTTAAGTTGCATTTGCTTTCATATGTCATTTTTTATATAAAAATTGGCTGTCATTTCTCACCTATCATTTTTGACATCTGTCACAGGTCAAATTTGACATCTGTCAATGTTGACATCTGTCATCTGTCATTTTTTACATGAACTATTATTGTTAATAATTATTGTAAGCAATCATGTTAATGATTAAATATCTAAATTATTATTTAAAATAATAGTTTTTGTAAAAAATGACAGATGTCAAAATGACAATTGGCAGATGTCAAATTTGACCTGTGACAGATGACATGTCAAAAATGATGTGGTGAGAGAGGACAGCCAATTTTTGGCCACTGGTATTTTTTGACATCTGCAATTTTATAAAGTATTATAATAAAAAGATCAGCAATAATTAATTAACTTATTTCTAACATTTTATGAAACGAAGTGGAGTTTTATGGTCCTTCTGAAATGCGTTATACTTCATCAAAAATGGCAGATGACAGATGTCCCTGCATCCGCAAAAACCTTATTTCAAGTTACAAATGAGGCCTGTCATAGCAAAACCGACAATCTCCACTTTTGGTCAAAAATTAGATTTTTGGCGGAGACTGTACTTCAACTAATTATCTATAAGATGATAGTTTATGTGCTGCAAAAGGAGTTAAATCCTGCCTAAAATCTTATTTTAAAAATGACATTTATTGCAAAGTCGACAATCTCCACTGATAGATTTGCAGCAAAGTATACAATCTCCAATTCCACCATTAGAAATTAGTAATTTGTGTCCCCTGATATCCTAACATTTGATGTTATAACGTATTTTAGAGATTTAATTTTGTGTTTTTTTACTGGTACATACTGTTAAGTTCTATTGCAGTAAATTGCACTTAAAAATATATTTAAAATAGGTATATATATATACGTTTTATTGTTTTAAGAATTATAAAAAAAGTTATCTTGTTTATTTTGTGCTATTATACCATAATAAGACGTAAAGGTAAAGCAAGAAAAGAAAACATTGCAAGTAAAACATTACGGGGCAAAGTGGGAAGAAGATGATGAGTTGTTGTACTATAAAAACTTTTTTGCACGAGGCAACCTGGTCCCAGATTTAGAAGAAACTCCAGATTTTTGTGGTCCAGTTCAGAATTTTCCCACATTGATTGTATAGTTAAATTTTATAACCATTAAAGGAAAAAAATACAATTATTTTTTTGTTAGTTTTCTAAATCTCCTTAAACGATTACAACAAAATGAGCAATCTCCAGCAATTCATATCAAAGTCAGCAATCTCCAATTTATAAAATTATCTGTAATTTTACAGATTTCACCTATACTATGCATCCTGGAGACCTTGTAGTTGGCTACTAGACTAACAACAACAATATTTCAATATAATATACCTATATAAAAAAATTACAAATCTAGAATTTAAAATAGCAAAATCAATTATCTCAATGGGGTAGTTAAATTTTTTCTGACCTATACTTTTTATGGTTTTATTCAAGGCGTTTTGTAATATTAAACATTTCTGTGAAATCAGAATTTCAATTGAGTTTACCGTTTTCGAGATATTTACAAAAAATATAAATTTGTATGACGTCACAAACCTCTCCATGTGACCAAAATTCTAAGATTTCTATTGGTTGAAAATTACCCTGTTGTCAAGTTGTCTTGTTAATGATTTCATTCGGTTATGTCAGAAAATACCCGAAGAGGTTATGTACAAATACTGTCGCTGTCAGTTGAGTGAAAGATGGTCACCAAATTCATTAAGTACCTATCTTCCTTATTATGAGGTATCATATTACTGTTTGATATTTTAGAGTCCAAGATATATCTAAAAGAATATAAAGAACTAGGCATTATACTAATGAAATGCATTTACGACAAAATATGATTATAATTATAGGTACTTACTTTATTTGTTTAAAAGCTCCAATGTTCAATGTAACCAACCATTCTACAAAATTCCTCTGCTTTGGAGTCCGTTATTAATAAATCACTTATCTAATATTATATATCAATTACAAATAACATAACAATAACATTGATTTTCAATAATCTAAATTTAAAAAAAACATAACCCAAAAAAAAAGAAACGTCAAAAAATCAATTCTTCTTCTTCTTCTCAACTAAAATTATAGATCAAGTGGTTTTAAAACTAAAATATTATAACGTGGCGCCATCTATCGTAAGAATCTTAAACTAAACACACTGGCAACCATAGAAAAAGCTGGCAACGTTGTCAATAGCCTAGTAACGTAATTAGGAGATTTTTTTTTGTAAATATCTCGTAAACGGTAATTTCAATTGAAATTCCGATTTCACAGAAATGTTTAAAATTACAAAACGCCTTGAATAAAACCATAAAAAGTATAGGTCAGAAAAAATTTAACTACCCCATTTACTCAGTTTTAGTCTGACGGGAGATTGTCGACTTTGCTCCGACAGGCCTCACATAACCTAATATTTTTTAAGCGCGAATGCATCTCCATCCACATCGGCCAAGCCGGCTGCCAGATCGGCAACTCGTGCTGGGAGCTCTACTGTCTCGAGCACGGAATCCGACCGGACGGAAGAATACCGGACGACAAATACGACGCGGCCGACCAGAGCTTCAGCACCTTCTTCACCGAGACCGGAAGCGGAAAGCACGTACCTCGCGCGCTGTTTATCGACCTCGAACCGACCGTTATAGACGAAGTACGTACCGGAACCTACAGACAATTGTTCCATCCCGAACAGTTAATCACCGGGAAGGAGGACGCCGCTAATAACTACGCGCGCGGTCATTACACTCTGGGCAACGAGAAGTTGGATATTATTTTGGAGCGTGTGAGGATTCTGGCGGATCAATGCAGTGGGCTACAGGGTTTCCTAATCTTCCATTCGTTTGGTGGAGGCACCGGGTCTGGATTAACCTCTCTATTGATGGAGTTTTTGGCGCGCGACTACGGGAAAAAATCGAAGCTCGAGTTCGCTGTTTACCCAGCCCCTCAGGTGTCAAATGCTATCGTGGAGCCTTACAATGCCGTTTTAAACACCCATGCAACTTTAGAGTTTTCAGATTGCGCTTTTATGGTGGACAACGAAGCCATATACGACATATGCAAGACGAATTTGAACGTAACCAGACCGTCATTCACCAACCTAAACCGCGTCATAAGTCAAATTGTTTCCTCTATAACCGCATCTCTAAGATTTGATGGTGCCTTGAATGTGGATTTAACCGAATTCCAAACAAATCTAGTCCCCTACCCACGAATACACTTCCCTTTGGCGACATACGCCCCCATAATATGCGAGGCAAAAACACACCACGAACAACACTCGGTAGCGGATATAACCAACGCCTGCTTTGACCCGGCCAATCAGCTCGTGAAGTGCGACCCGCGCAACGGCAAGTACATGGCCTGCTGCATGTTATACCGCGGCGACGTGGTGCCGAAAGACATAAACTCCGCCATATCCGCCATAAAAAACAAACGCGACATCCGCTTTGTGGATTGGTGTCCCACAGGGTTTAAAGTCGGTATCAACTACCAACCTCTCACCGTGGTGCCTGGAGGCGATATGGCGAGGGTGCCTAGATCGGTTTGCATGCTTTCCAACACCACGGCCATCGTTGATGCCTGGAGGAATCTGAACTACAAGTACGACTTGATGTTCGCCAAAAGGGCTTTTGTTCATTGGTTTGTCGGTGAGGGTATGGAAGAGGGGGAGTTCATGGAAGCAAGAGACGATTTGGCAGCACTGGAACAGGATTATATCGAGGTTTCGGAGGATTACAACGATGAAGAAGGAGAAAATGAATATTGAATGTTTTGTTTGGTTCTAGAAAATAAAGTTGTTTGTATTTAAAATATATTTTATTATTAATGTAAATCGTTTTAATAAATATATAAAAAATGTAGTAGGCTATTTTTATTAATGCTTAAACCACTATGAGGCGCCGTTTTATTTTTTATTCAGAAATGAATACACTCACAGGCAAAATAATCGATCCACACAAATTTTCGATGAATTTCAATCGCAAATAACTTGTTTATTTGATGTCGGATTTAAACGAATATTAAAAAAATATTGTACGTACGTTTATAATATACAGGTTTACCATAAGTTTAAGAAACTCTGTAGAGTGGCAAAACCGTATATTGTTCTAAATTAAGTTTTAATTATTAAGTCACATCTATTTTTAACAGTTTTGTTTTTGGTTTACTTCGATATATTTATTTTTGTGGAAAATATGGATTTTTTAAAAAAACATTGCAATTTTCAATATTTTTCTGTATGGAGAAATAAGGTTGCTATGGTCCATCCATAGCCTATGGAGGATGACAGTGACAGTTTTGTTGAATCATCCCATACTTGGACATGTCATACATGGCTTTCAAAAGCTATCAAATTGTTTTTTGCAAATTTAGAACAATATACGGTTTTGCCACTCTACAGAGTGTCTTAAAATTATGGCAAAAAACATATTTTTGTTTAAACCTGTATATTATAAACGTACGTCTATTTTTTAGTAATTTTTTAAAAATGTGAGCGATTGTCCATTAATTTATCTACAATATTCTTTAATATTCGTTTAAATCCGACATCAAATAAAAAAAATATTTGCGATTGAAATTCATCGAAAATTTGTGTGGATCGATTATTTTGCCTGTGAGTGTATTTATATTTTTTGCTAAACACATTTTAAAATCGAATTAAAAATATCCCTTATAATATTTATTAATATTGACTAAACAAGGAAAAATAAGCTTAAAGTGAAAAATAAAACTTTAAGGGAATATTTTTTTTCAGGTCGCCATTAATGAGTTTTTTAAGATATCCATTACTTATCTAAACATTTATATAATATTTTTTCATAAATATTTTTCTAAAATATAATAAGGAAAGTTTTAGTTATTAAAAAGTTATTAAAACTAAATTATTTTTAAGGGATTTTATATATTTTGGTGGTTTTAAGTTTTGTTGAATTTTTACCCAATTTATTTATTTAGAGGGCATACAATTTTTAAGATGTATTGTGCCTATTTTTATCAATAAAATCTGTGGGTAAAAGGCATAAGGGGATAAGTCAAAAAAAGCAATTTTTCAATAGAGCCTTTAACGTGTTCGCATTAATTCAGGAAATATATTTATGTTTAGCGGGTATACGCTGTTGTTAGCATATGACATGGGCTAAGAAAATGGTATACCCGCTAACCATAAATTAATGCAAATATGTTTAAGGCTCTACTGAAAAATTGCTTTTTTTACTTATCCCCTTATGCCTTTTACCCACAGAAATAATGTGTGTTTGAGTTTTAATGCAAAATATTATTAGTTTTGACAAATTAAGTTATATTTTTTAATTTTACTCTGGTGTTGCCTTTATTACTTTGTAAGGACCATTTTGTAAAATATAAATTAAAAGAACAAAGAAATTACGAATGTCAATATTTTAGAAAGAGAGAGCAAACAGTTAGTAAATATAGCGTTAATTTTACGTAAATTTGTGGTATTTATATTGTTTTTATTACGTTATTCTCTTAGTAGATCAAAAAGGTTATTGCATGGGGAAAATAACGAAATAAACCATTCCCCAAATTTGATAATTTTTCTTATCTATACCGTTATAAAACCGTTTTGGTTAACCGTAAAAAATACTTTAAAGTTGACTTAGTAGTAAATTTGTAGTTATTTAAACTTAGTAGTAAATTTGTAGTTATTTAAACTTAAAATGCTATTTTAAAAATTAGATGTAACTTTTATGCCAAACTGATATTTTTTGTTTAGTTAATTTAAAATATTTGCTTCTTATATTTGTATTTTTTTTGCTAAACACATATATTTAATTTGCTAAATAAAAAAATTTATAGGAGAAATTTTTAAATGAATTAAAAATATCATGGGAGAAATTTTTAATTCGATTTAATTTTTAGTGATTGGGCCGCCATCTAGCGACAGAATTAGTTTGGAATAAAAGGGGTGTCCAAACTTTCAATCTGAATTAAAAATATCGCATTCAATTAAAAATATTATTTTTAAAAATTTTAAATTAAAAAAATTCCCTAAAATAAAACGGCGCCTCATAAACCACAACCTTTAAATTTTAATACCTATATTTGGTATACCATAAATATATTTATTAGACTGGGCCAAAAAAATCAACTATTTTTTTTTGAAAAGTATCTCGAAAATATGGTTTGGGGTGACAAAAAAAAATATTGTAAAAGTTTGAGTCCATAATATTAATATTAACAGGTCTATCATCGCAATTTTAATATTTTTTTCTTCAGCAAGTTTTGGTCTCAGAACTCCCAAACCGTTGAGTTTAAAAAAATTGACTCGAAATGTTTTTTTAAGAAAATGAAATTCTCTACAAAAAAGGTTAAAGTGAAATTTTCCGTCAGATGAACCATTTCCTTAAAATCATGCCTTAAAAATTGGTATAGGTTTACATTTTGATCTTTTAAATTGGAATTTTGTAATTCGTGTAAAAATCAGTACCCATAAAAAACCGATAAATATTCTTATGAGAAATCAAATGCTTTACAAAAAAAGCCTCTTAACATTTTCGGCTAAATTCACTCAATCAAAAGTTATTCAAGGTTAAAATTTCGTTTTGACTTCAAATTTAATCTTGAATAACTTTTGATGGAGTTAATTTAGCCAAAAGACTTTTTTGTAGAGCATTTGATTTTCCATAAGAATATTTATCGTTTTTTTTCCGGGTACTGATTTTTACATGAATTACAAAATTCCAAAGTAAAAAGATCAAATTGTAAAACTATATAAATTTTTAAGGCATGATTGTAAGAAAACGGTTCATCTGACGGGAAATTCCTTTTTTGTAGAGCATTCGATTTTCTTCAAAAAATATTCTTAAGTCAAATTTGTTAAACTCAATGGTTTGACAGTTCTGAGACAAAAACTAGCTCGGGAAAAAAATCTAAAATCTAATAGACCTCTTAATATTAATATTATGGACTCAAACTTTCACCATAATTTTTTTTTGTCACCCCAAACAATATTTTCGATATACTTTACAAAACAAAAAATAGTCGATTTTTTGGCCCAGTCTAATATTTATTATAAATTTAAAATAAAATGCCGATTTAACAAAATCTAATTCAAGTCAATGTTATTTGGGTTCAGAATGACGTTTATTTGTTTCTCAATGCTAGTTTGACCGTTATTACAATACTCAACATTGGCTCTTAAAACGAAACTCTTTGGAAAACAGGTATCAGCGGTGCAAGTGACCAAAGAAAAAGCAATATCGATGGGGAATTTGGAATTACCTTTACTTTCAGGAACACTGATGACCAAATCAATATTGCTCAGATCGCATCCGCTATTGGGTATGCAGGACCAACTCGCGTTGGGTAAATCCACCATCCACTTCTGGGGAGCGTCATGGGTTAATTTTAACCCGCCTTGGAAGTTTAATTTGACATCCAATATAATTTTACCGCCTTGGTTGCTAACAGAAAAACCTTTAGCCTCGATAATGTGCGATTTCGACTTGTCAACTGTATCAGTGGACTCGTCGAGTTTCAAGTCTAATTTTCGCACGCCCGTTACGTTGCCCGACTCGTCCAGATCCAGGACTTTGACGAAATGGTTGTTGGTGTCGGCTAAATACAACTTTGAACCGTTCGTACTCACGCAGAGGCCGGCAGGTTCGTTGAACGAGTTCAAATTTCCGTCGGTGGTGTCCAAGGTGGGTATGGAGAGGGTAGATACGCGGTTTTTTTTCACGTCGATCTTCTTCACCTTGTGGTTGTACGTGTCGGCTACGAACAAGGTTTCCTCGTCTTTCGACAGAGCTACTCCCAGAGAGTGTTGCAGTTTTGCTTCGAACAAAGTGCCGTCTTTGTCGCCGAACGCGAACAGATTCTAAAAGCAAATAAATTCGTTCAAATTGGACGCTTTGGAGAAACCATTAGACAATTGGACGGCTTTCTGCAGAATGGGACCAACCCACACCATGATGAAACTGAGAAAAAAGCTATCAAAGATTTTAATAATTTTAAAATTACCTGTTAATTTTATGCCGATTTTGGACTTGCGGAGGTTTAAGGGATATAATTTAATAATTTCATCAGGTGGATTTTGTGATGTTATGTGTAAGGGTGACGAAAAAAATGGGCTTTTGTTGGTTGGTTCCTTTCTGCAATTTATGAAAACTACTATCTGATGTATGTATGTATTTAAAGAAAAGCGACAATTATTTATTTCCAAACAAAATACAACTGATATTACTATTATAATGGTAATATGAATTAATTTTGATTCTATTTGAAATTCGTCCACATCATCTTCCAACCCCACCTCATCTTGTAAGCTACCAAAAAAATGCATCAAGACTTTATATTTTGCAGAAGCAGGAAATCTTTAAAGACTTTGGTAGTGGGTCTACCAGCCTGCTATTTTACAAAAAAGATCCAACCCACTTGCAGATATTCTACAGATTCTAATTCTGGATTAGTAATCCACACTATTATTGAATGTTGGTTGGTTCAATGATTAATAGATTTCACTACACTTGCATTTTGGCTATGACCTATTTTGCAGATAAATTATACATACTTAATTAGTTCATAGGCTAAATATCTCGATTTTTTTGGTTTTGTGGGTTGGTTCCTTTCTGCAGAAAGGCGTCCAATTTAGATGTGGAACAAACACACTCACAGGCAAAATAATCGATCCACACAAATTTTCGATGAATTTCAATCCCAAATAACTTTTTTATTTGATGTCGGATTTAAACGAATATTGTAGATAAATTAACGTACAATCGCTCACATTTTAAAAAATTACTAAAAAATAGACGTTTATATATACAGGTTTAAACCACAAGATGTTTTTTACCATAAGTTTAAGACACTCTGTAGAGTGGCAAAACCATATATTGTTCTAAATTAAGTTTTATTTATCAAGTCACATCTATTCTTAACAGTTTTGTTTTTGGTTCACCTCGATATATTTATTTTTGTGGAAAATATGGATTTTTTAAAAAAATATTGCAATTTCCAATATTTTTTCTGTACGAAGAACGAAGAACATAGGCTATGGAGGATGACAGTGACAGTTTTGTTGAATCATCCCATACTTGGACATGTCACACGGCTTTCAAAAGCTATCAAATTGTTTTTTGCAAATTAATGTTTAAATTTTGAGGTGTCTTCTTACTTTAAAAAATGGATATGTCTCCGACTGATGTTGCCAGAGCCATTAATTTAATCCAGGATGGACGGTCACAGTATTACGTGGCAAGTGTTTTAAACGTTACAAGAAGTAAAGTACAAAGGGCAACATCAGTCGGAGACATTTTTTAAAGTAAGAACACACCTCAAAATTAACACATTAATTTACAAAAAACAATTTTATAGCTTTTGAAAGCCGTATATGGCATGTCCAAGTATGGAATGATTCAACAAAACTGTAAAAACTTCTTTTTGTTTAAACCTGTATATTATATACGTACATCTTTTTTTTGTAATTTTTTAAAAAGTGAGCGATTCTCCATAAATTTATCTACAATTTTCTTTAATATTCGTTTAAATTCGACATTAAATAAAGAAGTTATTTGCGATTGAAATTCATCGAAAATTTGTGTGGATCGATTATTTTGCCTGTGAGTGTATAAATAATAGGAAAAAACAGTTAAAGTAAGAAAGTAGAAAAAGCTAATTCTGAAAAATCTAATCTAGACAGTTTAAAAATATAAATGAAGATCTGGAACAAACAAATACCACCACAAAAGAAAAAAAAGTTGAAGTCAGAAAGTAAAAAAGCTAAAGTTTAATGCAATAAAGTAGAAAATTAAGACCCTTTTGAATATATAAATAAAGATCTAGAATAAAAATATCCTACCAAAAAAGAAAAAAAAGTTGAAGGGAGAAAGTAGAAAAAGCTAATCTAGACAGTTTAGGGGATGGAATATAAAATTAAGACACCTTATAATATATAAATAATAGGAAAAAACAGTTAAAGTGAGAAAGTAGAAAATGCTAATTCTGAAAATCTAAACCAAACAGTTTGAAAATATAAATGAAGATCTGGAACAAACAAAAACCACCACAAAAGAAATGTTTAATGCAATAAAGTAAAAAATTTAGACACCTTTAAAAATATAAATGAAGATCTAGAACAAAAATATCCTACCACAAAAGAAAAAACAGTTAAAGGTAGGAAGAAAAAAAAGCTAATCCTGAAAAACCTAAACTATACAGTTTAATGAAATAAAGTAAAAAAAAATAGACAATCTTGAAAAAAACCAGTAGGCACCATACCTACATAATTTAAAAAAAGATGTAGAACCATAAATGCCACAATTTACACAAGGTGAATCATTTAACTTTGAAATATCTATTTTACGAAAAAAAATAAAAATCAAATGATTCGATGGGGGAAATCCATCAGTACTAAAATTGGTCCTTATACTCTTCTCCTTATAGGGGGAACAGGGGGTAGCTTTAAAATTTCCAATAGAACACCCTATTTTTTATTGCAGATTCGGATCATTCGACTAAAAATGGGTAGATTTGTCTAAAACATGTTTTAATATTTGTAATAGATGGCGCTGTAATGAAAAAAAATCAATTTTGATCGATTTTTATTCTGTACCTATACGATTCTCTAATAATTTTTGAATAAAATAGGTACTTGGTTTTATTTTTTAAATTTATTTATTTATTTCGTTTTAATATTCTGCTAACTCTGCTCTGGGATATTCCCAAATCTCTAGATAATTCTCGTGTGCTTGTATGAGAATTAGTACGTGATCGATTTTTTTCCGGAAAACGCTGAGCGTAGATATTAACAGCATCATCAAGATTTCTGCCTGCTTCTCCATAAATAAAAATCATTTCTATTTTTTCTTCCACTGTTAAAAAATCCATTATGAATAACTGCTTAACGAAAGGAGGTCTTTTTGTTTGCAAATTAATCTTCAAACTAAATTGGTTTAATAATGCTAAACTATAAATAGTTTTTTTATACCTCAATAATAATTATTATTTATAACTAAATACCATTTTTTATAACTCAATTAGGATTTAATTAATTAATTGAGAGAAACATTATTGGAGAATCGTATATGAAAGGAAAATTGAACAAAATTGATTTGTATTCATTACAGCGCCATCTATTACAAATATGAAAAATGGACAATTTGGACACCTTTGAGGTAGTTTGTTTAATACTTACACATGGGTCTCTATCTCCTCCCACCACAGGCGAAACCTTCCCGTTCTCCAAGGAAACTTTCCTGATGCTGGAACTTTCGCTGTCAGCTATAAACAACTCTCTATTCTTCACCGAAATGGCCAGACCCGATGGCTGAGCGAAAGCAGCAGCATGCGCGTACTGATTGTTCCTGTTCTGCTCAGCGCCTGAGCCTGCTATGGCCACGCAGGTACCAGCACGATACACTTGATTTTTCCACCAATTGGTGTTTTCCAGAAACAAGGCCCAGATTTGATGGGTGCCCGCCATTGCTATCAGCAGAACGTCTTTTGGGGTGTCATTGTTGGTCTCTTTTCCTGCTGTGTACATGCAGACATCCCAAGGGGACGATATAATCTGATTGGACCAGAGATTCCCCCCTCTTCTGTCGTGACCTTGGCAGCCATTCCCAGCGACTGTTTCGACTTGTCCGGTTGTTAAATCAACTCTCCTGATTGCGTGGTTTTCAGTGTCGGCGACGAATAAGGTGTTTTTGTTTTGCACCACCAAACCTTGGGGGTTATTGAACTCGGCCTCCTTCAACTTTCCATCCTTATAGCCGAGCTTCCCCCCTCCAATTTGTTTGACGATGGTTCCGTCCTCCCCCACCAGCAAAACCCTGTTGTTTCCGGTATCGGAGATCGCTACAATCTCCTTATCGTTTTCGTCGATGTAACTGGTGAGCTTTCCGGGAAACAGAAGCGGTCCCTTCAAGTCCGGAAGCATGTGATATGCGGATTTCAAGGGCAACTTGTGACTTGATATTTCGTTTTTTTCCTTGTAAAATTCCAACGCCTCGGTGATGTAAACTATTAGGTCGTCTTTGTTGCCTTCTCCCATCAACATGACGAGGGGATTTCCCTGGGGGCCCAGCATCACCAATGTCGGCCAACAGTGGACGTCGCAGCCCCTCCACATCTGCATTTTATCATCGTTGACTACAGGGTGAGCGATGTTGTAACGTTGAACGGCCGCCAAGATGTTTTTCGATATTTTTTCGTTTTCAAATTTGGCACTATGGACTCCAATCTAAATCAAGTTAGTTAATAATGTGAATCAATTAATATGTTTCATAGCCTTACCACCACCAGACCATCTTCAATGGAAAATAGTTCTTCAATTTCCTTCAAATCGGGAAGGATATGCATACAATTGATGCAGCAGTAAGTGAAAAAATCCAGAACAACAATTTTTCCCTTTAAATGTTTTTGTAAACTTAACGGTTCGGACACATTAAACCATTCCAAACCTTAAAACAACATTGACATTTTAGAATATTTTTTTGAGATTCTAAAGTGTGTTCTTAAGTACTTTTGACATTGTCAAATGTATTATGGACATTCTTGAATGCGTTTTAAAATGTGTTTTTTAGAAATTAATATTTGGAACATTTCCAAATGTGTTCTTAAGTTCGTTTGGTATCCACAAATGTGTCCTTAAGTACTTTTGACATTCACAAATGTGTTTTGTACATTCTAGAATGTATTTTTATGTACATTCTAGAATGTGTTTTTATGTACATTCTAGAATGTGTTTTTAAAATTATAAAAAGTGTTTTTAGAAATGTATAGTTGTAACATCTTCAAATGTGTTATTAAGTACTTTTGACATTCTCAAATGTGTTTGGACATTCTAGAATGTGTTTTTATAATTATGAAATGTGTTTTCAGAAATTTATAGTTGTAACATTTTCAAATGTGTTCTTAAGTATGTTCGACATTCTAGAATGTATTTTGGATATTTAGAATGTTTTTTGACATTCTAAAGTGTGTTCTTAAGTAGTTTTGACATTCTCAAATGTGTTTTGGACATTTTAGAATGTGTTTTTATAATTTTAAAACGTGTACGTAATTAAGAACACATTAAAAGCATGCTTTTAATGTGTTCTTAATTACGTTTGACATTCTAGAATGTATTTTGGACATTTTAGAATATTTTTTTTGACATTCTAAAGTGTGTTCTTAAGTACTTTTGACGTTTTCAAATCTGTTTTGGACATTCTAGAATGTGTTTTTATAATTTTAAAATGTGCTATTAAAAATTAATAGGTGTAACATTTTTAAATGTGTTCTTAAGTACGTTTGACAATACAAAAATGTACTATGGACATTCTAGAATGCGTTTTAGAATGTGTTTTTGGAAATTAATACTTGGAACATTTCCAAATGTGTTCTTATGTACGTTTGACATTCCCAAATGTGTTCTTAAGTACTTTTAACGTTCTCAAATGTGTTTTGGACATTCTAGAATGTTTTTATAATTATAAAATGCGTTTTTTAGAAATTTAGAGTTGTAACATTTTCAAATGTATTCTTAATAACGTTTGACATTCTAGAATGTATTTTGGACATTTTAGAATGTTTTTTTGACATTCTATAGTGTGTTCTTAAGTACTTTTGACGTTTTCAAATGTGTTTTGGACATTCTAGAATGTGTTTTTATAATTTTAAAATGTGCTATTAAAAATTAATAGGTGTAACATTTTCAAATGTGTTCTTAAGTACGTTTGACAATACAAAAATGTACTATGGACATTCTAGAATGCGTTTTAGAATGTGTTTTTGGAAATTAATAGTTGGAACATTTCCAAATGTGTTCTTATGTACGTTTGACATTCCCAAATGTGTTCTTAAGTACTTTTAACGTTCTCAAATGGGTTTTGGACATTCTAGAATGTGTTTTTATAATTATGAAATGTGTTTTCAGAAATTTATAGTTGTAACGTTTTCAAATCTGTTCTTAATTACGTTTGACATTCTAGAATGTATTTTGGACATTTTAGAATATTTTTTGACATTCTAAAGTGTGTTCTTAAGTCCTTTTGACCTTTTGCAAATGTGTTTTGGACATTCTAGAATGTGTTTTTATAATTTTAAAATGTGCTATTAAAAATTAATAGGTGTAACATTTTCAAATGTGTTCTTAAGTACGTTTGACAATACAAAAATGTACTATGGACATTCTAGAATGCGTTTTAGAATGTGTTTTTGGAAATTAATAGTTGGAACATTTCCAAATGTGTTCTTATGTACGTTTGACATTCCCAAATGTGTTCTTAAGTACTTTTAACGTTCTCAAATGGGTTTTGGACATTCTAGAATGTGTTTTTATAATTATGAAATGTGTTTTCAGAAATTTATAGTTGTAACGTTTTCAAATCTGTTCTTAATTACGTTTGACATTCTAGAATGTATTTTGGACATTTTAGAATATTTTTTGACATTCTAAAGTGTGTTCTTAAGTCCTTTTGACCTTTTGCAAATGTGTTTTGGACATTCTAGAATGTGTTTTTATAATTTTAAAATGTGCTATTAAAAATTAATAGGTGTAACATTTTCAAATGTGTTCTTAAGTACGTTTGACAATACAAAAATGTATTATGGACATTCTAGAATGCGTTTTAAAATGTGTTTGTAGAAATTAATTGTTGGATCATTTCCAAATGTGTTCTTAAGTACGTTTGACATTCTCAAATGTGTCCTTAAGTACTTTTGACATTCTCAAATGTGTTTGGATATTCTCAAATGGGTTTTGGACATTCTAGAATGTGTTTTTATAATTATGAAATGTGTTTTCAGAAATTTATAGTTGTAACGTTTTCAAATCTGTTCTTAATTACGTTTGACATTCTAGAATGTATTTTGGACATTTTAGAATATTTTTTGACATTCTAAAGTGTGTTCTTAAGTCCTTTTGACCTTTTGCAAATGTGTTCTTAAGTACGTTTGACATTCTCAAATGTGTCCTTAAGTACTTTTGACATTCTCAAATGTGTTTGGATATTCTAGAATGTGTTTTTATAATTATGAAATGTGTTTTCAGAAATTTATAGTTGTAACATTTTCAAATGTATTCTTAAGTATGTTTGAAATTCTAGAATATATTTTGGACATTTAGAATGTTTTTTTGACATTCTAAAGTGTGTTCTTAAGTAGTTTTGACATTCTCAAATGTGTTTTGGACATTTTAGAATGTGTTTTTATAATTTTAAAACGTGCTTTTAAAAATTAATAGGTGTAACCTTTTCAAATGTGTTCTTAAGTGCGTTTGACAATACAAAAATGTATTATGGACATTCTAGAATGCGTTTTAAAATGTGTTTTTAGAAATTAATAGTTGGAACATTTCCAAATGTGTTCTTAAGTAAGTTTGACATTCTCAAATGTGTTCTTAACTACTTTTGACATTCTCAAATGTGTTTTGGACATTCTAGAATGTGTTTTTAGAAATGTATAGTTATAACATTTTCAAATGTGTTCTTAAGTACGTTTGACATTCTAGAATGTATTTTCGACATTTTAGAATGTTTTTTTGACATTCTAAAGTGTGTTCTTAAGTACTTTTGACCTTCTCAAATGTGTTTTGGACATTTTAGAATGTGTTTTTATAATTTTAAAATGTGCTTTTAAAAATTAATAGGTGACATTTTTAAATGTGTTCTTAAGTACATTTGACATTCTAGAATGTATTTTGGACATTTTAAAATATTTTTTTGACATTCTAAAATGTGTTTCGGTGTTTTTATTATTTTAAAATGTGCGTTTTGAAATTAATGGTTGAAACATTTTAAAATGTCTTCTTAAGTACCTACTTTTGAAATTCTCAAAAAAAATTTTAATAAAACAATTAAAACAATTCCTAAAAAAGTGGAAAAAACTTAAACAAGGTTTTTTCTTACATTTTACTCTTCTAAATATACTTTCAAAGTTTTTGATTTTTTAATTAATTTTAAACCTGAGCACCAACCACTTAAAAAAAAAATTGCCAATAACGTCAATATTAAAGTATAAACCAGGACCAAATCTGCAAAACACAATTAAAACCAGGACACATTAGCAAAAACCAGAACCTGTCCTGGGTAAACCAAATGTAAATGTTCAATCAGAGTACAGCATTCTCCACAAAATCCAGAAAATCCCAAGATGGGTTTTGTCTAATTACTACTGACCTTTAGCAAAATCGTTGACCGGTTCATATTTAACTGCAGATAAATATTCCCTCACTCCAGCCTTTTGTCCTTTTTCGCTAATGAGTTTATTAATTTTTCCTTGGGAATATTCCAAAACTTCCTCATGTGTCTCCATACTTCTAAAGCCTTGAAAGAAACTGCTCAAGTAACTTAACTTAAAAATTTGTCTTATTTTATTTATTCGCAGACTCATTAATTTAATACAAAAGAAAAAATAACTATAGACAAAATAAATGGTTTTGAATTAGGTAACCTAATTTTTGTATGGTAAACGGCGACGTTGCCGCGAGTCAGCAAATCAGAAACGTCAAAAGACTTTTTTCGTAAAAATAGTTCATAACTATCCCTTAAAAATACCCTTGACACTTATACAATATTAAATGGGGTGTTTTTTATTTAATTTTACCAAATGAATGGATAGATAATATAAATATTAGGAAATAAAAATAAAAGGTTGATAGATTTTGCGATGGTCGGCAACAATGCATATTTACAGTTTTCTTTATAAAGTTATTCAGAGTTGGTAAAGTTCATTGAATGTAGATGGCGCTGTTTTGAAAAGTGACGTCATGTTATTGATTACAATTTCTGTAGTCGGCGAACGCCATTTTGACTTAAGTAAAAAAGTTTGTAAGTGGTGAAATAACAATAAAATCTGTGAACATCCGTCCTTAATTACGTTAAATTTGATTGTTTTCTTGTTATTTATTGTTAACCCAATTGGACGGACCACGGTAAGTGGATATTTTTCATCCAAAACTTTTGCTTTGTAAATTTCGTAATATTATGTTTTCCTTTTTATTGCCGACTGTGGAATTAGTAAACCGTTATAATTTAGCTCCTAAATCCTTTGTGTATTCTTCATTAAGAATATAAGGATTGTTTTATAACGTTTTAGAGGGTTCAAAGATTGTTTTAAAATAGGAATTATGTTAGCGTCTACAGTTGCTTTCCTCTAAAAATCCATTTCGCTTACGTAGTTTACTTTTAACGCAATTATTTTATTGTTCTTAACCCTTCGTTAGTGTGGTGGGGTATGACATACCCCAGTGCTATTGTTTTCAACTGTAAAATTAAAATTAAGAAAACTAACGACCTCTGCGGCCCAATAGCTACAGATTACACATAAACAAAGATAATACCTACATTACCGACTATTTATGTACTTTCAGTTTAATGTAAGATTTCGATAAAGTTGGTTGGGACATGGTATACCCCACCACACTAATCGTGTAACTTTTTGTGTAAATACGTTTTAACGGTAATTCGCGTATATCTTTTTAGTTTACAAGACATACTTATTATTTTATTTAGCGATATAAATAACAAAATGTCATACGAACAAGAGCAAGAGAGGCTGCAAAAATTATGGCAAGAATTCGGAGGAATTTCGGATAAAGAACCAATTATAGATTCTGAATCTGACGAAGAAGAACTGCCTCCAGATTTTGAACAATCAACAGAAAATGTTCAATCGGAAAATGACGATTTGTCTCAAGATAACTCAGATAATTCAGAAAGTGCTATCGATGCATCGGAAAATGACGATTTGTCTCAAGATAATTCAGAAAGTGCTTGGATCACTCAATTTTTTTGTGCCCAAAATGCGCTCACTTTAATGATTAATAACTTTTTTATTTTCCAAAAAAAAATATTGAGACTTTTTTTATTCGTTTTGTTTGTTCTTTTTCTAGAGGTATATTTTTAGTTGAAAATTAAATATAAGATATATATTTTTTAAATTACATGAATATCACACTATGTTTTTTTTTAAGTATAAATGCAGTTATTTTTAATAATGTTAATATTTTTAAAAATAAATATTGGTGTTTGACCTTTTTTGGTTTTATTTGATAAATATGTAAACAATAAATATATTTTTATAACAAATATAACAAAATTTACAAATTTCAAAAATTTAGGGACAAAACCGTTTGGGGTATGACATACCCCACCACACTAACGATGTAACTTTTTTCCACCACATTAACGAAGGGTTAATAAAGTTGATAATAGCACTATTCTCCCACTGCATTGTCAGTAAAATAGGTCTTGATTCTTATTATTTAGACGTTCACAATCCAAACAAATAGGTTAAATAAATTTAGTTAAAATTTTGTGTTTATGAGGCCATTGTATAGTGAAATCATTCATATCTATCGCTGAAACTAAATAAGTTTTGTTGTTGTTAAAATGTCCATCAAAATTGACAACATTTTGAAAAAATAGGGTTATGCTTTAAATTTTATCGTAAAAAATACAGTTTGATTAGTTAATAGGGACATATTTAGTTTTTACTGTATTTTTAAAACAATTATCTAACTTAAGTTGACAATTATCTGGCTTAAGTTGACATCTTAAAACAGATATATCCAGCTTAAGTTGACATTCTTAAAACAGTTATAACTATTTAAAGTTGACATTCTTAGTTTTATCTAGCTTGGTATTTTGTTTTGTTTAAAAATCCAATGATAGCAAACTATGGGCATTTTATTTTGTGTTTTTTTTTAGGAAAAAGGTTCGTTCGCTGGGTCCTGTAAATCTAAATGGTTGGGTGCAGACAGCATGTCTACTTTGTCAGGACAAACCTCCAAAGGGGAGAAGACCAAATCAAAATATCAATCATTGGATATAAATAATTTGTACAGAGTTAGCAGGGTAAGTAGATCAGTGATTTTAAAGTGAATTGTGTTTTTATTAAAAAGTTTGTGTCAGTGAATAATTTACAGAACCAATGAAGTTAAAGGAACATAATTGTGAGTGTTTGGCTTGAATTTTTTAGTTCATTTAAAGGTCGATTGTACTGGAATTTCTTACAAAGCAAATCCATTATTTTGTTTAAATCTTTCACGGTTCATAGTAACTTTAAAATGCAAAAATGTTGACCACCTCTAATTGAAAATCCTTGTAATATTAAAGTTGATTTAAACAACAAAATCATTAATATTGTATTATTTTGTTTTAAGTTTTACAGTTATTTCCCTAGTTTAAAATTAATCATTTTCTAAGGAAATAAGTAACAATTATTTTTTTATAATTTAGAAAGTATTAAATAAATTATATTTCTGTTATTACAGGAAATTATTGTATTTAACATAAAAACTGGCACAGTTATGTTTCTTAACTTTTTCTGTAGAAGGCATTTGTCAAATTTTGTACTATAAAATACTTTTATTAAAATTTAAATTTAAAAGATTTATTAGTACAACAAAAGTATCTGCTTATCAAACAATTAGATTCTATATTTTGGTCTCCTTTATGCATAGATAATTAATGATTCATAATATTTTTTAATTTAATTAAATTTAATATAATCTTAACAACTTATTTATGATAAGGTTATGATAACTTATAACAACTTATTTATGATAAGGTTTATGATAAGGTTGATATTATTTTAATAAGATTAAAATTTGTTTTTTCTTTGTAAAACCCTAGATTATCTATGTGGAAAACTTTTGAAAAATTTTGAAAACTATAATTATTTTTTTTTTAAATTTATGAAAATAAATTACCTAGGTACAATAAATTTTAAAAAATATATCTTTATTAAGTACAAATGCTTTATTTTACAATAACTTGTTATACCTATATGCACATTTTACATAATATGTTAAAACTCAATATGGGTTATTTAGGTTTATTTCCTCAATGAAAAAAGAAAAAAAATTAAAATTTCTGGAAATTATTTTTATTTTGGTAGAATGACTTCTAAAACTATCTGACTAGTGATTAATATACCACTTTATTCTCTGTTTTTATACAAGGTGTTAACAAAAGGTTGGACGAAAATTAATTTAATGACAGGGTTGGAATAACCCAGTAAACATTTGTGATATCCCGAAAAAGTCACGACGTGACATGTCACAACTTGATATCCAATTGCTGGAACAGTGATTAAGTTTGCCGTTTTATGTCAAGCAGTGACATGCGCGTGATCTTTTTATGTCACGACGTGACACTGCAGGGACGAAACTTTTCATTTAAATGACATTACTTTAATTTGTTCATAATACGTTAAATACGTATTATGTTATTATTGTTAGACAAAGACTTTTTTTTAATATTTAATATTTTTCTTTAATATTAACCATATGGTTTTAAGAAATTATTTCCGCTAAAATATATCTATATATATAACTTCATTTTATATTTGTTTGCGACTTTGCAAGCGATTTTAGCCAAGTACGTATGTATGTATGTATCTTGCTATAGTAATATACATGGTGAACAATATATTGTATACTCCATTTGCTCTGGAATAAATTTAAGGTGTAAAACTTTTATCAATATTGTCAAGAGTGAAAAGATATTTTTGTAGGTTTTTAAATGTCAATAGGAATTATACTATAAGAAATATAATACTTTGTCCAGAAAAAAAAAACTGGGAGAAAACCTGGATTTACTGAAACCATTGAATTCACTGTCCCAACTTATATGCGACGGGTCTCGTATACACATATTTATGTATACATATACAGGGTGCACGGCAGGTTGGTTAAGCCATTAAACTGAAGAAAAGTTATGTAATAACAAGTCTATTAAAATGGAATTTGAAAATTGGAAAATAAATCCGCGGTTCTCACATAATTGAAAAAAAAATCTATTAAAAACCAAAATTTGTTACAACTTTGTTATTCCTGAGAATTAAAAAAAAGTAAGTTTCGCATGTAGGTATACATTTCTACATTAACAATTTATAAATTTTTTCGTCTACTTGGTTTTGAGTTATCACCATCTTTGGTTTTGCTATGGCTGCCATAATACAATTTTACATGTATAGTAAAAAAATCGATTTATTAAACTATAAAAGTTAATGGTGCACCATCGCCATAGCCATTTTAAAAACAAGAGATGGTGATGGTAACTCAAAGTAATGAATAAATTGGATGAAAATGTAGATAAATGTGTATGTTAACAAGTCAAACTTACTTTTTTTTAATTCCCAGGAAAAACAAAGCTATGAAGATTTTTGGTTTAAAAGGCTCTTAGTTTTTTTAAAAGTTTTGAGAACAGCTGCCTTTTTTTTCAATTTATAAATAATTGCATTTTATATACTCGTATAATTCTGTTAATAAACTCGTTGCAATATAAATTTTGAGTTCAATAATTAAAATAAATTGACGACGTCATACGATTAGGATGACGATACCAGAATTATTTCAATAGCTATCGTCATAACAAGTAGTTTTAGCTCCTTAATAAAAAAATACCCATAAATGCATACAAGTATAATTTCTATACATTTTAATTTAATAGTAAACAGAACTCGCAAAAATAAGAAGAAAAGTTTGTATGAACTTATATGCTTTAAAGTTTAATTTTGAAGAAAAAAATTAAATTCGTTTCCGTTTTATATTTAATCTATAAATAATAATAAACTTACAAAAAAAGCAGTAGCATACCCAAATTTTATTTTTAAATATCAATTTGGGATGTTCCAGCGCCGCCTCTGGATTTAATTTAATTTACATTAAATTATGCCCTTTGCCCACTACTAAAAACTAAAAGGTTTTTATCAAATTCGCCCAAAAAATAAATATTTTTTTAAATAACTTTACCACCATGTCTCTCGAAAACGAAGCTTTAAAACATACATACTTTTCTTCTGATATTTTCGATTTCTATAGATCACTAAATTTTCCCAATTAAAATCTGCGACACCCTGTATACATGTAGGTATTATACTTATAGGATACTTGATGCAACCTGTATAAAGGTAGTGTGCAAAACTTGTCTTATTATTATTATATTTAAATAAACGTTGACTGTTAATATTTTAGCCCATAATTTTATTTCACCCAAGGCCGGAAGTATGTTGCTAAGATATACGATAAGAGGGTCGTCGCTATTGTTACTAGCGATGCAACGTGTTTTAAAAGACGCTGCATCGGTGTTAACGATAGCAACGACGCTTTTTTCGTTTATCACAGCTCCAACATATTTTAAATATTCCCCTGCACTTTGGCTCGCGCATGCGCACTAGCTATGTCACGGAGTGATATCCCATTGAGTGCGTATTGCGCTTGAATGTCACTACTTGATATCCCATTGATTGTGTATTGTGGAAACATATGAATGCGCCAGTGATATCACGATGTCACGACGGGATTTCGGAGTGATTTCAATACGCAATCACAAATGTTTACTGGGAAGTAATTACTTTTATAAAAAATACAAGGCCTACTATGTCAGTTTTTAAGAATTCATATTAGCGATTTTTTTTAACAAAATCTAAGCACGGCAAGGGATTCACCACCCCTCAAAACGACCCTTTACTAAATTTTATTGAAAAATTTTAAGTAGAAAAATGCACAATAATAACTACAAAAATGTATTCTGTCAACTTATCCATGAAAAAACATTGAAATAAAATTATAGTAACTATATGGGTACTATTTCTATAAGTTTAATTTTATTTCAATGTGTTTTTAATGGTTAACTTGACAAAATAAATTTTTGTAGTTATTATTTTGCATTTTTTTCTTAAAATTTTTCAATAAAATTTTGTATAGGGTCGTTTTGAGGGGTGGTGAATCCAGTGCAGTGCTTAGATTTTGTTTAAAAAAATCGCTAATATGATTTCTTAAAAATTTACTTTTAAAAACTGACATTTTTGTATTTTGTACAAAAATGGCGTTTTTTGCTCCAAAAATAAAATAAAATCGCACAATAAATAAAGATTTTACGGGGGTGAGTTGCAAACAAATGGGTCACAGTGTATATGGGTAATTCTTTTACAAACCGAACACCTTTTGACCGACACATCTCAGATTTGGCTGAAACTTTTTTTACAAATTCTATGTCGAAAAATAAGATATACGTGTCCGAGGAATTTTTTTTCTCGCATATTTTCGATAATACAAGCTATCGAAAATTTGAGAATAACGAGTTTTTTGGTTTGGAGACTCATTTTCAAAAATTTATAACTCTGGTTCTATTTGAGATACAAACTTCTTTTTTTTTCATTTTAAAGCTAAAGGACTGAATTTTGATAAAAAAATATGTTTAATAAATATTATTAACAAATTCCTATTGTTATTAACAATTTCATTGTTTAAATCAATTTTTAACAATGGCCCCCACCTCGTAAGTTTTTTGTATTTTTATCGTATTCTCCGTCAAATTTTACATAAAAAACATGTTTTCAAAATATGGTACCCTTATTATTACTATTGTTAAAACATTAATTCATATTGCGCGACACATAAAAAAACGTTTTTTTGTTAATAAAAAGAAAACTATAGCTTGGATCAAAAAAAGTCAAATATAAAAGTTGTAAAAAATAAAAAGAACTACAATATTTATTTTAACTATTTTTCTACATAACCTCACTTTTCAAATAAATTTTAAAAAATGTTAAAAATCACCTCTTTTAAAATATTTTTCTATAATTTATAATTAGTTTATGTTTTTTCATGGTATTGATTGCTAATAAATTTAAAAGGTGATTTTTAACATTTTTTTCAATTTATTTGAAAAGTGAGGTTATGTCGAAAAATAGTTAAAACAAAAATTGTAGATCTATTTATCATCTACAACTTTTATATTTAACTTTTTGATCCGAGCTATAGTTTTCTTTTTATTAACAAAAAACCGTTTTTTATGTGTCGCGCAATATGAATTAATGTTTTAACAATAGTAATAATACAGGTACCATATTTTGAAAACATGTTTTTATGTAAAATTTGACGGAGAATACGATAAAAATACTAAAAACTTAATACGAGGTGGGGGCCATTGTTAAAAATTGATTTAATATGAATTTGTTAATAATTTTTATTAAAAATATTTTGTTATCAAAATTCAGTTCTTTAGCTTTAAAATAAAAAAAAAGATGTTTGTAGCTCAAATAGAACCGGAGTTATAAATTTTTGAAAATGGGTCTCCAAGCCAAAAACCTTGTTTTCTCAAATTTTTGATCACTTGTATTATCGAAAATATACGAAAGAAAAAAATCCTTGTACACGTGTCTCTTATTTTTCGATATAGAATCCGTAAAAAAAGTTTCAGCCAAATCGGAGATGTGTCGGTCAATTTTTATCAAAATTCGTACGGTTTGTAAAAGAATTACCCATATGGAAGCTATTAAGAACTGAATATTAAAAAAAATAATACTGAAGACATTTCATTAAGTAAATTGCACAAAAACTTTTTTTTTGAGCTAGAGGCATGTTTTCTCCCATTACTGAATTTTGTCCCATACGCACCTATGAAATAAATGTTTTATCGTTGCGTAGGGCGAAAATACCGAAAAGACACAGCAAAAAAGTTCATCAGTATACATCAAACATGGCATGCAATCTTTGGGAAAGGTGCCTAGTGCACGCAGGGCGCCCGCTAACCTGCCCTCTCTGAAATCGGAACACAACGAGACAGGAGCGGCCGTACCGCTGGTGCCGCCCGGCGGTCCAGGATGGGGAAAGCAGGAATCGACCACCTCTTCTTCTTCAGCGTCTTCGACGACCAACAGCAATCCAACAGCGCCCAACACCAACAACTCGAACAACTCGACGAACCACGTGACAAATCAACCGCCCCAGAATGTTGCCAACTCAGGTCAGTAACTTTGTGCTTTCAGAGCTACCACAACTCATAAAACTCATACAATTTGCCTTAAATCTTGAAAACTTCTAAAATTGCCATCAATCTCCTAAAACTCCTAAAAATTAAATATAAATAGGTGAATATATTGTCCCCCAAGTGAAAATAATTATTTTTTATTTTTGGTTGTTTCACTGTTGGTCCAGAATGGGTTTTTTTGTATATTTCAAATAAGTTATTGTATCTTTTGACACCTTAATATTTTTTTAAAAATACAATTGTACTATGCTCCAAACATCAAAGTCCCACCACGTGACCACGTACGGAACGCAGTCTTTTGAAAATTTGGCATTTAAGGCTTTTCAGGTTATGTATCTGTCAAAGTATAGTCAACGAAAGAAATAATATTATGTTTAGGCGTTAAAAATGTATAAATCTTTATAACATTACAATAACAATGGATGGTTTAAGAATTTAAGAATATAAATACTGCATTTAATGAAATTCCAAAGTGTATGGTGCTAAATAAGTAATATTTTTGTGCATTTGGTCCAAATATCTGGTTTTCTCCATAAAATAATTTTAACTAAACAGCATTTATTAAAGAAAATCTAGCTTCTCTATTATGGAATAAGAATATCTGTTTTAAAGGTATTATAACAAAAATATCATCTAATTTAGTAATTTTAAGGTTAGAAAAATTTATTTTGACCAAAATAAATAAGTATTTTGGATTATTTAAAAGACTGTATAATATGGTATTTAAAAATTTGGTAGTTTTTCTTATCCAGCTTAAAGTGTACCTACATAAAGTTTTGTCAATACAAATAGTTAAAAAGTTTCTCTAAAAATTGTTTGTTTTCTTATAATCTAACTTAAAGTAGGTATGCAGAGAGGTATGCACAAGTTTTGTCATTGGAAGTATAAAAGCTTCAATTTAATTTGAACCATATTCAACAATTATTTAGTATACCTATATTTATTTATGACCACATTAACACACTCTTCCAAATAATCCACTTATTTATTTTGGTCAAAATAGATTTTTCTAACCTTAAAATACAAAATTAGATGATATTTTTTGTTCTAATACATTAACCTACCTTTGATATAGATATTCTTATTTCATAATAGAGAAGTTAGATTTTTTTTAATAAATCCTGTTTTGTTAAAACTATTTTATGGAGAAATGTAGACCCAATGCACAAAAATATCACTTATATTGCACCTTACACTTTGGAATTTCATTAAATGCAGTATTTATATTCCTAAATTCTTAAACCAACCATAGTTATCGTAATACTATAAAGATTTATTAACTTTTAACGCTTAAACATAAGCGGTAACACTATAAATATTATTTCTTTCGTTGACTATACTTTGACAGATACATAACCTGAAAAGCCTTGAATGCCAAATTTTCAAAAGACTGCGTTCCGTACGTTGTCACGTGGTGGGACTTTGAGGTGTGGAGCATAGTACATAAAATATTTATAAAAAAATCTACTTACTGAGATATTACACTTCACTGTGGATAGGTTTTTAAATAGCAAATTAATGAACTTAAACTTTTGAATTATAAAACAGCAACACTCTTATCTGCATATAAATTCTAACTGACCTTCAGGAATCACATGCATCTATAATGTCGCAAACAGAGGTTTTTGCTTATTTAAAAAGATTAAAGCGCCATCCGTTTCATAAAATTTAAAGCAAATACAGATTCACGGAGGATAGAATCAATTTTTGTAACACCTACATAAATGGTTATAAAAATTAATTCCTTTAATTTTTAATAATATTTTATATTTGATTCGATTGCTTTGGATGTGTTTAATTTACTTAGTGAACTGATATTTTTAGTATGCTTTTACTACCTCAGATATTTGAAAACATATAGGTTAACCTAGAAAGAGTAACAGTCACGAAGGATAGGTTTAAACATTGTAAAAAATAATTAATTGCGGTTAAAAATCTGGAACCTGCGCTGTCTACTTAAAGATCAAAACACAATAAAAGTGTAGGTCAAACTCATTTAGTTTTATTAAATATCACGGGGCAACACCATCGGGGGACATTTCGTGAGATTCACCCAAATACATATGTCCACATGACTGCGTTTAATTAAGATAGTTGTCATGCTAATAAATTATTTTTTAAAAAGTAATTTAAAAAATATGTATTTTTAGGCTCTGGTTTATCCAATTCTTTTTAAAATGATATATCACAACCTACATTTTTCTTAAAAAACAACCAAATATACCTAAAAAACATAATCCACGTAATAGCTCCTAGACTTCTACAAAATTGTCATTTTTGGCATTTTTAGCTATATTTCGTTGGTTTTCGACAAAAATTTACCGTGTTATATATCAAACAAAAGGATTTTTTATTTTCTTTTAAATGATAACTAAAATAGTAAACAATCTAAAGAATGTTTTGCTGTATTTTGCAACTTCATCATATTTTTTCTATCATGAAATTTTGATTGTTAGTTATTAACTAAACTGTTAACATTTTTTTCATAAAATTTAAATGTAACATCCTTTGACTTTGGCATAGTTTTTTAGCTAAATCTATCGACGCGTTTTTTTTTTTAATAAAATTAAAAATGTGATATTTTACTGTGTATAATCTTAATAAGATTAATACATATTATTATATTTATTATAATATACAAGTATTGTAATTGAATTTAATATTAAAATTTATTATTAAACCCTAAAATCTCTCTGAGTTTCATAATAAAGTTAAAATTTATAAAAACAACTAATTTCTTCAAAATTTGACATTTCTTTTTTTATTAAGGTTAAATTAATAATGCAAAAAAATGTAAATATTATATTTGGTAAAATTATAACTGGCAAGCCAGCCACTGTATAATTTATGTGTAACATAAAGAATGCATTTGTATTATTTTGAATAATAACTTGCTTTTTTTAGCATTGCAATGCCACCCAACACATGTTTTAATTATTAATGAAAATTAATTATAAATACAAATTTGTGCAGCTCGGCACATACACAAACTTTTAAATATAAATTTCCGCAAACTTCCACATTAAAAAAACAAGCACATTTGGGCGATTCCATGATTACTGACGGCAAGCAGAAAAAAAAGATGTGTTGTTCCTATAATACTAATTTTATGCCAGTCCTCAGCAATGAAATTAAGTAATTATAACTATTATTAAATTATTATTATATGAACAACACATTTTCATAAAACATTTTGTCTTGTTTTTGTTTGACCCATCAGTAATCATGGAATAGCCATTTATTACTTTAGAACACAAAATAATTTAATACAAATTTTCTCTTTGATAAATTAACTAAATAAAGGAATTATTTGTTGTTTTTTTACTTAAAACCCTTAAAGGCAAGAAATTAAGTTTTCTATTGTGGGATTTCAGGAATATTGACATAACCTAATTGGTTACATGTACTCAAAGGTATAGAAAAATTATCGTCTCTCTTCTAAAAGGAGGTTTGTGGTATTTATCAGTACTTAGTGCTGCATTAAAACATTGTTTGTTTATCTTAAAAAAAATCAAAAGTTTCTTGTTTTTTTCTTCAAATTTTGCAATTTTTTTTAATGAATTTTGAGGAAAAAATCGCTCTTTAATTGTTTATAATTATAATTGGTTAAAAATATCCTTTAATCACTTTTAAATTTTTAATGCCTAGAATATGCTGTATAAAATTCATCTAAATTCATTGAGTGGTTAAAAAATATTTGATGCTGAAAGGGTCCTATTGTCTGAAAAAACAAATTTAAGTTGTAATTTTTTTCATATACAACACTAAATTCTAAACATTTTGAGACCACATTCTTTTACTTTGGAGATTGCCAAGTTGGGATTTTTTGAACTTTTTTGTTTTAAACTTTTAAAATGGTAATTGGTAATTTTTGTTTAAGAGTTGAATGCCCTGTAAATTTATAAGAAGGTGAAACACCCTATCATTTAAAACGACTATTTTTTTTCACCGAAACTCCAAAATATTATTTAAAACATCGAAAAAAAAATCCCTCAAAGTTTGAGCCCTTAATTTTGATTTTAAGTACTTCCTTTTTCATTTTAAATTTTTCCCATTTAAAAAGTATGTATTTTATATCCTTTTTTTAAACTTCTATATCTTTGCTGGGTATCATATAGTGGTTCATTGTTTCTTACAGAGTATTTAACGCTTTTTAAAAAAGCCTTTACATTTTTTTCTCTAACTTGATTTACCTTGATGGTATCAGCTTTGAAGTTTTTTTGTAGTTTTTTCACATATTTTTAAAAATATTAAGAGAATGGCTTGTCTTACCTCAACATTTTAAAAGAAAAAGTTGTAGAAAATTTAATTCTCTAATTTTAAAAATTTGTGTTTTCTTGAGATCAATTTGCAAATTCGATTCCATGACTATTAAATATCTTGTAAATTGTTCACTTTGGCGATATAAACATAAGAACTTTTTTAATAGAGAATTACATTTTTTACAACTTTTTCCTGTAAATTTTTTTGATAAGACATAATAATATTAATATTTTCAAAAATATACGAAAAAAGTAAAAAAAATTACTTTCAAAGCTGATACCATCAAGGTGAATCGAGTTAGAGAAAAATTCTTTTAGGCTCTTTAAGAAAGTGTTAAATACTCTGTAAGTTACAATGAACCAAAATATGATGAGCTCAACTTTAAAGTATTTTTTACGGTTAACCAAAACGGTTTTATAACGGTATAGATACGAAAAATTACCAAATTTGGGGAATGGTTTATTTCGTTATTTTACCTACATAAATAACCTTTTTGATCTATCAAGAGAATAACGTAATAAAAACAATATAAATACCACAAATTTACGTAAAAATAACGTTATAATTACTAACTGTTTGCTCTCTCTTTCAAAAACATTGACATTTGTAATTTCTTTGTTCTTTTAATTTATATTTTACAAAATTGTACTTACAAAGTAATAAAGGTCACCCTAGAGTAGAATTATAAAATATAACTTAAATTGTCAAAACTAATAAATTTTGCATTAAAACTCAAACGCACATTATTTTATTGATAAAAATAGGCAGGATACATCTTAAAAATTATATACCCTCTAAATATTTTACGGTTTTAAGAAAAATTATTGATTGGGTAAAAATTCAACAAAACTTAAAACCTAAAAAATTTTATAAAATCTTTTAAAAATTATTTAGTTTTAATTATTTTTTAATAACTAAAACTTTCTTTATTATATTTTAGAAAAATATTTATGAAAAAATATCATATAAATGTTTAGATAAGTAATGGATGCCATCTTAAAAAATTCATTATGGCGACCTGAAATAAATTTTCCCTTAAAGTTTTATTTTTCACTTTAAGCTTATTTTTCCTTGTTTAGTCAATATTAAAAGTATTTATTACCACTAATAACCCTAAAAAATACCAGTCGAATAGGAATTATTTACGGTTATAAAGTGGTCTTAATATTGTAAAATTATGACTTATGAGTAACATTTACCATTAAGTAAAAATTCTGACGTTTAAATTACCGTTAAATTTTCCTTTAGGTGAAATACACTTATAAGTAATTTTCTTTCGTAAAAAATACGTCCCTCATAATACTTTAAAGTGTTGAAACTTAAGGGTTATTAAAATAGGAAAAATAACATAAATAAAACTTATTAAATAACTTTAAAAAAAGTTTTACTTTAAAGTAAATTTTTAAGGTTAATTTAACAAAATATTTACTTAAATTAAGTAATATTGCCTCAAAGCTCTACGCTTTTACTTAAAATGCTGCTTGGGATATGCTTTGGTAAAAATTCAAAATGAAAAAGGAAGTACAGTTGTATTCATTAAAAAAGCGTACAAGAATTAGAATGAGAGAAAACTGTCAACATTATTGCGTAAAACCGGCTTTCCACTGACTTAAGTCACTATAACTGACAGTAGAAAATAAAAATGCCTCGTCAGTTAAAAAGGCTCAAATAGTATCAAGAATCGAAGAAGAATGGTCAATTCGTACTGTGGTATAATAGAAATAAAAAATCTATATTAAAAATTAAGCAACGCTGGGAACAGGAAGATTTACTAAACCAAAAAGTTGGTTCAGGTCGTCCCAAAATGTCCACCCCTGAACAGGATGCTGCTTTTTTGAGATATCTGAGGATTTATGGGAAACTATACAACAATACTATACCTACTATACTGCTGGGAAGATATTAATCCAAATATTGTATTAAATTTAATTCAGTTCATCCCAAATAGATTGGCTCAAGTAATAGAAAAACAGGGATGCATGACTAAATATTAAATTTTTTTTAATGTTTGTTTTTTTCATTATTAAAAGGTAATAATTTTTGTACTATTATTTAATTAACCTACGACGTCAATGCTCTTTATAACCTATAATAATTATTTTAATGACTTATGTCAGTGATAAGCCGGTTTTAAGCAATAATATTATTTTGACAGTTTTCTCTCATTCTAATTCTTGTACGCTTTTTTATTGAATACAACTGTACTTAAAATCAAAATTAAGGGTTCAAACTTTAAGGGGATTTTTTTTTCGATGTTTTAAACAATATTTTGGAGTGTCGGAGAGAAACAAAAAAATAGGTGAATATATTTGCCAGCATAGTAAATCGATAATATAAATGTCCGTTATAAAAGGAATTTAAAAATTATGAAATCCCCAAAACAATGTAAACAATATGTGCAAGTAACCGTTTAAAGTGTGGCGTATGGCCTGAGACAAAGGCCGTAAAGGCAGTAAAAGTAAAGAAATTTTGTTTCTAGGTCCGAGCGGCCAAAACAAAGCACCTCCTTCGTTGTTGTCGGGTGCGTCGCCTGCAGGCGCGGCAGACAAGCTTTGGAGTTCCGTGACGAGCGGCTCGGAGCCTTTGCACCACCACCCGCCGCCGTATCAAAGCCCGCAATTCCGGCACGAGTTTCCCAGCCTGTCCGCTGGCGATGGCGGCGCCACACGCACTGGTTCCGATGCCCCGTACCCTGCGGCGGCCGGCGGCCTGTCGCTCAGGCCGCAGACCGAGGGCTCGTGGTCGCAGGGCGGCGCCAAATCGGCCGCAGGCGGCGGCGGCGGCCCGCCGCAGCTCGCGCAAACCGCCGCCGCCCACGCCCCGCTGCCGCCCCAACTTAGGACGGTGGTGCCGTCGTTTATGTACAAGGGTAAGCACTTCACTCAATTTTACTTTTTATTTTTTTACCCTTTGTAATTAAAATTTTTACTTATTGCAATAAGATCGTTTTTTATCGAACATAATAATTTTACCGAAACAATTTTTGTATAAAAAAGCGGATCTTGTGCCACCATATTTAAATAAAAATTACAAAATTGTAATATTCGGCCTCTGTCATTTTCCTCTATGGATTGCACTTTTTGTGGCACATATGGTTTAAATTTATGTTTTTTAAGTATTTTCAGCAAAGTTGCTTGTGATGAATCAATGTTACTTGCAATTTCTCGAGTTGATGTTCTTGGATTTTCTTCAACACTCAGAAGAACATCTAATTCTGTATTTCTTCGAAATCGGCGTTGTTCTAATTTAGGTTTTCTAAAAGCCCTAAAACTTCTCAAAGGTCCTTCAAGCCGGCTAAATTTTCGACGATTCGGAACTTTGAACGGAAATCGCTCAACGTAAAGGCGTAGTCCTCTTCCACTATTTTTATTGCATTCAAAATATACTTGAATCATGTCTGTTAAATCATTGTAATCCATAATTAACACCAAAAAGTATAAAAACAATAATAGCAACGAACTAATGATAATTTTTAACGTTATTTGACCAAATTATTGTTTTCCACTGCCTACTTTAATGAATACATTAATAATTGAAGACACCGGTGCAAAAAAGAGGCAGCTCCATTCAAGCAATTTTTTCGGGACAAGCAAAAAAGCTGTTTTACTAAGAATTCCTTTAATTCATATGCATGCACGGTTTATTCCAAATAATAAACGACAATAAACCATGCAACTTTGCCTTAAGAAGTATTGCAATATCTTTAAAAAATAATGGAGTTATTTGGGGCGTTGTTGTCCACTGCCAACTTTAATAAATACATGAATTGATGAATATCTTACTAACGATTGCTTTTAGGTATAGGGAACTATTAGGCTTTTTGAAAGATAATTTATCAATTAATCCAAAAATGATAAAATATACAGGGTGTTCTATTTAAAAAACTGCAATTGATGTCACTTCCGGAGAAACCGGAAGCAGCATTAATTAAAAGTTAATCCCAAAAATAGACGGTAAAAAACTGTGTATCTTTGTTAAAAAAAGTATTGTCCTATCTTTAAAAATATTGGAGTTATGGCTTGGGGCGTTTTTCATAATTCACCCTGTATAATATTACTATATAATATAATAAAAAAGCTGTCTTTATTAAAATTCTAACTGCTAGTAGCCTATTGGTAAAAAGGGGAAAAAATGTGGGCTCCTGCTTCTCAAAAACCTATACGTCATCTGTACTATAATTTTTCTAAAAAATACTATAATTTAATTGAAAAAATACTATAATGTGCTTGTCAAGAGTAGGCAACCATGATCATCCGTACAACTTTTTAGAAATTTTGCATTTTTGAATAAAATGAATTTTTCTGAAAATTTCTCAATTTTTTCGTTTTCTTTTTCGAAAATTTTAAAACTATCCACAATTAAATGAATGTTGTGTTTTTATTTTCAGAACTAGCCAGGCCGTGCAGCTTTCCGCAGTCGCAAAACGACGCGCCGCCGCCGCCGTCGGCGCAGTCGAACGGCGGCAGAGCTTCCGTCGGCGGCAGAGGGCCGCCGCGACTGGCCGACGCCGGCGAAGAATCCGCCCCGCGACCCATCATCAAGGAGGAAGAGCTGAGCCGCATGGACGAGATCGGCAGCGACATGGGCTGGGCCGTGCAGGACGAGATCGACTACGACCAGAAGCTCGCCTTCAGCGACGACGAGAGCGACCAGAATAAAAGAAGAGAGCACCGAGAGCAGCAGCATAAGCAGGCTCCGCAGCAGCAGCAACAACAGCAACAACAGAACAGCAACAGAGAGAGGAGCGACAGCCATTCCAGCGACGGGGCGAGGAGTTGGGGCAACGCTCGGTCTGGTGGGAACTTCCGCGGGCGCTCTTCCGAAGAAGAGGACATAAAAATTCAGCGCCGCACGCAGCAGGAGGTGGACATGGCGGTGCAAAGGGCGAAGCAGCGCAAGGAGGAGGAGGAGAAGCGTTTCAACGAGGCCAAACAGGGGGCGGCCAAGAAATTGTTGGAGCTTGAAGAGAAAATTCAGAAGAGGGACAGGGTGTCGGAGAGTTCCACCGGCAGCGTCACGAAGGTTTCCGTGCAAGAGTTTCAGAAGGAAATAACCGCCAACGATGTTAACGTCGACGATAAGAACAACTTCAGGCATCTGACGCAGATCGAGGGCAAGAATTTCCCGCGGAAGCATCAGGTTGCCGCTAATGCTAAACCACCGCCGGAAAATCGCGGCAACCAACAGAACGGGCTCTTTTCGCGGCACTTCCAGAACGACCTGCCGCCGAGGTTCAAGAATCAGCGCAACAATAACAACAACAACTCGCAGCAGCAGCAGCAGCAGCAAGCGAATTACAGCAGCAACAGAAGCGAGGACGAGGATCGCTACAAAAGGCAGAGTTCCGAGGACAGCTACAGGAGCGGCGGGCATTCGGAGACACAAAAGACAGAGGAGAATCTCTACCGCGAGACTTCTTGGCACAAGGAGAAGGAGAAGAAGGCACTGCGGCACTGCGAGAGCGGCGAGGAGAAGCGGAGCAGGCAGGCGGTGCCGGGGCCGATCACCAAGGAGCGCATCGAAGCTGACGACGTGAAGAACGAGAAGAGGCACGTGACGCAGCTGAAGCGCGGGCAGAAACCGCCAGAGAGCGTGAGGACGCGCGAGGAGAGCACCGCGTGGGCCGACGCGGTTCCCACGATGGAGGACGACGGAATCGTCGACGAGAAAATTCAAGCGAAAAAGTCCGACTGCCCGAAGGATCACGACGCGGATTACAAGGCTCGCAATCAGCAGCAGCAGCAGCAGCAGCAACGACAGGTGGGTGGTGATGTAAAATTTATTATTTATCTGACACACGGTGGTTTGAAAATATTTTATTAGTGTTATTTTTGATCGCTGATATCTTTGAAACGGTTGACCTGAAAAACTTTGACCTTCAGATGTTTTTTGTACAGCGTGAAATTGTCTATAACTCATCTCGCTTGGGTGTTGCGAAAACAAACCGTTCCAAAGTTATAAGAATTCAAAATTTAAAAAATAAAAATTCCCGTGTTATTGAAATTGAAAAACAACAAATGAATTGAGGCAAACCTTAAGAGCTCAAATATGCGGCAAAATTTTTGTTTTTTAATGTACTATTAATCTTCAACACCATTAGAAAAAAAATAATCTTAGTTTTTTTTTAAACATCCTAATGACCATGTCATAAAAATGTGCTTGAATCCCTACAGGCGAGCAGCAAGGGCGGCGGTTGGGGGGAGTACCACCGCTCGGGGGCGCCGTGGAACAAAGGGGGCAGGTTGTCGGCGCAAGCGAGAACGCACAACAAACCGCCCTCGCAGATGAGCGATTCGGACGGTTCCCTGGACGAGCACGTCGACGGAAAAATAAAAAAACCCGACGATAAAAATCGCGACGCGAAAAAGAGCGGCGAGTCGTACGTGCCGCGCGGCGAGCCGTCGCGCATCGGCCGCGGCGGCGGCGGCTTCGCGCGCGCCTCTGGTCGCATGGGCGGCATGGGCAAGAAGATCGACGGCTACGGGCCGCCGCCGAAGAGCCCGTTCGGTCACCACCAAGACAACAAGAAAGACGACAACCCTTCGTCGGTCGGCATCGACGCGGAGGACAAGACCAAGTTGAGTCAGCAGGCTCTGTCCGCCGGGATGGGGATACTACCGCCGCCGCCGCCGCGCGGTAAAGATGGCAGGAGGGTGGAAAGTCGCAGGGGGAAGTCGCGCAGCAAAAACGACGAGGCTTGCGACGAGCTGTCCGACGAGAAGGACGGTAAAAGAAACGCGAAGCTGGCTCAGCGAGGCGGCAACAGAAGGAGCAACGCGCCGGCGCCGCGAGCCAATTCGGACGGCAACAATAAAAGGTAATAATAATAATAAGCTTTATTTATGTTATACGAGCCCTAACCACATAATGTTCGGACACTTCATAATTTATACAGAAATTTTTTTCGTGAATACTATCTCAAAATTATTAGAAGTTATGAAAAATTCAGCTTATTTTGGCATATACCCCTCGAAGCGATTTTTATTTTTAAAAAGTTTACCTTTTATTTTTAGCTTTTAAAAAAAGGCTAACTTTTTAACTTTTTTTTGTATGAGTAAAAAAAGTTATAAATGGACCCATTAAAAAGAGCATAAAATATTATACAAACCCTGAAAATTTGGTAAAAAATAAATAAGTTATAAAAAAGTATAAGTAATTTAAAAATGCTATTTTTAAAGAGTTTTTGCAATTTTCTTAGGAAACGGGAGATTTTGCAGATATATATATCGCTATAACTTTCTTATTATTTATACAACTTTTACCAAATTTTCAGGGTTTGTATAATATTTTATGTTCTTTTTAATGGGCCCATTTATAACTTTTTTTACTCATGCAAAAAAAAGTTAAAAAGTTAGCCTTTTTTTAAAAGCTAAAAATAAAAGGTAAACTTTTTAAAAATAAAAATCGCTTCGAGGGGTATATGCCAAAATAAGCTGAATTTTTCATAACTTCTAATAATTTTGAGATAGTATTCACGAAAAAAATTTCTGTATAAATTATGAAGTGTCCGAACATTATGTGGTTAGGGCTCGTATACAAAGTAGTATTTACACAGGTCAAAAACAGGTCAGAAATATAATTAGATATTAACAAAATAGATTGGCAAACTTAATAAAAATTAGTATAGAACTGGAATAGAAACCGATAAAACTTATAACTAGGTGATATTAAAATTAAAATTTAAAAATTCATCAATTGAATAAATGGAATTTTGAATTAAAATTTCCTTAATTAAATTTTTAAAATTTTTGGCCGGATAATTCCTTATATTAAGTGGAAGATTGTTAAAAAACTTAATTCCCAAGAAATTTGTTCCTGTTTGAATTTTTTTCAGTCTATAATATGGCAGTGCTAAATTATTTTTATTTCTTGCGTGGTAGCTATGGATACCCGACATCGTAATGTAATCCTTTTTGTTATTTTTTATGTACTATCGCTAACAAAAAAAACTCATACAGCTATATTGTGGCTGTGTGAATAAAACTTTTCCGTCAATGTCAAGCTGACATCGAGCTTTGTCACATCCATTATGACTTTTTTAACAACATTTTTAACCAAACAATGCAGACGAACTCTGGCAAGCCATTGAAGCCATTTGGAACTATATAAAGCAAGACGGCGACTTCCATGCTTTGCCGTTTGCGGGCAGTAATTGACAAAAACAGAGAGATGACGAAATATTATTTTTTTTTCAAACTTCAACCTAACTTTGTATTTAATTTTAGACCTTTCAAATGTGACGTATCATGTTAAAAGCCATAATTACTCCAACGAAATGATAGAAAATCAGGAACACTAGATTTTTAAGCTGTACGAGTTTTTTTTGTTAGCGATAGTATAGCAGGGTCTCTAATATAAAAACTGATGGTAAGGTTAATATTTTTAAGTTTTTAAAAGCTGTTTTACAGTCTGCTCGATAGAGTAGTCCTGCTAGTATCCTTACTGCTCTTCTTTGAAGCGCAAATGCACTATCAGCATGCGGGGAGTGTCCCCATATTAATATGGCGTAAGTAAGAACCGAGTGAATAAGAGCAAAGTAAGCATTTTTTAGGACATTAGACACAGAATCATATAGTCCACGCAGGACAAAGACACTTCTCCTAGTCTTCTTACAAATGTTATCTACATGGTGATCAAATTTTAGAGCCCTGTCTAATTGAACTCCCAAGAATTTAACTGATTCATTTTTATTATAGGTACGGGGAAGTACCGCGGCAAAATTCCAACGGCGTTAAAAAAGACGAGCTGTGCAACGCGATCGCGGACATTACGCTGCTGAAGGAGAGCGACGAGAAGGAAAAAATCGTCGGCGGGGATTGCGAGGGCTTTCAGGAGGTGAAGAGCAAGAAGAGCACTGGCAAGGAGAGGCAGAAGTCGTCGGAGAAGGTGGGCGGCGCGAAAGGGGAGAAGGAGAAGGCGGCGACGGGCGCGAAAAAGTTGACCGCGCAGCAGATTCAGAACATCCCGTCGCTGATGGCGACGCCGGTGAACCCGCCGCAGACGCTGCCCAAGGCGCAGTTCGAGCGGCCGCGGCAGCAGAAGCTGGCGCCGCGGTTCGCCAAGCAGAAGCTGCAGAAGGCGCAGATGCAGCAGCAGCAGCAGCACCACTTGCACCACCACCTGCAGCACCACGACGACGCTTCGAAGGGTGGGTACGGCGGGATGAAGGAGGGCGCGCAGATGGGCTCGGCGTGGGACAAACCGCTCGGTTCCGGGCAGATGAGGAGCCAGGGGATGGTGGACCACGACTTGATGGGCCCGGTCGCCATCGACGGGGGAAAGCCCTCGGAGGCCGCCAACGTCCAGCAGCCCGCCGCTGCGGATAAAGTAAGTTTTACCCTACAAGTTAAACCTTATTTAACCCGTAACTAGTGAGGTCACTTTTTCGTTACATAACTAGTGCGGTGGGGTCTAGACCAGTGCAGAAGCCTTTAAAAATGGTAAAAAGAGAAAAAAAATAACAGTAAGATGAAACCCATTGCAAAAGGAGGGGAATATAATAAAAATTAAAGGAAAAATAAATTACGGGCGATCTGAGTTCGGGAAGTGGGAGGGGGGGTTTTAAGGGTAAAAAATGGTTTATCTCGATTTCCGGCAAAACTACAAGTCCTATGGAAAAAAGTTAAATGGCAAAGTTGTAGGTAATAAAAAGATCTACAACTTTTGTATTTACAATTTTTTCACATAACCTCAAAATTTATGTGAAAAATTCAAAAAAACAAGTTTTTGGTTTTTTATTTTTCTTTTTCAAAAAAATTTTTTTTTCCACGAAATTTGGTGAAAACTTACCTTTTTATGTCCCAAATACACAGTAATTTATTTGATTTGAAATATTTATTATTTCGCCTTATTTTGACTTAATATCAAAAAAGCACCCTAATTTTCAATCGAAAATTCTCGCGTCAAAATATCAGCTTTTTTTAAAAAGTCGGTGTGCTTTTTGTTCAATGAACTCTCTACTTTCTGTCAGAAAGTAGAGAGTTCATTGAACAAAGTTGAAGAAAGTTTCTGATGGTGTAAAAAAAAATATACATTACTATGGTAAATGTTCTCAGAAAATACAAAAAATATTATAATGAATAACGTAATCAGAATGAAGTATCTAAATTCAATAGTATGATTTACATGTATTTTTATATTTTATGAGATTTTCTGACATAATTATTTAATGTTATTAGAATTTAATAAATAAACTTTTTAATTTTAATTTTTTTAATTTTAATTTAATAAATAAACTTTTTAACTAAAAAAAATTGCAACAATCACATTTTTTTGATGAAATTGTACATAATGATTAAAATAAATTTTCGAATTCGAGTTTTTTTCGTTATTCATTATAATATTTTTTGCATTTTCTGAGAACATTTACCATAGTAATGTATATTTTTTTTACACCATCAGAAAGTAGAGATTTCAACGAACAAAAAGCACACCGACTTTTTGAAAAAAGCTGATATTTTGACGCGAGAATTTTCGATTGAAAATTAGGGTGCTTTTTTGATATTAAGTCAAAATAAGGCGAAATAATAAATATTTCAAATCAAATAAATTACAGTGTATTTGAAACATAAAAAGGTAAGTTTTCACAAAATTTCGTGGAAAAAAATTATTTTTTGAAAAAGATAAAAATAAATAACCAAAAACTTGGTTTTTTGAATTTTTCACATAAATTTTGAGGTTATGTAAAAAAATTGTAATTACAAAAGTTGTAGATCCTTTTATTACCTACAACTTTGCCATTTAACTTTTTTCCATAGGACTTGTAGTTTTGCCGGAAATCGAGATAAAGCATTTTTTACCCTTAAACCCCCCCCCCTCCCACTTCCCGAAGTCAGATCGCCCGTAATTTATTTTTCCTTTCATTTTTATTATATTCTTCTCCTTTTCCAATGGGTTTCATCCCACTGTTATTTTTTTTGGTTTCAAAAATTATCGACCCTGGTCTAGTCTACCAAACCCCAAATGAAAACGGCAAAATCAAAATAAAAAAAAACCGTATATTATTTAGTTTTGGGTAACCTTTTAAATTATTTAATAATTACAACTGCAAAAAATTTATACATATTACAATCTTAGGCTACAAAACAAATCTAGATTTTTTACACACATAACAGTTAAGGAAAAAAGTAATGTCCATTTGAATGCTCGATTGTAATTGTTCGGAGACATTTGGGTTTTGGTAATAAAATTAACATATTTATTTTTAAACTCAATAATTCTACCTACCTGCTATTTATCATTCTTTTTAAGCACATTATTGGACTTAAATTAAATAATTATAAACTTGCATAATTTTGCAAATAAAATTGTTAAAAACCCTCTTTAATGTATTTACCTTTTTATTTGATTTTTGTTACCTGGGCAATTTGAATTAAAATATTTATCCTTACTATGTAAATTAAAGCCATTAAAATTTTAACTAAAATGAATTTTGTGCTTATAAAAAGAAATTCTCTTTTAATACTTGTATTTGTAGAGCAAACATGCAAAAACCAATAAATCTATTTTTACATTTTAAGAGGATAGAACCGATTCTTACTAATTATGGTAAACTTTTTAACTTAGCACAGCATTTTAAGTAAAAACCGAAACAGTGGCAACCCAACAGTCCTGTTGCTCCTGAGCAACATTCCAGTTTAATAGTTTTTAAACATTTGGGGCAATCTGCTGTACACATTTTTGGCCAATATTTCATAAGTTAAAATGGATTTATCTGCTTTTGCTTTACTGCATATTTGTTTTATGAAATAACTGCCCAATACCAACTTATTTCAATGTATAAAAATCCAATAAAATATGAAAACGGCACAAACTTATAATAATTGAAGCTTGGTCTTCCCAAAGGGTCAATGTGCCAAAAAAGAAAATAGTAGATAAAGTACTTACATAAATAATATGGGGTTGGAAAATTTTTAAGGTCGTTTTTTTTTAAATAATAATTTAATATTTTACCAAATTAGGTCCAAACCCTTTAGGAATACCATTCTTCAATTATAATTTTTTTCTACATTTTCAGCAAAACTAAATTTATGGTAAAATTTAGTAGGACCCTTTTTGAGAAAATATTCTGTTAAAACAATGCGCAAAGAAAGCGGCATTTTTATTTAAAAATAAAGATAAAATAATTATTAAATATTTTCTTAAATAAAGGGTCCTACTAAATTTTACCATACATTTTGTTTTGCTGAAAAAATAGGAAAATCTGGAAATTTTCTATAAATTCAACTTTTACCTAGAATACCTTTTAAAAAAGTTAATTAATAAATATACTATATATAAAAATTCTAAATATACTTTTTAATTTTTTAATAATATTATTTTTAGCCTAAAAAGTTGTTTTTAAAAGTTTTTTATAAAATAAATGTATAAATTTTATATAACTATCAAAAAATGAACAATTTAATAAAAATACGGTTAAATATGAAATAAACCCAAAATAATTAATTCAATACGAGCAGGTAGTAAATCCTAAATATATACATATTTTTAAATAAATCCCTAAGATGCAGATGTTGACTATTTTCGAATGCTTCCAAACAATTACAATTGAGTATTTAAATGGACACTTTTTTCCGTAACTGTACCTATATTTCATATTATCATCAAAATAAGTTTTAATCTGTGAAAATCTTCTTGATTTAACATACAATAAATCTCTTTTCTTTATTTTCTGTGCTATTTGTTTTGTAAACCAGCCTTCTTCAATGTTCACATTATATTTTCTGGTTGAAGATGTTGTACAACGATTTTTTTCATCACCAATAATTGTAGTTAATATATTAAAATTGCATTCTTCAGCTGGAATTCGATATTTTAATAACATTTTATTAACTTACATCTGACATAAGGTTGGGCCCTGTAGAGAACTGACAAATTTTAACAATAACCGTTGTTAAAACACTGCGCATAATAAGTAAAAAAAAAAATTAACTCTAAAACGGCTTTACCAATCTTTATAAAATTTTGGATATAAATACTTCAACTTATATCTCAGTTTACGTGTTCAAAGGTTTTTCTAGAAATTATCCTTAAAGCACTTTTATTTAATAATAAAAAACGCTCGACAAAAAAACTTTTTTTAAGTAAATAAAAAAAATATGCTGTGAAATACCTTATTTTTATTAGTATATCCTGAAAATGTTGTACAAATCAAGCGGATAGTAACGAAAATGCAGCGCTTTAAAGTCGTCAAAAACGACCACTTTTTACCGACTTTATGTTCGTTTGATTTGTACAAAATTTTTAGGGTATACTAATAAAAATACGGTCTTTGGTAAATTCTCATATAACTTGTTTCGATGCTGTATCCACTTATTTTTGTGAAAACTAATTCTCGCTCAAGGTTTTTTTTAGTGTAATGAGCAAGTAGCATTTTAAGGTAATGGGAACTTAAATTATGACAACCCTAATCTATTAATTTTTTCCTAAAATGCAGGCTTTATGTTGCAAATGTCACATAAGTTACCGGTCACCAACTGCAATATCCTAACATTGATGAATATTTTAACAAAATGGCTGTTGAAACAACTAATGTTAGTGCTTGATTAACTCAAAATAGACTTAATTAAGATTGACGAAAAATTCTTTTATCCGAAATCGGCAGTAAAGTAGAACTTTACTGCCGATTTATTTTAATTTACGATTGTTGACTACTTTACTGCCGATTTCGGATAAAATAATTTTTTGTCAATCTTAAGTCTATTTTTAGTTAATCAAGCACTAACATTAGTTGTTTGAACGGTCATTTTGTTGAAATATTCATCGATGTTAGGATATTGCAGTTGGTGACCGGTAACTTATGTGACATTTGCAACATAAAGCCTGCATTTTAGGAAAAAATTAATAGATTAGGGTTGTCATAATTTAAGTTCCTATTACCTTGAAATGCTACATGCTTATTACACTAAAAAAAACCTTGAGCGAGAATTAGTTTTCACAAAAATAAGTGGATACAGCATCGGAACAAGTTATATGAGAATTGACCCTTTAACAGCATTATTTTTATTTGCTTAAAATTTTAAAATATTTCTTCGAAAAACCCTCGAACACGTAAACTGAGATATAAGTTGAAGTATTTTTATACAAAATTTAATAAAGTTTTTTAATGTATAATGGATTGGCCAAGGGAAGAAATAATGTTCTATTTTGGCCAATAGCAATCGTTGTTTTGCTGGCTTTATTGCTCAAATGGTTGGAGTATATCATCGTTTCCTCTATTTCAGTTAAAGTCCCAAGTACAAGACAAATCCCTTTTGGACGGCACCACCGCGCCGGTAAACACGATAATATTCGAAAACACCAACTTCAAAACCGCGCCGGGCAGCCGGAACTGCAACCCGCCGAGAAGCGAGAAACCTCGAAAACTCGACGACGGCAACCTCGACGCCTCGGTGCTGAGCAACTTCAACAAACCGCTCAACGAGCTGATCGGCAACGACAAGTCCGACTCGATACAGCTGCCGATGTCCTTCAAGGAGGACAACGGCGACATGAAGCTGGACTTTTTCGACGCCGACCTGTCCACCCTGACCGACGACAAGGCGTGCAAGAACCTGATCGTGTCGAAGATGCAGCACGTCGGCCAAAGCGCCATATGCACCGCCGACTCGCTCAACATCAAGATAGCGTCGGTGAAGAAGGTGTGGGAGACTGCGCCTGATCGAGGCGTCGCGCAGGACGACGGCAACGTCGCGTTTTCGAGCTCGTTCGCCGCGCCGAACGACGGCAACCTCGATCCGTCGTGTTCGGTGTTCCAGAAGGCGGACCAATCGGACGACGTCGGGCATCACGAGGCGTACAACCAGTCGCCCAATCAGACCGCCTCCACCACCACGAACGTCTGCAAGGTGAGTTTAGTTATAGAATAATGCTTCAACGGCGTTTTTTTAAATCTAAAAACTGCTTTCCCTCCGAATTTTATTTTGAAAAGGTCCAAGTTATTTATTTTATTTTTCGACGATTTCTTTTTACAGTTTCTCTTTTTTTACAGTTTTGTTTTTGCTTTAATTTGTTTTGTTCGATTTTTCTCTTTTTATTTTCTTCTTAAATTTTTACTACACACAAAAAATATATATAAAATTAAGTGAATTCACTCAATTTTTTGTAATTGTTTTTTCCTTTATTATATTATTTAACAAAATAAGCAGTTTTTCCATGCATATGAATTTATTTAAATAGCTTCAAGAAATTATTGTGCTTTAGTTTTAGATCTTTTGAGTGTTTTTTTAGATTTTAGAAACTTTTTTAAAACTGACTAAAATAAAAAAATCACTCGATTTAAATCGTTGATTTAAAACGAATAATTTAAATCAGGCGAACCCTGGAAAGGACATACAATTTTATTTTAATGAAAAGTATTTATTATTTTACTTTTACATGTATACATTGACAAAATGGTAAATTTAAAAGAAAAAGCTTTGATAAAAAAGAAAAAAAATTGAAAATGCGATAACTTGCCCAAAAATGTTTTTTTTTAAATTGTAGATAAATTTTTACTACACACAAAAAAAAATTAAGTGAATTCACTCAAATTTTTTTAATTGTTTTTTCCTTTATTATTTTATTTAACAAAATAAGCAATTTTATATGCATAGGAATTTATTTAAATAGTGTCAAGATATTGTTGTGCCTTAGTTTTAGATCTTTCAAGTGTTTTTTTATATTTTAGAATTGTTTTAAAACTGATTTAAATCATTGATTAAAATAAAATAATCACTCGATTTAAATCGATGATTTAAATCGAATAATTTAAATCAGGCAAACCCTGGAAAGGACATAACATTTTGGGGAAATATTTAATTTTAATGGAAAGTATTTAATATTTTACTTTTACATGTATACATTGGCAAAATGGTAAATTTAAAAGATGAAGCTTTGATAAAAATGAAAAAAAAATACTACTTGACGACAATGACTACATTTTAAAATAAACTTGCCAATATTAAATTACAGAAAAAGTTAATGGAGAAAGAGCCAATCAACTGAACTTGCACCAAATGCATTTCCATCTCAAATCGACAAGGCAAAAAGGGGAAGGTCGTTATTTTTCATCGAATTTTTTTTTTACTTTCTCTACCGAAATTTTTCTCTTTTTATTTTTCTCTTGAAAATGCGATAACTTGCCCAAAAATGTTTCGACCGTTACAATTTTTAAAGCTTTTTAAAGCACAATAATATCTTGACACTATTTAAATAAATTCATATGCATAGAAAAACTGCTTATTTTGTTAAATTAAATAATACACAAACAAATATGACAGTTGCGGACGGTGGCCAATACAATATTATTATAGTCAAGTTATTTTTGTATTTTTTTTAATAGCACACTTTATTAAAAAAAGCTTCTAATTAAAAAAAATCATTGATTTTTGATTTTGTAGTCCTCTGGATCAACAGGTATCAAACCTCCTTATCCTTCTTCTTTGTGGACTTTTTATTGTCGATTATTTTTTTGGTTATGTCTTTTGGGGAATTATTATCATCAACCCACCACAGCGTTTCAAATATTTCTTCCTAAAATAAATTTATTTACCTTTAAAACACTATTTTGAAATTAGAACAACAAAATTGTCGAATCATTTATTGCATGCAATAGATACCAGTTAATTTTAAGAAGTTGTAAAATGTAAAACATTTTTTTTAAACTAAAATTGATTTTACGAATAGAATCTCCTTAAAAACGCTTTTTAGGACCATAAAACACATTTTTACGATAAAATTAAAATCAAAAAAAGTAATACTACGTTTTTGTTGAGAAGATGTCAATGGTATTTTTTTATTTTTTATTCAAGCCTTATCTTTTAAATTTACCATTTCGTCAACGTAAAAGTAAAATATTGAATACTTTTTATTAAAATCAAAGCTTTTATGTCCCTTCTGTCATAGGAAAGAGTGACAGTGTTTTTGTTAACTAAACAGCTTGTTTTTGAAAAATAGCTAGAAAATTTATGAAAATTTCTGATACATTGACAACATTTATTTTTATCTTGTTTTTATATAGTAAATTTAATGGTTTAAATTTTTTTGACAAAAGTGAAAACAAATTTATAATTATTTTGACATTATAAAATATGCGACAAATCAATTGTAAATCTAGTTTTAAAAATATAAGGTTTAAGCCTCTGAGCCAAAAAAAATCTGCAACTTTTTAGTTATATATAACCCTGGGTTATAGGTTTATTTATAACCAAATCGATTTAATTTTAACTCCAAATCGTATTCTATAGTTTTTGCATATAAAATATCGCCTTAATTTTTTACTTATTTCTAAATAACATAACCCAGGGTTATTGATATCCAAAAAGTTACAGAATAGACCCCAAATGCAGAAATTTGAGAAAAAAAGCCCTTACACATTTTCTTTGGCACGTCAGGTGAAACCCACGCAGCAGGTGGCCGGAGGCGGGAACCCGGCCGTGCTGGGTTCCGGCGGGCACCAGCAGCACTCCGCCATGGTCCAGCAAGGCCTGATGGGCAATCCGCTGTCTCCGCCTCCGCAAATGCAGCACGTCGGCCTCGGGCAGCCGCAGGCCTACGGCGCGAGCCAGCACCTCGGCTACCAGGTAAGCGTCCGTCAAACACATCTTTTTAAACTGTCCACCTAGCGGCGGAAACAAATATTATAAATATGCGCACTTTAGTTATTTAGTTATTGGAACTAATATTTTTTATTGTCTTTCCTTCTCGAAATCTTGGATCGAATATGGCGTCAAAAATTGGAAATTAAGAAAAAATTTCAAAATTTGATATACAAAATTAAATACTGCAAAAACTTATCCAAGGTTGTTTTCCGTAATTTACTGCCATTACTATCAGTAATTTTACTGTCAGTAGCGGAAAAGGACCGTTCCGTAATTTATTCAAAACTGAAGCAACAGTGACATTGGAACGCGCCTCAGTAGCAGCAGAAAATTACGTCATTTTGTCATTGTACAATGGCTACGCAAGGTTGTTTTGTGATTTACTGACATTTGACAAACTTTACTTTCGACACCGGCAGAGAAATATGGAAAGGAAAAATAAATTTTTCGACGCGGACGATGATAATAGGAAATATAAAATTTCACTGACACTACAACTATACGCCAAATACCGAAAATGACTCTTAAATTTGTCCGCTGAATACAAATATACAACATTTCATATGCGTACTCCCCGGCGACCTGCCCACCATCCTCCTTTAATTAACTCGTCTCCTTCGTCACTGCTGCTTGTACTTTTAAGTATTATTTCAATAATAATTATTGAAATAATTAGTCCTAGCTCACGTTGGTACATTTGGCGTTTTCAACTTAAAAAATATATAATCTTCCAAACATTTTTTTTAAATAGTGGTATTATTAGCTTTACTTTGCAAGAAAAATTAAAATCGCGTATGAAGCCGTTGTGAAGATATCGACTTAAGATTATATATTTTTTAAGTTAAAAACGCCAAATGTACCAACGTGAGCTCTTTACCAAATACTTTATACTTTATATTACAGCTATTTTTTATGTTTAAAAGTTTGGTTAGGTATGTGCTTTACTGGAGCCACAGCACCTCTCTGTCACCAGTTGTTTCAGTGGCGTAAATATATAAAAAGTGGATTTCAGAATATGTTTTCAGTACTGACAGTAAATTACGGAACACAACCTATGTATAGCTTAATAAAAGAAGAATATATTTGACAATTTTGATGTAAAAATAATATACAAGGTGTCCCTAAACTTAGTGGCATAAATTTAGGAGCAGATTAAGAAAGTCAAAATAAGACGAAAATCTAAATAAATATTTTTCCCAATTAGGTATGTTTAAAAGATACAGGGTGATAAAGTGTTACTTATCATATCAGTTTTTTAATATAACTTCCACTATGGTAGACTTGGAAAGGTGATATTTTGCAAACAGTCACTTACTACCAAAACACGTATTCACACATAATTACAATTGTTCGAGTGAACGCAGTGTCGTAGAAACAGGGGTTGCTTAAGCTTATTGTTCCATACAAACTTTGAGGTTAGGTTTTTATACCATTGGATGGAATTTTTCGATTACTCAGTTCGGCTACCATTAAAAAGGTGTACCTCTCAAAATTCGATAAAATAAACCGTTTCCAAGATATTCGACATTACAATAATTGTTATATCGCATTATTTAAAAGGATTAAAAGGTTTATGATAACAAATTTTATTTTTTAATTGAAAAAACTAAAAAGAGCATTCCATGAGCCTCGGGACTTTTTGCCCTGACCGTCACATTAAAAAAATTGTAGTTTTTCATATACCTTTTAGTCCTTTAATGCGATATAACAATTATTGTAATCTCGAATATCTCGGAAACGGTTTATTTTATCGAAGTTTGAGAGGTACACCTTTTTAATAGTAGCAAAACTGAGTAATCGAAAAATTGCATCAAATGGTATAAAAACCTAACCTCAAAGTTTGTATAGGACAATAAGTTTAAGCAACCCCTGTTTCTACGACACTGTGTTCACTCAAACAATTGTAATTATGTGTAAATATGTGTATTGGTAGTAAGTGACTGTTCGCAAAATATCACCTTTCCAAGTCTTCCATAGTAGAAGTTATATTAAAAAACTGATATGATAAGTATTAGGAAAAATATTTATTTAGAGTTTCGTCTTATTTTGACTTGCTTGATCTGCTCCTAAATTTATGCCACTAAGTTTAGGGACACCTTGTATAATAAATTCCCTAAAAAATTATAAACAAATGTTTGTGATTTGTCCCGTCCGTCCGCTTGAAATGGCCGTTATTTTCTTAAATCAAATCACTTCAATTTAATGTTTACTTTTATTTGTTTTTTTCTGTAATAAATTTATTATTCTTAGGGATATTTTGATATATTATTGCTTTGTAAATTTTCAGAAATAAATCAATTTTTCACAAAATAAAAGCCTTGGAAAAAACTGAAAAAAAAACAGGTTTTTCCCCCAGTTTTTCCGTTTTTTTTTCGACACTTAAAAATTTATTTGTAGGCGAGTTTGGGCGGCAGCACCCAGTACGGCATGTCGGCCATACCGTCCCCGCCGACGGTCCCCGTGCTGTACAACTCGTCGCAGCCGCTGGCGGCCGCCGCCGCCGCCGCCAACGCCGCCGGTCTGTACAGCACGTTCCAGATGGAGGCGGCGGGAGCGGCGGGCGTGCTGGGCGGCCAGGGCCGATCGCAGTACTCGCAGTACCCGGCCCCGTTCGGCCTCGGCCAGACCGGCTCGGGCGCCTACTCGACGCAGTCGATGTACCTGCAGACGGCGCCGCCGCCGCACGCGCCGCCGCCCGCCGCTCAGGCGCCGCCGCCGGACATGTACCAGAACTTCCGGCTGTCGGCGGCGCAGGCGCCGTTCGCCGCCGCGCAGAACCAGCAGCTCAACAGCCCCAGCACCGTTTTGATATCCTCCACTTCGAACACCCTCATGTCTGCTTCCGTGAAGCCCAGCAGCCAGCAGATCAGTGCAATAGGTAAGTTATTTTTTTATGATTTGTGGTCTTAAAAATACATTTTTAACACCCGAGGTAAATCTTACTTTAGAATGTCAAAAACAATTGAATTTCAAAAACAATTTCGGGGTCAAACCTTGGTAAAAAAATGGCCTTTTTATATAAATCGATATTTGAAAAGCGTAAAACCAAACTTGCCTTTTTTTCTTACAAAGACATACGCAAAAATATTTTTTTTTAGTTTTTAGCGAATATCTTTTTTAAAATTTCTAACAATTTTTGTCTCAAGTATTTTTTATTTAAACAAATATAATATATATCAAATATCAATACTTGAACTTGTTATACTCAAATTTATAAAACAAAGTTGCTCCTTTGATTACACTAGTTTATAGGGATAGAACGATACCGATATTGATATCGGTATATCGGCATATCGGCAATTGTTTCCGATTATCGGTATCGTATCGTATCGGCAAAAAAAAATTGCGCTTTTCACTCTTCAGTGCATAAATGAAATACTCTCGTAGGGAAATGTGTATTGTTTTTTAAGAAATACATTTTCGCCATTAACTGGAATTTAATGGATTTTAAACAATACTTAGTTTTTATTTGCAGAAATGCATTAAAACAAAACAAACGAATTCGATAAAAATAAAACCTATAAATTCTCAATCCCTACCACAGTTTATTTAAGTGTATCTATTCGTTTTAATACACACTGTATAAGGGGCTTCCCAGAAATCCGAAATGTCACTCACTACCAATCAAAAACGTTTCCTCGCAACGGAATTAAAACGGGACTTCCCCGATTTTTGCTTCGGTCGTTGTAGTTGTATAATCTGTGGATGGCATTATGTTTGCCGATACGATATATCGGTATATCGGCACGTAAATATCGGTATCGGCCGATATATCGTATCGGCAAAAAAAAGTGATATCGTTCTATCCCTACTAGTTTACAAAATCGAAAAAAAATTCTGCCCACCATATCCCATTATAATTTTTTTTATGGAAGCATTTTTGAAATATGAATTTTCAATTGTTTTTTTTTCAATTTTCGAAGGTGTTTTGACGTTTTTGAGTATAGCTTGAAATCTAATTGATCGATTTGGTCAAACGAGCCCTTAAATTTAAGGTATTTGAGTCCTCTAAAACTTTATTTTACATACTTTTGATATCGGATAAGTATTTTGACGCTAGCGATTTTAATAACTTAAAAAAATCGATTTATGGCAAAAATTGAGGTTGAATTTACATATCGTCCTGGGAAAATTTTAAATCAAACAGATAACTTCAGTTTGAATTTATTTCTGTGAAACTAACATTTTTACAAAAAAAAAACAAGCTATTGTTGATAAAAATACATGAAAAAAATGTTATGAATTTTTAAGTGGAAGACCAAAATTCAGCTTTTTAATGATTTTTGTTTTATTTTTTCTCTTTTATTTTGTAATATTCTTTAACAAAAACCTAATTAAAGTGCATGATTGAAATTTTTTGAGTTTTTTACGTACTTTTTTCACCGAAAACATTCAAAATTTAAATTTGACATGACTCCGCAACCGTGAATTCTTTTGTTTCTCGTGTTGGCATAGTGACATTTTACTGCTATTTTTTGATATTTCAACAAGGTACTTTTATCATGGTTTTATTTAGTTAATAAAAAGTGTAAAATGAGTAAAATAAGTAAAAAGTTCGAGTGCGTAAATAACCCGGACAATCTGGGCGACGTAAGTGATGAGCACGGAGAACGTTTTCACCAGCAAATGAAGGCTATGGAGCGGCGGTATCACGGCTTCTGGGATGCAGCCACGATGGGTGATTACATTTGGTCCCTCATACGAGAAACGGAATACGAAAGCAACAAAAAACAAAGAAGGAGCCAGAATTTTTTTAAACCTATGCTTATTACAAAAAATAAAACTTTCAATATCTTCAATGTTCAATATTCAATATATAATTTAATTTCAATATTTGATGTTTCAAATAAAAATCAAATAATCAAATAAATTCAATAAAATGAAGAAAAAACGTAAAAATTCTGAAAAACTGAATTTTGGTCTTCCACTGAAAAATTCATAACTTCGCCATTTATCCATGGATTTTTATCAACAGCAGCTTATTTTTTTCCCTTTAAGTATAACCTATACGTAAAATAAATCAAACTGGACTTATCTTTTCGATTTCTATCTTTCCCAGAAAGATATGTAAATTTTCAACCTCGATTTTTGTAAAAAAAAAAGGACTTTTTCAACTTGATAAAATCGCCAGTATCGAACTACTGAGCCGATACCAAAACTATACAAGAGAAAGTTGTAGAGGGCTCAATTACCTTTGATTTAAGTGCTTGTTTGGTCAAATCGATCAATTAGAACTCGAAGTATACTCTAAAACGCCAAAACACTTCAGAAAATTAAAAAAAAACAATTGAAAATTCATATCTCGAAAACGCTTCCATGAAAAAAATGTTAAATGTGATTTTCGCGTTTCAATCATAGTAAGACATGGTTGGCCAAATTGTTGTAAACTAGTGTTATTTAAAAAAATGAAATTTCTTCATTTTTAACACAGTGAAGAAAAATAAGAAAAAAAAACAAAGTTGTCAATGGACGAGATTTTTTTTTTAAATTACTGCATTTAGATGTAGAAATAAGGTAAAAAAGTTTCAATCGATTTCTTGAAACCTTGCAAATCAACCGTTCGATCCTTTCGCGAAACCGTAGTTAATTTCTATATGTCGCCAAATCAATCCGTTAAACGTCATTAATAAACGGATGCATGAAAATTGGAACATTTTAACGATTTTATTGAAAAACAGACAAACGGAAAACGGACAAACGAACACTGACTAGGTTTAAAATTTGTTAGCATTGTGCGGAACTAGGGTTGGGACAGTTGAAATTTTCAAATGAAAATTTTAACTTTGATAGTTTCAAACTTGAAATATTTCATTTAGTTGGAAAAGTGAAATTTTTAAAAATTTCAAATGAAATTTTCATTTCGAAAATTTCAACATTGCCTGTGAAAGTTTCAGAAATTTCATTGAAAGTTTCGCAATTTACTGAAAATTTCGCATAAATTTCACATGCGGCCTCCCCTGGGACCTTTAATAATAATTTACAACAGATTCCGAATCGACCAATAAGAACAAGTTATCAAGCGTCTGGGCGTTTTTGTTTAGTTCGGCTTGGATTTGAATACACTATAAGTAATTATTGTTACTTATATGCGTAAATTAATTTAAATAATTTAATTCAGTTACCAATTTAATTTGTAAATTAAATCAGACTTTAAAATTTTTTTAAAAGTCATGATTAATTTAAACTTTTACTTTTGCTATAATTGCATCGGAAAACGGATAAAAAATGCCTTTGGCTCATAAAATTTTGATGAAATTTATTCAATTTTCGTAAAATTTCAGTAAAATATTTAAAAATAATAAATATATATAAATATAAAACAATGAAAGTGGCACAATCTCATTAGCTTACCAAAAAGTGCTATCTCTCTTAGTTTTAGTAATTTTAAAAATATTTTTAAAGGAAATCTCAAGAAATTTGTGGTAAACATTGGTATTTACTATATTATTGGTTCGGCTTGGATTTGAATACACTATAAGTAATTATTGTTACTTATATGCATAAATTAATTTAAATAATTTAATTCAGTTACCAATTTAATTTGTAAATTAAATCAGATTTTAAAATTTTTTTAAAAGTCGTGATTAATTTAAACTTTTACTTTTGCTATAATTGCATCGGAAAACGGATAAAAAATGCCTTTGGCTCATAAAAGTTTCTTCAATTTTCGTAAAATTTCAGTAAAATATTTAAAAATAATAAATATGTATAAATATCAGTAATTAATTATTTTTAAATATTTTACTGAAATAAATATCAGTAAAACATTCGCGAGTGTTCAACGTACACGGTACACATCGCTCGCGTTATAGGCAAATTTAACCAGTTATTTAGACTTCTTAAAAAATGGACGATAGTGATATTGAAGGTGATGGAGTGTTTGTTCCTGTTAAGGATAGAAAGAAACGAGGAAGAGATCCCAATAGTCCAGAATATCAACTTGCGGGATTTAATGCAAACGGTGAACCAAGTTTTCATACAAATAAAAAACTGGCGACAGACGACGATAAAAACAAAAACGATTCAACAAAAAACAACAGCTTAACATACATCAACAAAAAAGGGAATTCCAACCAAAACAAAAACCAGCATTCATATGTAAACAACAAATACTCACCAATAATGAACGGATCAACTTACAACAAATACAAACACTTTTATTTTTTGTCAACTGAACAGAATAGAGATGAATTTATTGAGATTTGGGAAAGAATTCACCCCAAGGAAAAAGACATAATTCTTACAGTGAAAACAGGACTTATATTAAAAACCAATAACGATAATGCAGAAATAAGCCTTGAAACGTTAGTCAGCACTGGAAAGGTAACCAGCTTCAAAAAATCCGAAAAAAATTCACCCCCCAGAGATACACCAAGTGAATCATATTCGGTTGTCATTGCTTCAATGGAACTGAATATTGATGAAAAAACAATTAGCGAAGCCCTTAAAAATCTCAACCTTGAACATCGCTTCTGTAAAAGAATAATAGCCCGGACAACAGGCAAACCAACCACTCTTATACGAATAATTACGAGCTCCAATTCCACTTCCGAAAAGCTGCTCTCCCACGGTTTTTACTTTAAATACCGTCACTACCCAGTATATCCAAGCAAACCTCCAGCTCCACTCCCTCAACCATGTAAAAAATGTTTATCCTTTGATCACGCATCTGAAAATTGTATCTCCCCAAGAAAATGTACAAAATGCTTCGGAACTCATGCAGATAACAAGTGCACCTCCACGTTACCACCAAAATGCACTGGATGTGGCTCTTTGGAACATCAGGCATGGTCTTTACAATGCCCTAAGAGACCTACACAACCATTAGAAGGAATTCCGAACATTCCTATTAAGTCCATCAACAAAAAATCAAATGAGTTACCTAAAGACATACAAAAATCCCGTATACATTCTCCAATTACTCTACACGATCTAATCATAAACAGCTACACCAACGAATTAAACGAAGAGAAAACTAGCAATAGGGAAGAGTTAATTCTAAAACTTAGGAAAAGATTTGTCGCCAATTACAATGTGGATACAGTTGCAGTGTTCTCCAGTAGCAGAGTGTATATTCTAATGTTCGATTTAATCACAGGCGAAAATTCTCCAACAGAATCTATAAACAACGTGGTAAATATACAGCAAATTCAAACCGATTAATATATTATATTCCAACATAAACAGTTATAACAACAAAAAATATCTGATTAATAAGTACATTGAGGAGAACAACATAAACTGCACATTATTTGTAGAATCCAAAACCAATAGCAACACCAGCACAAATTACAAAAATTGGTCAGTTTTACAACTAGACGGTTATCAACCCAATAATCACACACGAGGTGGAAGTCTAGTACAACTTCATCCGGATCTTATCATGGGTAAGGCTAATAGACCAAGATTAAATAACCCTATCAATGAATGTCTCCACTTTACTGTTCCCTTTAAAGACGAAAAGTTGCACATATTTTTAGTATACATTCATCCAAACCTGAGAGTGGAGGAAAATATTTTGGTGATGGCAAGTCTATATAAATATTCAATTATCATAGGAGACTTCAACTGTGGGAATAAATATAAGAAAAAACAAATAAGCAACTTTCTTCAAAATTCACAATTTCTGAAATATAATTTACCTCCAACTTTTTTAATGCCTTTAAATAATGATACTACCCCTGATATGTTAATGTATACAGCAAATATTTCCAGTAATATTATTAGTGTAGAAGTCACACCGGATCTGTGCTCGGATCACCTAAGTCTACAAATTAAAATTGACTCCGAAAAATATTACAACTCTAGCCCGATAACAAAATATAATTTTAACAAAACAAAAATAAAAAAAGTAAATGAGACTCTTATAAGTTATATCAATAATTCCCAAAATTTAGACCCAAATGAAATTTCAAAATTTAATACTGAACTAACAAATTCTATTTTACAAAATACACCCAAAATTAATCAAAGATTTTACAACTACATATTACCTCCGTTTATATTACAACTTATTAAAAGAAAACGCAAAATGTATAGGGAATATAGAGAACTAGGAGACCCAAATTTAAAGACTAGCATGAACGCTTTTAATAAAAACATTCAAAATCTAATTCGGGAATATAGAAGTAATTGTTTTTTAAAAGTATGTCGAGAAATAAATTTAAAAAAAGGCAAATCTTATTGGCAAGATATTAAGAAACTTTCAAAATATAAAAGATCTGCACTTAAGAACAGCGAAATAATAGAGCAAGGGGTAACCTATAATACTGACCAAGAGAAGTGCGAGATTTTCTCTAAAAATTTCGAACGAGTCTACAAGGAAACCAACGATTTCAGGTTTGATGGTAATCATTACAGGGTTGTAGATGACTGGTACAGACTGTTTTTTAATGATATGATTCCGATTTCGGATGAGGATACATTTATAGAGGACAATTACTACGAAATTCTAGAATCGGGGAAAAATTCTGCACCGGGACATGATAATATTACCAGAAACATACTCAGAAAGCTAGACTTCCGGATTCACGAATACATAATAAAAATCTACAAATATTGCATCAAACATCAGCATATTCCTAATGAATGGAAAAAAGGTATCATAATTACACTGCCAAAACCCAATACCAATCACACCCTAACCTCCAATTATAGGCCAATTACGCTACTTCCAGTAATTGGAAAAAACTTTGAGAAAGTTATGAAAAAATTATTAGAGCATAAACTGCTAGAAAAAATTCCTGGATATCAATTTGGATTTAAACCTCATATGTCAACCGTCCATCCGCTTACAATTCTACTAAACAACGTGGAAACATCCAAATTAAACAAATTTAAATCTGCCGCTGTTTTTTTGGATATAAGCAAGGCCTTTGATAGTGTATGGATTAAAGGATTGCTGTATAAACTACATCTAATGGACTGCCCCATTCACCTTATTAATATAGTACGCCTACTTCTAGAAAAGCGAGAATTAAGGGTTAAAATTGGCAATGACTTCTCCAATTCATTTGTTACTCAACAAGGGCTACCCCAAGGATCTCCACTTTCACCTTTTTTATATAATGTTTATTGCGCTGACATCTACCATCACCGATTTGAAGACATACATTACTTCTCTCATACGTCCTACATGCTGCAATTTGCCGACGACACCGCTCTAATAACACACGGCCAAACCTTGGGGATAGTTATTCAAAAATTGCAAGAATTGACAAACATAACTATGAAATGGTTTAATAAATGGAGGCTTAAAATCAATGCAAATAAAACGCAAATGATCATTTTCAACCATAACATTTCACATAACTCACCAACAATTTCATTAAATAATCATATACTCCAAGCATCACCAGCAGTTAAATATTTAGGAATAACTCTTGATCCAAAATTAAACTTTAACAGCCATACTAAACTGTTAAAAAAGAAAATAATCACAAGGTCCAAACATTTTAGAAGTTTAACCTACAAAAACTCAGGCATTAGTATGGATACAAGCACAAAAATATACAAAATGATCTGCAGGCCCATCATTGAGTACGGATTTATCCTATTTCTAAATTGCAAAAGACCAGCTATGCAGAACCTAAAGACATCAGAAACAACTTCCCTACGAACAATCACAAAAATCCGCCACCCTAACAATCCTTTATTTAACCCCTCAAATATCCTACTCTATACAACAACAAAAATTCAACCAATAGAAGAAAGAATTAACATGTTGGCAGAAAAGTTTAGCAAAAAAGACATTAATTTCGAAATACTTAATAATTACTGCATAGAACGAGAAAATCGTGAATCTACACACAAACATCCAGTAGAAACCACCATGGAGAAATTAATAAAATTCCATAATGCTCCATAACACTAGATGTATTTTTTTTTTTTTTTTTTTGTTAAATAAGTACCTTGATTTTATAAATGTTACGATTATACTGTTAAATGTTATATTTATACTTATATCAAAATTTATTGTAAACTCATCGGCTGAAGGACTACGGTCAATAGCCTTTGAACTTGGTTTTAGTTCAATAAAGCATTATTATTATTATCAGTAAAATATTTAAAAATAATAAATATATATAAATATAAAACAATGAAAGTGGCACAATCTTATTAGCTTACCAAAAAGTATTTTAAAAGGAAATCTCAAGAAATTTGTGGTAAACATAGGTATTTACTATTTATATTATTGGTGTAGGGGCCAACAGAGGGGTAGGAGGTAAAAGAGGCAATTTGCCATGGTCCCCGAGTGGGCCTATTTCAATATTAATATATTACACTTAAAGTGATTGAAATTTATTGAAAGTTTCAATAAATTTCATAAAATTTCAGACATTTAGGAAATTTTAATAAATTTCATAAATGTGAAATTTTCAAGCGAAATTTCAAGTTAGTACAAGCAAAAAGTGAAATTTTCCCAACCCTATGCAGAACACAATGTCATGTGAAGCAAAGCACGGTGACAGGAGGGTGTCTGTAAGATTTCCTTTCACTTGCAGGAACGAAAGCGGGCGGCGTGGGCCAGGCGTACCAGCAGCAGTCGCAGCAGGGCCAGCAGGTGTACATGTACGACCCCTCGATGCAGGCCAACTACATGTCGAACTTGCAAAGGGGCCCGGCGGGCCCGGTGCAAAACAGCGTGGTGCCCACCCTGCAACCGTCGTCCTCCTATTACTCCGGATCGACAGGTATCAAACCTCCTTATCCTTCTTCTTCGTGGACTTACTGATTGTCGTTTTATTTTAGAATTTTTTTTTTTTAATTTATTGTCCATCATTTTTTGCTTGGTTTTGTATTTTCGGGGGATTATCGGCATTGGCCCACAATGTTTCAAATATTTTTTCCCAAGTAAAATTTATTCAACTTAAAATGGAAGTTTTAAAAGTACAGTCCCTGACCAATTTATTAGACTTTGATTTTGGGATTTTGTAAAGTGGTCGATATCTTTTCGCAAAAATGCATTTTTGAACTACAAAAGTGATTTAATAGTACGTTAAAACACGATAAAATTAATATTTTTTCAAATGTTCCCCTTTTCACTTTTTTAAATATTAAGTTAAATATTAATAATTTAAAAAATAAATTGGACATTAATTAGAAAGAATTATACCTACATGTCAATTAAGTTATTACACTCACAGGCAAAATAATCGATCCACACAAATTTTCGATGAATTTCAATCGCAAACTTTTTTATTTGATTTCGGATTTAAACAAATATTAAAGAATATTGTAGATACATTATTGGAAAATCGCTCACATTTTAAAAATTAATAAAAAATACACTTACGTTTATAATATACAGGTTTAAACAAAAAGATGTTTTTTTACCATAAGTTTAAGACACTCTGTAAAGTGGCAAAACCGTATATTGTTCTAAATTAAGTTTTAATTATCAAGTCACATCTATTTTTAACAGTTTTGTTTTTGGTTCACCTTGATATATTTATTTTTGTGGAAAATATATATTTAAAAATAAAACATTGCAATTTCCAATATTTTTTCTGTATGAAGAACTAAGGTTGCTATGGTCCATCCATAGCCTATGGAGGATGACAGTGACAGTTTTGTTGAATCATCCCATACTTGGACATGTCATATACAGCTTTCAAAAGCTATCAAATTGTTTTTTGTAAATTTATTTGTTAGTTGTTGCCCTTTGTACTTTACTACTTGTGACGTTTAAAACACTTGCCACATAATACTGTGACCGTCCATCCTGGATTAAATTAATGGTTCTGGCAACATCAGTTAGAGACATATTCATTTTTTAAAGTAAGAAAATTTAAACATTAATTTGCAAAAAATGATTTGATTGCTTTTGAAAGCCGTGTATGACATGTCCAAGTATGGGATGATTCAACAAAACTGTCACTGTCATTCTCCATAGCATATGGATGGACCATAGCAACCTTAGTTCTTCATACAGAAAAATATTGGAAATTGCAATGTTTTTTAAAAAATCCATATTTTCCTCAAAAATAAATATATCGAGGTGAACCAAAAACAAAACTGTTAAGATTAGATGTGACTTGATAAATAAAACTTAATTTAGAACAATATACGGTTTTGCAACTCTACAGAGTGTCTTAAACTTATGGTAAAAAACATATTTTGTTTAAACCTGTATATTATAAACGTACGTCTATTTTTTAGTAATTTTTTTAAATGTGAACGATTGTCCATTAATTTATCTACAATATTCTTTAATATTCGTTTAAATCCGACATCAAATAAAAAGTTATTTGCGATTGCAATTCATCGAAAATTTGTGTGGATCGATTATTTTTAGAGATGGGAAAATTCCCATTTGACGAAAATTCCCGGAAACTTTCCATCGAAAATTCCCGAAATTTTCCGAAAGTTTAAAAAAAAATTTTTTTGCGAAAATATTTTTTTTTATGCCAGGGATTTGCAAAAATATATCACATTAACTTTTTGTCAAATTTTATTAAGAAAAAAAATAAAAAAAATGTTTATAAGAATGTAACTGCAATACTATTTTTAGTATCTTTTACTTTAGAATATTCCTATTGTATACTGAAACCTACAAAATAAAAATAAAATGTTTACTATTAGAAATTCACTGCTAGTAAAATCCTAGATATTACGTAAAAAAAATTAAAAGGGACAAAGTAACTAATATTGAAATGTAAAAAGTAAAGTAAAAAATAATTCCAAACACTAGATTTTTCTCTTGGCATTGTGCTATGCCTATAAATAAACAACAAAAATGTAAGAATGATTTTAACTTTGTTTATTGTTTTTATTTTGTTTACCTTTTTTTTTAAGTTTTTTGTGATGATTCTGAATAATCCGGCTTCATTGAGGTTATGTAACATAACTTACACACAAAACTAGTTTTGTGAACTTACATTATTTATACTTCTTCTTCTGCCTTAAATGAACTCACATTAAATTCTTATTCAAAGTTTCTTGGCCTTGTATCATGGCCTTAACGAAAATCAGCGGTTAAACAATTGACATTTAAATGAAAAAAACAAGGAAAGTTTCCAAGGAATGTTTCCGGTAGCTTAAAGGAAACTTTCAAAATGAAAATAAATTCCCAACTGGAAACTTTCCAAAACGGAAAGTTTCCTTAAAATGGAAACTTTCCGATTCCCATCTCTAATTATTTTGCCTGTGAGTGTATTTTTTGTAATATGTTTTTATAAGATTTTGAATTATTTATTTTATGCAATTTTTCTGTGTGCAATATTTTTGTAACACATTAATATTTAACTTAATATGTCTTAGGGCCGGTTTATCAATGTCCAGTTAAAGTTGCAGTTAGTTATCTAGTAGATAATTTCCATGGTTACCATTGTTCTCACAACAATCGATATGGAATTTAACTGTCAGATAGACTAACTGGAACTTAACTAGAGATTGATAAACCGGCCCTTATTCAATTAAAAAGTAAAACGGTAAAATTGTATGTTTGCGCTTAATTTTAATTCTAATAAAAAATGATAGAATTAATTTTATATCTACACATAAAGTGGGGACGAAAGCGGCAACTGCAGTAGTTCAAATGGTTAATTTATCTTCTCGTCAAAATTAACGCATAACAAGTAAAAAAATCCAACTCTAAAACGGCTTTACCAATTTTTATAAAATTTTGGATAAAAATACTTATATCTCAGTCTACGTATTCAAGGGTTTTTCGAGAAAATATCCTTAAAGCCCTTTTATTTTATAATACAAAACGCTCGAAAAAAACTTGTATAGGGAAATTTTCTTAAAGTAAATAAAAAATATGCTTTGAAAGATCGTATTTTTTTTTAGTATACCCTTAAATGTTGTACAAATCAAACGAACAGTAACGAAAATACAGCGCTTCAAAGTCGTCAAAAATTACCACTTTTCAGCAAAATAATCAAAAAGGGGTCATTTTTACCGACTTTGAAGCGCTGTATCTTCGTTACTGTTCGTTTGATTTGTACAAAATTTTTAGGGTATACTAACAAAAATACGCTCTTTCACAGCATAATTTTTATTAACAAAAAAAATCCATAAAAGTTATTCTTTAACGTGTTTTTTATTACTAAATAGAAAGGCTTTAAAAATATTTTCTCGAAAAAACATCGAAAAAGTAAACTGAGATATAAGTTAAAGTATTTTTATACAAAATTTTTTAAATATTGGGAAAGGCGTTTTAGAGTTAGATTTTTTTTACTTATTATGCGTTAATTTTGACGCACAGTGTCTTATACCTAGACCTAATAATTATTTCTAATCTGTTTCCATTAAATTTGAATTAAATTGCTGCTTGACATAATTTTATTTAATTATTATTATGTCAGACATAAATAAAATTATAAAGAATTGTATATTGCATAATTTTAAAAAACCTACTTCTTTTACATTTAAAACATTTATGATCAAAGTTTTGTTGGTAAAAAATATTTCAATTTTACACTGAAAATGCGTTTTTATCGCGATTCCATTTATAAAAACGTTTTTGTAAATCCAAAATGCATTTTTGTGAGAAGATATTAACCATTTTACAAATTTCCAAAATAAAAGAAAATTTGCTAGTGGCAATGTACAGTGTATAAATTTTAATACTTGAAATGTTGTTGGCTTTTACGATAATTAGATTATTAATTTGCCGTCATCCTTGTAATTAATCGATTGCGATTTGTTTCTATTTTTGGTGCCAATATTCTTTTTTGTGCATATAATTTGGCTTTCGGTATGGTAACTGTTTAATAGCTTGTGATCACAATTTTATCATTAAATCGTGAAGTAACTAATTATAAATTTATATTTATTAGTAGTATAAGTATAATTGGTCATTTCACAGACAAGCACTTGCAATTTAACATTGTCTTGCTCCCACTAAACGTAGAATAACTTAGCTATAATAATGTCAGTATTTATTATTTATATAGATATTTTATTTGCAAATATAACACAATTAATTATTGTATTTAGTTGGGTGGTTGGTGGAACATTGCTGTTACTTTGTACAATAAGAAAATACATTTTAACATATTTATTTATGCCTCTTGTTAGCTTTTCTTTCAAGGATTAAGAGTTTAAAGTTTCTCTCAATTTTGCTATTTTATTTAACATTTAATTAGTAAAATTAACAATAGATAAAAATCATTATTTTTTACGCAATTTTCCATTAAATCTTAAACTAATTAGATGTAGAGTATTATTTCTTTTATTTCAAATATCTATGCAATATTATTGTAGTTTAGAAAGACGAGAATAATAAATTATATTTTTTTTATTTTTGTGTATTTTTTTGCATGCTTTTTTACTTATTTTGAAAAGTTTGCTTTCGGTTGGTTGAAATATAAAGTTATAACACATATCGTCGTGGATACCAGAAAATGTGTTCAAATATTTTTGTAGAGAATTAAACGCTCTACAAATAAGGTTTCAAGTTAAACTCGCCATCAATTTTGTTTTATCAAAAAATTGTGCACAAAATTTTGTGCGGAACACAAATTTGACATTTCAAGAGTCGTTAACCAATATTTCTTTTTCATTTAGAAATGCAGGGCTCCCACACCTCCTAAAATTCATAAAATTCCTAAAATTTGGCTTAAATCTTAAAAACTCCTAAAATTCTCTCAAAATTGCCATCAATCTCCTAAAACTCCTAAAAACTTGACGTTTAATTAAGGTAGTTTTGCTAAAAAATTTCTTTTTTAAAAAGTAATTTAAAAAATATATATTTTTGGGTTCTAGTTTATTAAATTCTTTTTAAAATGATATAGGTATCACAACCTACATTTTTCTTAAAAAACAACAAAATATACCATAAAACAAAATCCATTTTTGCCATATTTCGTTAATTTTCGACAAAAATATACCGTGTTATATATCAAACAAAAGGATTTTTAATTTTCTTTTAAATGATAGCTAAAATAGTAAACAATCTAAAGAATGTTGTAACAATAACAACTGTTAATTTTTTTTTCAATATATAAATATAACATCATTAAACTTTGGCCTACTTTTTTAGCCATAACTATCGATGCTTTTTTCTTAAATAAAATTAAAAGTGTGGTGAAATTTCTACTTGTAGATATGTATATACAAAAGTAGTAATTTTACCTCACTTTTCATTTTATAAAAAAAAAACTCGTCGAGCGATTTGGCTAAAAAACTAGTCAATAAAACCTATTTGTACAAAATAAGTGATATTTATTTATATTTTTGTTAAAAAGAATTACTTATTTTTTTCTTATTTTTTAAGTATAATGTAGAGTTGTTTTTATTTAATTGAATGAATTCATTTGCATACTTTTTTCTCCTAAAATTCTTCAAAAAACCTTCTAAATTCCTAAATAAAATTTGTAATTTAACCGTGGGAGCCCTGCAAATGTAAACAGAACACTTTACTAAAACTGAAGATGTAAATTTTACATATTTATGTTCTGTGTGTATTTAGATTGTAATTACACAAGCACAAGTGATATCAAATTAATTAATCCTGGTGGAAAGTTTCCTTAAGGCTGATTTATAGATTGCCTTCCTTCCTTCCTCCCGTAAAAGATGAACAATACGAAAATCGTAGTGCCATTTATAGATTTCCGTACGGGAATCTATAAACAGCACAACGGTTTTTGTATTGTTCATCTTTTACGGGAGGAAGGTAGGAAGGAAGGAAATCTATAAATCAGGCATTAATCGTATACAATATTTCTGAAAATGGAATTAAATAATTCAAAAACCAAATTTTATAGTGGTAATTTTTGGATTAAAAATTTATCGACCATCATTTAAATGACACTTGGGAAATTTAAACCAAAAACTTTTATTTTTAACTAATTTAACCCTTAAATGCATGTAGTTGCCACTTGGAAACATACTTCTATTTGCATGGATTAAATACACAAAAATGTACATAACAGCGTGCGGCATGCTGTAGCCAATTTGATACATATCGTATACAATTTATTGGTGACATTACATTTAAATGTAAGTCGATATTTTTTAATTCACGAAGTGTAAACGCGACTTTAGCTGAGACTGCATATGGGCGATTCCATGATTGCTAACGGGACAAAAAGAAAGGAGACAAAATGTTTTTGGAATATTTTTGAAGAGATGCTGTTGCTATAAAAATAATTTTATGATGTTTATTATTACTTATTTTATTGGTGAGAACTATCGCGTCTGCTAAAGTACGTTTGCACATTTTAAATTAAAAATTGTTGAAATGAAAAGTTTTGGTTTGATTTTGTAAATATTCGTAAGTAATATCATAAGGGCATTTAATTTTTCCGAAAAGAATCGAAAAAATACGTTGCTAAGTAATATTTTAACAAAAAGCATGAGTGCTGGTGGCAACAAAAATCCGAGTCGAAGAGGAGGATTTTTGCACCTGCACGAATGCATTTTGTTAAAAAATATTACTTAGCATTGTGTTTTTTCGATTTTTTTCACAGGAAAAATTAAATGCCCGAATGGTATTTGACAAGACTATTTCATGTGTAACAGTTAACAATTAAAATATAAATTGCAATTTTTGGTGAAACAGCTGTCAAGTTTTGCCGCGGGTAAACTCGAAAAAACTGCTGACAGGTGCTGTCACACAGTTTTTTCACCTAGAAACCATTTCTAATTCAAAATTGCGCGTTTGTAATTGGTATAAATTAAGACGAGGGAAATATTCATTTAAATTATGGTCGATACATTTTTAATCCAAAAATTCTCACATTACAATTAAATGTTAGTTTTACATTTTAAAGTGGTAATGTTTAGATTAAAAATTTATTGAGCATTATTTAAATTACTATTTACAAATTCAAACCAAAACTTTTCATTTCAAAAAATTTAAATTGATACATTTTTAACCCAAATACATTCACATTACATTTAAATGTAAGTCGATAATTTTTAATTCACGAAGTGTAAACGCGACTTTAGCTGAGACTGCATATGGGCGATTCCATGATTGCTAACGGGACAAAAAGAAAGGAGACAAAATGTTTTTGGAATATTTTTGAAGATACGTTGTTCTTATAAATATAATTTTATGATATTTATTATAACTTATTTTATTGGTGAGAACTATCGCGTCTACTAAAGCTACGTTTGCACTTTTTAAATTAAAAATTATCGAGTTACATTTAAATGTAGAGTTATAAATTTTGTGTTAAAAATGTATCAGTTGTAAATTGTTGGAATGAAAAGTTTTGGTTTGAATTTGTAAATAGTCATTTAAATGATGGTCGATACATTTTTAATTCAAAAATTCTCACATTAAAATTAAATGTTAGTTTTACATTTTAAAGTGGTAATGTTTGGATTAAAAATTTATCGACCATTATTTAAATGACTATTTATTTGCGGCAAAGGCCACGTCGTTTGACGGTGTGGATCACCTGATGTTCTTACATCTCGCCTCTGTTGGCTTAACAACCGAGCATATATGCTCAGGGAGTAATTTGTTTTGATTGTGTTCCACTACACCAAGTTGCCCGACACTGATGAGACCCAATAAAGGTCGAAACAGCTGTCCGTCGGTATTTTAAGTTGGTGGAACGCATTCAAAACAAAAAACTTTGGCGAGGTGTAGGTTCAATTTTTTCTTATCATTAAAGTGGTAAAAAAAGGGACACGGAATACCAGTGGCGTTCTAATTTCTAGGCGGGCAGAGTGGATTTTTCCAGCAGCCGGGCGGCAGCTCGATGGCCTCGGCCTCGCAGCTGCAGCAGCACCAGCAGGGCGCCGCAGCCGGCTACGGGTTGCAAGGCTACAACCAAACGCACACGGGCGTGAACTTCGGCTCGCAGTTCTTGACCACGCCCATGCAGATGGCGGCCGCGCTGTCGCAGCAGTACCGCACCGCCGCGGCCGCCGCCGGGTACCTGAAGTCGGGCGGACAGCCGCAGATGCAGCAGCAGGGCCAGGGGGCCGATCAGAGGTCGCTCAAGAGCCCCGGAACGCAGGATCTGTCGTCGGTTTTTTCAGGTATTTATGCAAAAATGATCGGTTATCTTACTAAAACTAAAGTATAGGACGAACAAAAATGCCAACCAAAACTGATAGCATAATCTGATTACCTATAGACTCTTTTGGTAACACAAAAATGTATTTATCAAAATCCCAGCTGATCCGTTATTAAACTTTTGCGTATTTCTTAGTATTTTAAAATTGTTTATGCCATTTCGATAAAATACTCTAGTACCATTATCAAATGTTTTTAAAAATTTGGCAGATACATGACTGAAATATGGATAAATTACATTATAAATACAAAATAATGTAAAATACAGTTTGCAATATCTTATTTATTGTTTTAAGGTACCTAATACAAAACTAATAAATAACTAAAATTCTTTGAAGAAAAATCGATTACTGCTTGCCTTAAATTTTCAGTAAAACTTTTTCTTGGGTTTTACATGGAATTGTTTTTAACATGGAAACAGAATTTTTAAATTCTTTAGTTCGTTCGTCCGTCCTCTTCCCTTAATAATTTTTTATGCCCTTTATATCTTGCCATTTTGCAGATAAAGCACATACATTCTTGGCTGCCGCGAAATTCTCTATCAATTTCTAAATTTTGAAAATTTGGCAATTGTGGCTATGCAAAAATACCGTTTTTATCATATTGAAGTAGGTAATTTTGAATCACTTAAGTTAAAGTGTTCGTTTGAAAAAGTCTGCAGTAATTTTTATATTTTCTCAGAAACCCTAAACTCTGAATTTTTCGATTACCAAAAACAATTTTGTCTCCACAGCCAGCACATACCTTCTTTCCATTTTCTTCATGGCTTAACTTAAATTTCGGTTTAATTTTCATTTTAAAATACTACTATTTTTAACTTTATAAAGTATAGGTACATTAAATAAACAACTAAAGCAAAATGTCACTTGCGTTATAACGTATAGAATTTTTTCATAACCACCTTAATTATTGTTTTACAAAATTTGCAAGTTGTAATTATTTCATAGACAAACTTCCAGTATTTTTTGTTATAAAAAGTATTTAAGATATAAATCTTCGTTTTTTTTGTTATGTTTTGTTTTGAGTGGTAAAAATTAATAGGTGTCTCAATAAATTAATACTGGGGAGTAAAGTAATTTAAATGATACAAAGTTTATTATTTTGCTTAATTTTATTAAAATTTTACAGGTAGTTTTAGTACAATAATTGCAAAATAATATATATAAATAGAAAAACAAAAAAGTTCGCAAAACTTTAAAATAGGATCAGCTTATTAAAATAATTTATTTCTTATGTAAACATACGTAACAAGTTGTTAATAACAACATAACAGAAAAAATAACAAACAAAATAAAATGAACAGACAACATAATCACAACAAAAATAAACTAACAATCTAAAAGTTAAAAAAAAAATCATATTTTTTAAGTAAAAAAGAATAGAAATTTATACACCCAAAAAAAAAACACATGAAATAAAAAAAAATATGAAGCAAAAATAGCATTTAGAAGCCGTTGCCACTTTTACCGATTTTTCGGTAGATCTATCGGTACATTTTTTTAATAAAGAGTTTTATTCCTCGTTTTTTTCATATATTATATCACGAGAACTATGAATTTAATCGGTTAAACTGGGCTCAGTAGTTTTTTGTTTGGTTTTTGTTGGAAAATGTTGAATGCAAAATAATTTAATAAAATCATGAGACCGCGTCGGCCTTCAAACCTTGAGCCTAGCACAAAAAGCCTTACTTCTTAACCTAATGACATAAATAACTATTATAATATTGTTATGTCCAAAATAATTAATATTTGTTTCTATATAGGGTCGCAAATCCCATCTCCAAAATCTCGTCAAACTGGAAAACACCCCCCTCCTCAATCGAGCCCAACCCAATCTAAATATCTCTATCAAAATATGGGAAATCCACAAAACAACGTAAGTTTGTCTTTAAAATTATATTTTTATTAAATACACGAGCAAACAATTTTTATTACTACAGGTGCAAAGGTATCCGGCTCCAATTCAGAGGCCGGTAAGTTTTCAGCAAAATCTTCAAAGCAACATGCAAAAGCATCGGTCAAACAATGTTGGAAATAAAAACCCCCGGCAATTCTACACAGCTCAAAGTAAGTATTTAACTTTTTTTTTAATAGGCTTCAGCTGACAAAACGAAAGGTTTTAAAGTATACGCTAAAGAAGTATCGCTAGTAGCGCCACCACTCGGCTGTTATCATCGTAACTAAAGTACAACTTTTGATAATCAGCTGTCTTATGTTACAAACGAGTGTTTTTGAGAATAAAGCCAGAAACTGTTAAAAAACATCGAAAAAAAAAACAGTGGCACGATTTGTTATGTTGTTGGGTGTATTTCGAGGGGAAATCCTGGGTTGAGTTTTCACCGGTTTTCCAATAAACAGTGTTAATCTGAATGGAGATATAAATTGCATACAGTCTCTGTAAATATAAATTGTACCTATTAGATACAATAAATACACATTTTAGTAGTGATTAACGTGAAAAGTTTAAACATTTCAATTCGGTAAAAATCGTCTAACAAATAAGTCGTCCAAATTTAAACAGCTTTTAGCATTATTAAAAGCTTTGATTAAGAAAGTCTCCACTCAACGGTAAAATACCATTATATTATGTATTATATATAATATTATGTTTCGTAGGTATATTTTGTTGTTTAAAATGCAGTTGTCGGCGGTTTTTACAGAACATAAAAATGGTTGATTTTAAGGTTATGTTTGTGCAAAAATTATTTTTTACTAATTTCTTAAAAATGCCCAAACTTAAATATAAATTATATTAGGTAAAGTTATCATTAGATTATTCTGCACCAACAAATGTACTTACCGAATTGGATCCTTTGGCAAACCATGAAAATGCAACGATTTAGTTCTTGAATTTTATTTACAATTAGAAACACAATAATTCACCATGATCCCTTAGATAAAATACACCCACTAACGTAACTAAGCATATAAGCGTTGAGTTTCTTAATCAATGATACGGAATCGAGTACTAAACAAGTTTTTTAATTTTTTCCTTGCAACGTTAAACACAAATAACGTGCGCGATTTAGCTGTGCAAAATTTGTCGAGTAAGACTTCTGCCTTCCTCACTTTTGTGAAAAAACTACCTACACTCACAGGCAAAATAATCGATCCACACAAATTTTCGATGAATTTCAATCGCAAATAACTTTTTTATTTGATTTCGGATTTAAACAAATATTAAAGAATATTGTATACATTTATGAAGAATCGCTCACATTTTAAAAATTACTAAAAAAATACACGTACGTTTATAATATACAGGTTTAAACCAAAAGATGTTTTTACCATAAGTTTAAGACACTCTGTAGAGTGGCAAAACCGTATATTGTTCTAAATTAAGTTTTAATTATCAAGTCACATCTATTTTTGACTGTTTTGTTTTTGGTTCACCTTGATATATTTATTTTTGTGAAAATATGGATTTTTTTAAAAAAACATTGCAATTTACAATATTTTTCCTGTATGAAAAACTAAGGTTGCTATGGTCCATCCATAGCCTATGGAGGATGACAGTGACAGTTTTGTTGAATCATCCCATACTTGGACATGTCATATACAGCTTTCAAAAGCTATCAAATTGTTTTTTGTAAATTAATTTGTTAATTTTGAGGTGATTTCTTACTTTTAAAAATGTCTCCGACTGATGTTGCCCTTTGTACTTTACTTCTTGTGACGTTAAAACACTTGCCAAGTAATACTGTGATCGTCCATCCTGAATTAAATTAATGGCTCTGGCAACATCAGTCTGAGACATATCCATTTTTTAAAGTAAGAAGACACCTCAAAATTTAAACATTTGCAAAAAACAATTTGATAGCTTTTGAAAGCCGTGTATGACATGTCCAAGTATGGGATGATTCAACAAAACTGTCACTGTCATTCTTCATAGCCTATGGATGGACCATAGCAACCTTAGTTCTTCATACAGAAAAATATTGCAAATTGCAATGTTTTTTTAAAAAATCCATATTTTCCACAAAAATAAATATATCGAGGTGAACCAAAAACAAAACTGTTAAGAATAGATGTGACTTGATAAATAAAGCTTAATTTAGAACAATATACGGTTTTGCCACTCTACAGAGTGTCTTAAACTTATGGTAAAAAACATCTTTTTGTTTAAACCTGTATATTATAAAACTACGTCTATTTTTTAGTAATTTTTTAAAATGTGATCGATTGTCCATTAATTTATCTACAATATTCTTTAATATTCGTTTAAATCCGACATCAAATAAAAAAGTTATTTGCGATTGAAATTCATCGAAAATTTGTGTGGATTGATTATTTTGCCTGTGAGTGTATTTATTTAAAAATGAAGTCCACCAGATGGCGCGCGCTTTGCGAAAACCCGATACTTCTTTAGCGTATTGGTTGAGAGTTTTAAGAGAAAGTAAGACGTTTCCTATCGGCAATTGATGTTGTTGCAGATCATTCTCTGACGAGCCAAAACGACAAAGCGGAGGACCCGAAACTGAACGACGCAAATTCAAATATCACGACGAGCAACGCGTCGAACGCGAAACCGCCCCCTGCGGCGGTTAAATCGGGCCCGGAAATGAAGGACGCCATCAAAGAGGAATCGTCCGCATTGAAAGATTAGTGTTTTTATTAGGACTAAACCGAAAAAGTATATTAAGTCTAAAAGTTATTATTTTTTTTTAAATTATATTTTGTGTTGGATGTAACTTATTTTATCAGGACGATTAATTGTGCGGCGAGGAAAAAATAAAACACTTGAACGCGCGCTTTGTTATGCACTAGTGTTTCATCCAGACACGGTGTTCGGCTGCATGTATTTGTGTCTGTCTACTCTCGATGTGTTCCAACTCTAAATCTATTACGAACTATCAATTTTGTTTTCAAAGGGAATCGGTTTCTCTCAGATTGTGTCGTCAGTTATCTGCATATTTATTAATTACTGCACAATCTTTTGAGCATATAAAAATACATAATAAATATTATAAACAGCTAATTTAGCGATTGTGTTAGAAGAAAGTAGTAAAAAAAGTTATGTTGATGTGCGAGTGAAAGTTTTATCGGTATTCTTCACTTGGAACTGTGGATTTGTTAAAGAACTTTTGTACTCGGGAAGTGAATGGTAGAAACAAAGACTTGGAAATTTGCTGTTATTTCATTTGATGCAAATTTATCTCAAAAATATATCTTCAAACTAAGATATTAAAACACATTCAAATAGAAAAGTAAATGGTTTAAATATACACCTGTTTTACTTATTTCCCTGAACCTTTCAATTTACTTTATTCATGCTTGAAAAAATTAATTTAATTTTAAACTTTGTTATATTTAAATTCAGCATAAAAAGTTAAGTAAGCATACAAAATTTAATTTTTTTTCTCAAACCGTTTTGGAAATATTAAAAAAGGAACCAACAAATTTTCTCTAAAATAAAAACAAAATATGGTAAGAAACAAAAAGTTTTTAGTGCTTATAAGAAGAGCTTAACCCCAACTTTGCAGGATCCTGTGGATTAAGGTGAGTTTTAGAAAACTGTAAACCAAAAATGTAGGTCAAAAAAAATTTTTTTAAACTAAAATTCAGGGAAATTTTTTAGTCAAGATAAAAAGTTGTCACCCTGTTAAATGATAAAAAAATACGTCGATTTTAAAAAAAATTCGTACCTACATATTTTTAGTTAAGTTTTTTTCTCAAAATTAATTTTTTAAATTTTGGATAAAGATATGTCAAAAAACGTTATAAAAATCTTTTTATTTCCTACTAAAACTATTGAGTTTTGATACAATTTGAAAATTAAAAAGTATTTTTCTATGGAAATTTTCTCTGAAATAGATATTGATATTATTTTTCAAAAAAGGAAAAATGCCAGTGCACTACTTAAAAAATTTAATTTTTATTTATTATTTTTAGATGAAATTTTTTTTAAGATAACTTAATTTGTGTATTTTTTCATGATTTTTTTAAACTTAAAAATAATAAAAACGGATGAGATTAATTGTTATTTTTTTAATAAAATCTTATAAAATATAGTACAAAAAGTTAAAAAAACACAATTCATATTAACTATTTTTCATAGAATATTACTTACTCGAAATTCCGCACAACCAAACAATTAAATTTATTTAAACATGATTCCTAAAAAAAATTCTTAAAAAACTAAATTTCAGGGAAATTTTTTAGTCAAGATAAAAAGTGTCACCCTGTTAAATGATAAAAAAATGCTTCGATTTTAAAAAAATTCGTACCTATATATTTTTAGTTTGGTTTTTTTCTCAAAATAAATTTTTTAGATTTTGGATGAAAATATGTCAAAAAACGTTATAAAAATCTTTTATTTCCTACCAAAACTATTGAGTTTTAATACAATTTGAAAATTAAAAAGTATTTTTCTACGAAAATTTTCTCTGAAATAGATATTGATATTATTTTTAGATGAAATTTTTTTAAAAATAACTGTATTTTTTCATGATTTTTTTTAAACTTGGAAATAATAAAAACTTGAATGAGAATAATTGTTATTTTTGTTCATAAAATCTCATAAAATATAGTACAAAAAGTTAAAAAAAAACACAATTCATATTAACTATTTTTATAGAATAGTACTTACTCGAAATTCCGCACAACCAAACAATTAAATTCATTTCAACATGATTTTTCTCAAAATTAATTTTTTAGATTTTGGATGAAAATATCTCAAAAAACGTTATAAGAATCTTTTTATTTACTACTAAAACTATTGAGTTTTAATACAATTTGAAAATTAAAAAGTATTTTTCTACGAAAATTTTCTTTGAAATAGATATTGATATTATTTTTCAAAAAAGCAAAAATGCCAGTGCACTACTAAAAAAACTTATTTTTGTTTATTATTTTTAGATTTTTTTAAAGATAACTATTTGTGTATTTTTCATGATTTTTTTAAACTTGGAAATAATAAAAACTTGAATGAGAATAATTGTTATTTTTGTTAATAAAATCTCATAAAATATAGTACAAAAAGTTAAAAAAAAAAACACAATTCATATTAACTATTTTTATAGAATAGTACTTACTCGAAATTCCGCACAACCAAACAATTAAATTCATTTCAACATGATTCCTAAAAAAATTCTTAAAAAACTAAAATTCAGGGGAATTTTTTAGTCAAGATAAAAGTTGTCACCCTGTTAAATGATAAAAAAATGGCAAATTAAAAAAAAATCGTACCACAAATTTTTAGTTTAGTTTTTTCTCAAAATTAATTTTTTAGATTTTGGATGAAAATATCTCAAAAAACGTTATAAAAATCTTTTATTTCCTACTAAAACTATTGAGTTTTAATACAATTTGAAAATTAAAAAGTATTTTTCTACGAAAATTTTCTCTGAAATAGATATTGATATAATTTTTTTTAAACTTGGAAATAATAAAAACTTGAATGAGAATAATTGTTATTTTTTTTTTTTGTCCCACCGTTAATGTATTCTTTAATTAAATTACATAAGAAGGATTTACCCATTAGACCCGTAGTATCTTTCTATACAGCACCATCAACTAAAATATCTAAGAAACTTATTAATTTAATTACCACATACTGTAACTTCAAACCTAAATTTACTATAAAAAATTCATACGAATTAATTAATAATATTAAAGACATCCCATTACCTGATAACTCAAAATTTATTTCCTTTGATATTACTAATTTATTCCCTAATGTACCACCTATTGAAACACTTAAAATAATACAAAACCTTCTAGACCTAAACAATACTAACCCAGTTATTAAAAACGACATCATAAACACACTAGAAACATGTTTAAAACAAAATTACTTTCAATTCAATAATAAAATATATACGAGTCATAATGGCCTAATCATGGGTAATCCTCTTAGCCCATTGTTAGCGGATATCTTTGTGAACCAATTGGAGATAATTATACACAAACATCCATATATTAATCATATCCTATATTGGTACCGATATGTAGACGATATCCTAACGTGTTTCACAGGTACAAAACGACAACTAAACATTTTCTTGAATTTTATAAATAACTTACACCCGAAAATTAAATTCACAATGGAAGAAGAAATAAATAACTCTATTAATTATTTAGATCTAACAATTCAAAAAAATAATAGACACCACACATTCAAAATTTTTCACAAACCCAGCTACACTGATATAGTTATACATAAAAGCTCTTCTCACCCCTTTTCACACAAAATAGCCGCATTTAACTCTATGGTCCACAGACTCTTAAACGTTCCATTATCAGAAAAAGATTATAATTACGAATTAAACTTAATTAAACAAATAGCAGTTAACAACGGCTATGATGCTCAACTAATTAATAATATCTTAAACCACAAAAAAGAGAAAATAGCCATTAACAACGTTTTTCCAATATCTAAGATTACCATGAATACATACAATAGTTGTACATATCTAGGTGCTAAGATGAGACATATATCTAATTTCTTTAATAAAATTAATAGTAATTTAGCATTTAAAACCAACAACAATCTTAGTAAGTTTATCAAAAACAACAAAGATAAAACATCAAAATCTTCAAAATCTGGCGTTTACCAACTAAATTGCAGAGACTGTCCGAAAACATATATAGGCCAAACGGGTAGAAATTTTAATACACGAATTAAAGAACACAAGTTATCCTATATAAACCTTAAACAGGATTCTTCATACGCTAACCATTTAATACAAGAGAACCACACATTTGATGATAACTTTAAAATATTACATGTAGCCAATAAAGGTACCAAACTAAATCTTTTAGAGTCTTTGGAAATTAATAAATTAAAGAAAAAATCTGATATTGTTCTTAATGACCAAATTGAAACTAACAGCTCTCCTTTGCTAAATTTATTTTAGAGTGTGTACTTGTAGTACTAAAAAGTAATATTTATTAATATTATAATATTATATTAGATAGGATTTCCCAAACCCTCAGTTTTTCCAAAATTATGTAATTATATAAATTTTACCTTCAGGTATAATGTTTATATAACATTTATCTTCTCAAATTACCTGCCTGTTGTTAATATAAATACCGCCACTTGTTAAAATAAGTACTAATTCTGAAGAAGCTACAGTGTAGCGAAACAATTGTTAATTATTAAAAACATAAATAAATTAGTGAAACTTTAAAACAGTGTTGTTTTCATTCATATATTAATTGTTATTTTTGTTAATAAAATCTCATAAAATATAGTACAAAAAGTTAAAAAAAAAACACAATTCATATTAACTATTTTTATAGAATAGTACTTACTTGAAATTCCGCACAACCAAACAATTAAATTCATTTCAACATGATTCCTAAAAAAAATCTTAAAAAACTAAAATTCAGGAAAATTTTTTAGTCAAGATAAAAAGTTGTCACCATGTTAAATGATAAAAAAATTCGTCTATTATATATATATTTTTAGTTTAGTTTTTTCTCAAAATTAATTTTTTATATTTTGGATGAAAATATGTCAAAAAACGTTAAAAAATATTTTTATTTCCTACTAAAACTATTGAGTTTTGATATAATTTGAAAATTAAAAAGTAATTTCCTACGGAAATTTTCTCTGAAATAGATATTGATATTATTTTTCAAATAAGCAAAATGCCAGTGCACTACTTAAAAGATAACTTTATTTGTGTATTTTTTCATGATTTTTTTAAACTTGGAAATAATAAAACTCGGATGAGAATAATTGTTATTTTTTTAATAAAATCTCATAAAATATAGTACAAAAAGTTTTTAAATCAATATTAATTAAAAAATATAATACTTAAATTAATATATCTTCCAATGAATATAACAAAAAAGTATTGGAGTTTAATGAGGTAATAAATTAATTGTACATGCATATAAAAAATCGAGTAATGTTAATCACATTTAGGTCGCTTGAGTATCGTATTGCGGAGATTACAGTTCGTCTTTTTGAGCGTGAGCTTTCACGAAAGCTTTAAGATCAGCGAGCGTCCGTTTACCGTTGTAATCTTTCACGAAACGGCCGTTTTTGAACAACTTTATCGTCGGAAATCCGTCGATACGGTACTGCTCGGCCACTTCCGGATTGGCGGTGCAATCGATGGCGGCCATGCACTGCGAAAAACCTTCGTTTTCCAAGTCTTTCGCAGCTGACGTGTAGTCGGGTTTAAGTCTCTTACAGTGCCCACACCCTAAAATAACAGTTATTTATGTCATGAGGCTGAAAATGAGTATTTTTGTGCTGGGATTAGGGTTGGGAAAATTTCACTTTTTGCTTGTACTTGAAATTTTCATGACATTATGAAATTTATTAAAATTTCATAAATTTTTGAAATTTCATGAAATTTATTGAATAAATTTCAATCACTAAGTGTAATATATTAATATTGAAATAAGCCCACTCGGGGACCATGGCAAATTGCCTCTCTTACCTCCTACCCCTCTGTGGGCCCCTGCACCAATAATATAAATAGTAAATACCTATGTTTACCACAAATTTCTTGAGATTTCCTTTTAAAATATTTTTAAAATTACTTAAAGAGATATAGCACTTTTTGGTAAGCTAATGAGATTGTGCCACTTTCATTGTTTTATATTTATATATATTTATTATTTTTAAATATTTTACTGAAATTTTACGAAAATTGAAGAAACTTCATCAAAATTTTATGAGCCAAAGGCATTTTTTATCCGTTTTCCGATGCAATTATAGCAAAAGTAAAAGTTTAAATTAATCATGACTTTAAAAAAAAAATTAAAGTCTGATTTAATTTGCAAATTAAATTGGTAACTGAATTAAATTAATTTATGCATATAAGTAACAATAATTACTTATAGTGTATTCAAATCCAAGCCGAACTAAACAAAAACGCCCAGACGCTTGATAACTCGTTCTTATTGGTCGATTCGGAATCTGTTGTAAATTATTATTAAATGTTCCAGGGGAAATTTTCAGTAAATTGCGAAACTTTCAATGAAATTTCTGAAAGTTTCACAGGCAATGTTGAAATTTTCGGATTGAAAATTTCATTTGAAATTTTCAAAAATTTCACTTTTCCAACTAAATGAAATATTTCAAGTTTGAAACTTTCAAAGTTGAAATTTTCATTTGAAAATTTCAACTGTCCCAACCCCAGCTGGGATGGAAGCATTTTAAGTTTAAATAACTACAAATTTACTACTGTCAACTTTAAAGTATTTTTTACGGTTAACCAAAACGGTTTTATAACGGTATAGATACGAAAAATTATCAAATTTGGGGAATGGTTTATTTCGTTATTTTACCTACATAAATAACCTTTTTGATCTACTAAGAGAATAACGTAATAAAAAAAATATAAATACCACAAATTTACGTAAAAATAACGCTATAATTATTAACTGTTTGCTCTCTCTTTCTAAAACATTGACATTCGTAATTTCTTTGTTCTTTTAATTTATATTTTACAAAATGGTACTTAATAAATAATAAAGGCCACCCCAGAGTAAAATTAAAAAATATAACTTAAATTGTCAAAACTAATAATATTTTGCATTAAAACTCAAACGCACATTATTTTATTGATAAAAATAGGCACGAAAAATCTTAAAAATTAAATGCCCTCTAAATATTTTACGGTTGTAAGAAAAATTATTGCTTGGGTAAAAATTCAACAAAACTTAAAACCTACAAAATTTTATAAAATCTTTTAAAAATCATTTAGTTTTAATCATTTTTTAATAACTAAAACTTTTCTTATTATATTAAAAAAATATTTATGAAAAAATATTAAATAAGTGTTTAGATAAGTAATGCATGCCATCTTAAAAAACTTAAAAAGTTTTATTTTTTACTTTAAGCATATTTTTTCTTGTTTAGTTAATATTAATAGTATTTATTACCACTGATAACCCTAAAAAATACCAGGCGAATAGGAATTATTTACGGTTATAAAGTGGTCTTAATATCGTAAAATTATGACTTATGAGTAGCATTTACCATTAAGTAAAAATTCTGATGTTAAAATTACCGTTAAATTTTCCTTTAGGTGAAATACACTTATAAGTAATTTTCTTTCGTAAAAATTACGTCCGTCATAATACTTTAAAGCGTTGAAACTTAAGATTTATTAAAATAGGTAAAAATAACATAAATAAAACTTATTAAATAACTTTAAAACAAGTTTTACTTTAAGTACATTTTTAAGGTTATTTTAACAAAATATTTACTTAAATTAAGTAATATTGCCTGAAAGCTTTACGCTTTTACTTAAAATGCTGCTTGGGTTTTTAATGGTAATGTAGTTTGAATACATTAATTATTAAAAAAATGTAATGAGTAATGTCAAACACTACATTATTCATTAAAAAATAACAAATGAGTACTAAGTAATTAAAAAAAATGTGTAACAAAAGACATTACCCATTGCATCAGTGAAAAAAATGTTGATTTTCGATTTCTTTTATTTTTCGATATTTTTAAGTAGGTACCCATTAAAAATCCCTTTAAAAGATTTTTTGTTTTTTTTGCTGCTATTTTCTTTAATAATGGTCCAAATTAAAATTTGTATGCCTTAAAATTTTTGTGTTTCAAAATTATCCAAAGCATATTTGCATGCGAATTTTGAGTTTTAAAATTTTTATTTTTAAACTGTTTGTATTCTTCGATTTCCTTGCGAATTTTTTACGTTAAACTTCCACCCACCCAAGAAATTCTAAGCCGGTGTTGATAGTGGGATTATGATAATTAGGTGAGAAGGAGACCTAAACTCAAAAAAGTATTGAATCCGCGATGGTATACCATATATGAACGAATAATTAATATTCGAAATTTTGCAAAAATTGATTGGAAATAATATTGTTTAATACAGAAGTGAACTGTTAGTAAATTATGTCTTTCAATACATGATAGTTGAAAATATTTTATATTTATAAATGTAAACCTAAAATTTTTAGTTGGGAAAATTAAATTAAAAAATTATTAAATAAAAGTTAAAACGGCGTGCCATAGATTTACTTACATGGAGCATAGAACATGACCAAAACAATTTTGTTCTTTGCCAATTCCGCCTTAAAGTTTTTATCATTAAGATGTAAAATGGAAGAGCCCATATGCCAATCGCCTCCCCCACCAGTTGGTGTTGGTGCTGTCACCTTTTCAGGGTCATGCATGAAGGAAATAAAATCAGGTTCCTAAAATTTTATAAATTAAGGTCATTAATTTAGTAAATTTTCTTCATCCACTACTACACTCACAGGCAAAATAATCGATCCACACAAATTTTCGATGAATTTCAATCGCAAATAACTTTTTTATTTGATTTCAGATTTAAACAAATATTAGAGAATATTGTAGATACATTAATGGAGAATCGCTCACATTTTAAAAATTACTAAAAAATACACGTACGTTTATAATATACAGGTTTAAACAAAAAGATGTTTTTTTACCATAAGTTTAAAACACTCTGTAGAGTGGCAAAACCGTATATTGTTCTAAATTAACTTTTATTTATCAAGTCACATCTATTTTTAACAGTTTTGTTTTTGGTTCACCTTGATATATTTATTTTTGTGGAAAATATGGATTTAAAAAAAAACATTGCAATTTCCAATATTTTTGTCTGTATGAAGAACTAAGGTTGCTATGGTCCATCCATAGCCCATGGAGGGTGACAGTGACAGTTTTGTTGAATCATCCCATACTTGGACATGTCATATACATCTTTCAAAAGCTATCAAATTGTTTTTTCTAAATTAATGTGTTAATTTTGAGGTTTCTTCTTACTTTTAAAAATGTCTCTGACTGATGTTGCCCTTTGTATTTTACTTCTTGTGACGTTTAAAACACTTGCCACGTAATACTGTGACCGTCCATCCTGGATTAAATTAATGGCTCTGGCAACATCAGTCGGAGACATATCCATTTTTTAAAGTAAGAAGACACCTCAAATTTTAAACATTAATTTGCAAAAAACAATTTGATAGCTTTTGAAAGCCGTGTATGACATGTCCAAGTATGGGATGATTCAACAAAACTGTCACTGTCATCCTCCATAGGCTATGGATGGACCATAGCAGAACCTTAGTTCTTCATCCAAAAAATATTGGAAATTGCAATGTTTTTTAAAAAAATCCACATTTTCCACAAAAATAAATATATTGAGGTGAACCAAAAATAAAACTGTTAAGAATAGATGTAACTTGATAAATAAAACTTAATTTAGAACAATATACGGTTTTGCCACTCTACAGAGTGTCTTAAACTTATGGTAAAAAACATCTTTTTGTTTAAACCTGTATATTATAAACGTACGTGTATTTTTTAGTAATTTTTAAAATGTGAGCGATTCTCCATTAATGTATCTACAATAATGTATCAACAATATTTGTTTAAATACGAAATCAAATAAAAAAAATATTTTCGATTGAAATTCATCGAAAATTTGTATGGATCGATTATTTTGCCTGTAAGTGTATTTTTTCACAGTTAATATTTTTCTTGTTACAACTTACCGTTCTTCCCCCAGTGTACAATCTCGAATCCTTGTAGTAATTGAAATATTTGAACGTAGGATACCCTTTGACGTCATTGGCGCTACATATCGCTTGTTCGGTGGTACAGTCGACCGCCGCGAACGCCACCTTGTGGTCGTCTTTGAAAACGGCGGCAGCCATATTAAACTCAGGTTTTGCTTTTTTACAATGTCCACACCCTAGAAAAAATATAAACCTGCCAAAACTAATAATAAATAAGGTGTATTGTAGTATACTTCGAGTTCTAATTGATCGATTTGATCAAACAAGCACTTAAATCAAAGGTTATTGAGGCCTGTCATAGCAAAACCGACAATCTCCACTTTTGGTCAAAAATCAGATTTTTGGCGGAGACTGTACTTCAACTAATTATCTATAAGATGATAAAGTTTATGTGCTGCAAAATAAGCTAAATCCTGCCTAAAATCCTATTTTAAAAATGATATTTAGTGCAAAGTCGACAATCTCCACTGATAGATTTGCAGCAAAGTACCTATACAATCTCCAATTCCACCATTAGAAATTAGTAATTTGTGTCACCTGATATCCTAACATTTGATGTTATAACGTATTTTAGAGATTTAATTTTGTGTTTTTTTTTACTGGTACATACTGTTAAGTTCTATTGCAGTAAATTGCACTTAAAAATATATTTAAAATAGGAATATATACGTTTTATTGTTTTAAGAATTATAAAAAAGTTATCTTGTTTATTTTGTGCTATTATACCATAATAAGACGTAAAGGTAAAGCAAGAAAAGGCTGTTAATGTCAAAACATTGCAAGTAAAACATTACGGAGTAAAGTGGGAAGAAGATGATGAGTTGTTGTACCATAAAAACTTTTTTTACGAGGCAACCTGGTCCCAGATTTACAAGAAACTCCAGATTTATGCGGTCCAGTTCAGAATTTTCCCACATTGATTGTATAGTTAAATTTTATAACCATTAAAGGGAGAAAAATACAATTATTTTTTTGTTTATTTTTCTAAATCTCCTTAAACGTTTACAACAAAATGAGCAATCTCCAGCAATTCATATCAAAGTCAGCAATCTCCAATTTATAATTACAGATTTCACATATACTATGCATCCAGGAGACCTTGAGTTGGCTACTAGACTAACAACAACAATATTTCAATATAATATATTAAAAAAATTACAAATCTAGAATTTAAAATACCAAAATCAATTATCTCAATTTACTCAGTTTTAGTCTGACGGGAGATTGTTGACTTTGCTCTGGCAGGCCTCAATTGAGCCCTCTACAACTTTCTCTTGTATAATTTCGGTATCGGCTCAGTAGTTCGATACTGACGATTTTATGAAGCTGAAAAAGTTCTTTTTTTTTTTACAAAAATCGAGGTCGAAAATTTACATATCTTTCTGGGAAAGATAGAAATCGAAAAGATAATTCGAGTTTGATTTATTTTACCTATAGATTATACTTAAAGGAAAAAAATAAGGTGCTGTTTATAAAAATCCATGGATAAATGGCGAAGTTATGAATTTTTCAGTGGAAGACCAAAATTCAGTTTTTCGAGAATTTTTACGTTTTTTCTTCATTTTATTGAATTATATAAAATTTAACATTGAACATTGATTTTTATTTTAAACATTAAATATTGAAATTAAATTATATATTGAATATTAAACAATAAATATTGAATATTGAAGATATTAAAGTTTTATTTTGTTGTAATAAGCATAGGTTTGAAAAAACTCTGGCTCCTTTAAATTTTGAATAATGTTTTCGTTGAAAAAAGTACGTAAAAACTCAAAAATTTCCAAGCATGCACTTTATTCAGGTTTTCGTTAAATAATAAACATATTACATAATAAAAGAAAAAAAATAAAATAAAAATACTCAAAAAGCTGAATTTTGGTCTTCCAAAATTCATAACTTCGCCATTTTTCCATATATTTTTATCAACATTAGCCTGTTTTTTTTGTAAAACTGTCAGCTTCACGAAAAAAAATTCAAACTGGAGTTATCTGTTTGATTTAAACCTGTCCCAGGACGATGTGTAAATTTTCGACCTCAATTTTTCCATAAAAACGAATTTTATAAGTTATTAAAATCGCTAGCGTCAAAATACTTATCCTATATCAAAAGTATGTAAAAGAAAGTTTTAGAGGGCTCGAATACCTTCAATTTAAGGGCTTGTTTGACCAAATCGATCAATTAGATTTCAAGCTATACTCAAAAAGGTTAAAACACCTCCGAAAATTGAAATTATGCAGTGTATATTCACAATCCAATTTTTTTCATGAAATAACCATTTAATATTATTCTCCACGCGGTCTATAATTTAAACTTTATTGTTGTCAACATTCGATAAAGAAATACCTTGTTATGGCCTAGGCCGATAAAAAATTTTATGAGGCAAGTAATTAGTTCGTTTTTTTCTCGCTAGGGGTATTGTTTTGACAAATTAATCCTTTTCTAAGAAATTAACGTACTAAACTGGTTTAATTTATTTATAATAAGCACTAATTTGTTTGTTTTACTGTTAATGTTTAGTATTTTTCATTAAATTATTGTAAAATTAAATATGAATAATAAAACAAAAAGTGGGGTTAGGCAACCAAAAAACGCACGATTCTTTTTCTACGATTTAAATTATTTTTAAGTTTTAATTTGCTTTAAGTTTTCATTGAAATTAAATGTTAAACACAGCTTAAACATTCCAAACTACCTATTTTTTAAATAAAAATCCAAACATTGAAATTAGATACCTACCTATTTATTAAACAATTAATTGAATTCAATGTAATAACAAAAATCCATTTCTACTTAAATCATGTAGCTAGGTATTGTCAAACTATTACTGCTTCTAAAAGCAATAATAATTATTGTACATTTAATGTAATCTTTAGCTAATAAAAATAAATGAGATTCTAAAAAAGTGAGGTTAGGCCGCTTTGATGTTGAATTAAATTGACCTATATAAAGTGCTTTGAAGATAAAATGTTGTATGCCATTCGGCCAAGAAGTGCCTTTTTGTGCTTCGCTCAATTGACAACCTTGAGCTTAGCACAAAAAGCCTTACTTCTTAACCTAATGACATAAATAACTATTGTTTCACTCACATGGTGCATAGAAAATGACCAGCACGTGCTTCTTCTTCTTGAGGAAAGGCTTGTAGGTGTCCTCCTTGAGGTGCACCACGTCGCTGGCCTCGTCGGACCACGGTTTTTCCGGCGGGGGCGGCGGCGGCGGCTCTTTGGGGTCGCGCATGAAGTCGACGATTTTGTCGGCGTCGCGGACGTTCAAGTCGTACTTTTTCTCGCCGTCGGCGAAGTAGTAGATCGTCGGGTAACCGCGCACGGAGAACCGACCGGCTACCGACGGTTCTTTGGTCGCGTCCAAGGCCGCCAGAGCGCCAGTAATCTAAAGAAAAATGTCGATGCCAACAATTTTAATATTTTTGGTTTGGTTTTGTTGAAAATACACTCACAGGCAAAATAATCGATCCACACAAATTTTCGATGAATTTCAATCGCAAAAATTACTAAAAAATAGACGTACGTTTATAATATACAGGTTTAAACAAAAAGATGTTTTTTACCATAAGTTTAAGACACTCTGTAGAGTGGCAAAACCGTATAATGTTCTAAATTAAGTTTTATTTATCAAGTCACATCTATTCTTAACAGTTTTGTTTTTGGTTCACCTCGATATATTTATTTTTGTGGAAAATAGGGATTTTTTTAAAAAACATTGCAATTTCCCATATTTTTCCTGTATGAAGAACTAAGATTGCTATGGTCCATCCATAGCCTATGGAGAATGACAGTGACAGTTTTGTTGAATCATCCCATACTTGGACATGTCATATACAGCTTTCAAAAAGTACCAAATTGTTTTTTGTAAATTAATGTGTTAATTTTGAGGTGTCTTCATACTTTTAAAAATGTCTCCGACTGATGTTGCCCTTTGTACTGTACTTCTTGTGACGTTTAAAACACTTGCCACGTAATACTGTGACCGTCCATCCTGGATTAAATTAATGGCTCTGGCAACATAAGTCGGAGACATATCCATTTTTTAAAGTAAGAAGACACCTCAAAATTTAAACATTAATTTGCAAAAAACAATTTGGTAGCTTTTGAAACCCGTGTATGACATGTCCAAGTATGGGATGATTCAACAAAACTGTCACTGTCATTCTCCATAGGCTATGGATGGACCATAGCAATCTTAGTTCTTCATACAGAAAAATATTATAAATTGCAATGTTTTTTTTTTAAATCCATATTTTCCACAAAAATAAATATATCGAGGTGAACCTAAAACAAAACTGTTTATAATAGATGTGACTTGATAAATAAAACTTAATTTAAAACAATATACGGTTTTGCCACTCTACAGAGTGTCTTAAACTTATGGTAAAAAACATCTTTTTGTTTAAACCTGTATATTATAAACGTACGTCTATTTTTTAGTAATTTTTTAAAATGTGAGCGATTGTCCATTAATTTATCTACAATATTCTTTAATATTCGTTTAAATCCGACATTAAATAAAAAAGTTATTTGCGATTGAAATTCATCGAAAATTTGTGTGGATCGATTATTTTGCCTGTGAGTGTATATCAAATTTATGTCAAGCCCTTGTAGACATTTTTCACTAAGAAAGTATTAATAAGAGTTTTTACTTTCTTTTAAAAAGTCTGAATAATACTTATTAAGTCGGAAAAAGTCTGAATAAGTCTTAGTAAGTCAGACTAATAGCAAGGTTTGGGAGTCTTCTGGAAGAGTTAATAGGACTTTTTAAGACTTAATAAGACTTTTAGCAGAGAAATGGTAGGTACCTATAGCGATTAAAATAAATATCCGGAATTATTCAGAGATGTTGTATTTGGTTATTGCAAAAGAAAGCACAATGAAAAGGATTTATAAACACTGTTTTTGTGTTGTCATAAGGCTTATAAAAACACGAAAGCAATGTTTACAATATAGGTAAACAAACTTTATTTTAATTAAACAGAATATAACAGTTGGGAGATACGTTTGGTTTGTGTACATACAGATCCCTTGTTGATTAAGGACATATATAAGGTATAGTTAATATAACAATTCTTCTAAACGCATAGTCGAACTCATACACAGATTATAAAACTAATAAAACAAATATCGTTGATCTTCGAGCTGCTTTAATTGGTTCATGTGTTTTATACAGTGTTGCCGGATGAACGTCATAAAAGTTCCCGGCCAAAAATTACAAAATAGGTACTAAAAAAACTAGTTATTTTTTAAATTTACTAGCGCATTCGTCCTGTTTAAAAAAAATAATTAAATTAATTTAAAATTTTTATATAAGTAAATAAAAATGTAACAGGATAATTATTAATTATGCATTTTTAGTAAACATACAATATTATTTACTGAAAATATCTTCAGTTAGTATTTTGATCGAAATTTGCAAAATATCCGATTTTACTCGCTTTAAAATTCTACCCTCAAACATGAATGGCCAAAAATGAAAAAAAAAATGCAAAAAAACTTGTAAAAATTTAAAAAAAAAACAAAAAAAGAACTGTACCTTCTCTTTTTTAAGTCTTGCTGCTGCTTCTTCATACTCAGGTTTCATTCTCTTGCAGTGTCCACACCAAGGAGCGTAAAACATCACCATAACCGATTTATGTTCAGCAATAACACGATCAAATGAAGTTGAATCCAAGTGCAAAACTTCACTTTCAGTTTCCGACCATTCGGGTTCTTTGGGTTTTGGAGTGGCTGGCCGAGGATCTCTCATAAAGTCCACCAAAGCAGTGCGTTTGTTTTCCCCCTCGTAAACGAATTTTTGAGCCCCATTTCTAAAATAATACTATTTAATTATAAATATTTGGATAGGGTAAAGTAAGTGGCGGCCCCTCAGGGGAGGCAGTGCCTCATCATAGGGAACTTTCTATAATATACTATAAATTTTTAATATTTGGATTACATGAATTGTGAAATAGTCAATAAAATTGATTGATTTTATACGTGGAATACCCAGCAACATTTAAATTATTTGAATTTGAAACGACCGCAATTTAAACTAATATTTATAGCTAGATGATTGGCTCAGAAGCATGCCTGAACTAATTTAGACTCACGATTGGCGTTAGCCTTGTTGTCTCGTTCTATTACAATGCGATATCATAGTTGTCTCCTTCTCTCGTATTAGCATACGCGAGGCAGGCACGCCTACATCCAAGGAAATAAGCAGGTGTTGTGGCTACACTGTTGCGGAATTTTAGATAAATTATACTTCACACGTTTTTCAAAATTCGATAATAAATGGTATTATTTTTCTTATAATAGATCGATTTAATCGAAATTATATTTCTATTCTAAAATAAACATATTTTAACACTATCGCCATCTTGTAGCCATCACAGTAACCAATAAAATAAATACAGATTCCTTTTTTAGGTTTGTTTTGGTTATAAAATTCTGAACTGTTTAAAGGACAAATCTGCGGTTATTTACGCAATATTTTGTTTATTCTTTTTCTATGAGTTTGTCTATTTTATGATTCTTTTGTAAGTGGTTTATTCTGTGGGTTTAGTTAATTGAACTTGGTGATTTATGTGAATTTAGTCATTATGGATATTACGGTGAGAAATTGTAGCGATATTACACCTCACACCTCTACACCTTCCCGTGGTTCTTGCTGAACAATGAAATATTAATTAGACAAAAATGAGGTTTATTTAAAATAAACGTTATTTTTACAATAAAATAAATATTCCTTCCTCCTTATATGATATTTACAAAAACGAAATAAAAAAAATTACCTAAAACAGCAATCTTTAAAAAATATTTAACAATTTATGTTATTTGATGAAAAGTTGTGATGTTTATATATTTTTTTATAGAACTATTATTAAAAATTCAAATATTCTTATTTTTATGTAAACGTAAATAAAGTTTAAACAAACAAACTATCCTTTTTATATATTTATAGGAAAACAACTAAAATCATTAAAACAACGGCATATATAAATTTTAAATAAATAATATTCTACCTACTTTTAAAATATTTTTTGTACTTACTCATAATAAAGTATAGTAGGAAATCCAGTAATATTGTACTGAATTCTAACAGCACTGTTTTCTGGCCGATTAACATCAATTGCAGCCAAAACAGCACTGTCTTTTAAGTCATCTGCAGCCTGTGAATATTCTGGTTTTAAAGTTTTACAATATCCACACCAAGGGGCATAGAACATGATCATTAATGGTCGACTTTCTTTCCGAATCAGTTTTGAAAGATTCTAAAAATAAACATTAAAAATGTTGAAATTTTATTTGAAAAATTTTCAAGACCAAAAAGGCTTTCCTCCATGATTTTTTGTATGAATGAAATTTGGATTTAAATGACATGATTACAAAAATTTAATAACATAATTGACATTTTTTCTTTGACACTCTTTGACAAGGGTAACATATTTTGAAAATACAGGGTGTCTCAAAAGTCAAGGACAGCAGAAAGTCTTTGCTGTTTTTTGATCATTGATTAGTTATTAATAAAATAAAGTAGCCAATCACAGGCGTGCTTTAGCAGAATGATTACAGGTGGGAGAACTATATTGTGCACCTTAATATTAGAAACTCTATATAAAATCGTAGTGTAAAATTACCTTAATCATACGTTAGTTTTAACTTGAGACATTCTTTTTTTTTAGGGAAAATTGGTGTCCCTATATATTAATACAGATTAATAATCGTTTTAAACGTTGTGTTTCTTACAGAGGCGCTTGTAAGCCTAAAAGTGCTAAGAAAAACCGTTTTACTTCTCTTTTGGTAAAAATAAATATCAGGGCTTTCATTAAACTGTCAAATTTCAATTTTAAGGTTAATTTACCGTAACCCACAAATTTAAATTTGATAGTTTAATGACAGCCCTGATGGAATAAGGTTTAAAATGGTTGTTCTTAGCACTTAAAGGCCTCATTTGAGGCTTACAAGTGCCTATGTAAGAAACAACATTTAAAACGATTTTTAATCTGTATAAACATAAAAATGGCCGCCGTTAGATTCTATGCAGTGTTGCAGTGATTTTTAGTATGCGCGAAACAAGATAAAACACGGTTTGTTGTGTGGATTGTGATTAATCACAATCAAATATATTTTAACTTATTTAAAAAAGGTAAAGTAAAGTATATCACCGTAAACCTTGTATAAACTTTAAAGTTAAAATAACAAAAAGAAAAGGTAAAGTTCATTTTTTTTTATCTGGACTGCGGCAACGTTGCAAATTTAGGGTTTTGGTTGGTAAATACAGTTGTCAAGTTGGTCGCATTGATTAAAACAAACTAAGCTAGTTATAAATCTAATTGTGGTTATGTATAAATTATTGTAGGTTACATTGTGCAGTTGTCAAGTTGAGTTGTCGAAATTCGTAGTTAAAAATGCAATTAATTTGGCTTTGGGGGTGCTTGGATGAGTAAAATCATATACAAAAAATAGTTAAATATAGGTTGCTTTACAGCCCAGAAGAGAAAGTATTCCTAGCGGATAATAATCTTTGCTTTGAAAAGAATTTATATAAAAGAAATTAAAATTTTTTGTGAACGTAAATGTTGTCCAAATTCGTTACTTTTTTACTCCAAAAATGTCCATAAGGCGATGTACTTTTTCTTCCATTGTGGCATTTGGCATAATTTCATCAAAATGAAGTTTTGCACTCAAAAGGGCTTGTACATTTGAATTCGTTGCTATTATTTTTGGCATAATTATCTTTTTATTTATAATTGACAAGTAAATTATCAATAATAAATATTATGGTCAATTTGACAGTGTCAAAGTATTTAACTAAATTCTTTAGCAGAAGTACCATTTTTAAATACTAAAAATACTAAGTCAAACTGGCATAAGCCACCATCCTAACAAAAAAACACGAGTCCAGATAAAAAAATGAACTTTTTTTTAAAGAAAAGTAAAGTAAAGTATATCATCATCAACCTTGTATTAACTTATTTATTAAGTCAGTGGTTAAAAAAAAAATAACAAAAAGAAAAGGTAGGTCTATTTGTATCACACAAAAAAATGAACATTTCTCCAGAACTTAAAAAACCAAAACACTGACAATGACAGTGAAAAAATAAAATTAAGGTCTTTTCACAATATAATACGCCTGTGATTATTAATAACTAATTAATATTCTTAATAAATTTTATATTGAAAGTTCTCTAAAACCATTTAAAAAGGCTTTACTTACAGTTGCATCTGCAATGTGTAGGACGTTGTTGGCTGATATGTATTCTTCCCAAGGTAGGTCTCCAGTAGGATCCCTCATGAAATTAGTCATTGAACTGGAGGTATATTTTCTATCATAGTCTTTATTAAATTCACCATCCTTGTAATGTTTTAAGGTAAATGGTTCATTTGGTATTTTAAGTTTTTTGCAAGTTTTCTTTGCATCTCTAAAATAAAACATACAAAAAACATCCATTCCATTTTAAGGTACTCTCTTAAGAATGTCAACTTAAGCTAGACAATACTCTTTTAAGAATGCCAATTTAAGCTTAGATACTGTTTTAAAAATGTTAACTAGATATTACGTTTTTTTATAAAGTTTAAAATATTTATTTAGCTGTTTAATGGTAATTAGGCTATCTTATTGATAAAATAATTTTTTCTTTTTTCGTATTTCCCTAATTACTTACCCAGAGCAGTCAATAAGAACCATAGTCCCTATTCCTTTTATGTTTCCTGCAACTTCCTTGAACACTTTAATAACATTTTGAGATTGTTTGTAGGAGTTGTAAAAGCAAACAAGAACATTTGTTTTCGTTCGAATTAGCTTTTTAAACTCTTTTATATCAACTACATTTTCGATAACATTGTTTTTGTTCGTCTTGGCTTTACATGTTGGGGTTTGGAAAGTTATAAACTAAAAGTAACGTATTTAATTATTGTAACTTGTACTGGTAAGTAATCTTACTATTAATAATAGGAATAATATAAGAAATTTCATTTCACATTCACACCACAAAAAATACACCGGAAAACTGTGAAGTTGGAAGTCAACAGTTGTCAACAGTGCTGCCTACTTAGATGCAAAAAACTGACTACGTCATAGACCAGTATTGCCAACTTAGAAGGATTCCCATCACCAAGGATATAAAAGACAGGATAGGCAACTTTCTATTTTCGTCTCAATGATACATAAGACAGGATAGTACTAAATAAACGGCTTAAACTAATTACTAGGCTTGTTTTTGAAAGTAAATTTTTAAGAATTCATATAAGCGGTTTATTGAAATTTTTTAGTGCAGAATTAAGTAGTGAAAATTTTTCCTAATATAATTTATATTTAAGTTTGGACATTTTTAAGAAATTAGTAAAAAAACGCTAAAGAAGCATCGGGTTTTCGCAACGCGCGCGCCATCTGGTGGACTTCAAAAGCATTGCGTGAATTTAAGAATTGTCAACAATACATTTAAAGCATACGAACTGTACATCATTTTTAAATAAATAGGTAGTTTTTTCTTACTCGACAAATTTTGTTCAATTGCATAGCTAAATCGCGCACGTTATTTGGGTTTTACGTTGCAAGGAAAAAACTAAAAAACTGTTTTAGTACTCGATTTCGATTGATTATTCCTTATATCATTCAATTGATTAAGAAACTCAACGCTTAAATGCTTATATAGTTACGTTAGTGTGTGTATTTTATCTAAAGGATCATGGTGAATTATTGTGTTTTTAATTGTAAATAAAATTCAAGAACTAAATCGTTGCATTTTCATGTTTTGCCAATGAATCCAATTCGGTAAGTACATTTGTTGGTGCAGAATTAACTAATGATAACTTTACCTAATATAATTTATATTTGTTTGGACATTTTTAAAAAATTAGTAAACAATAATTTGTGCACAAACATAACCTTATAGACCAGGGTCGAAAATTTTTGAAACAAAAAAAATAACAGTAGGATGAAACCCATTGGAAAAGGAGAAGAATATAATAAAAATGAAAGGAAAAATAAATTACGGGCGATCTGACTTCGGGAAGTGGGAGGGGGGGGTTTTAAGGGTAAAAAATGGTTTATCTCGATTTCAGACAAAACTACAAGTCCTATGGAAAAAAGTTAAATGTCAAAGTTGTAGGTAATAAAAAGATCTACAACTTTTGTAATTACAATTTTTTTACACAACCTCAAAATTTATGTGAAAAATTCAAAAAACCAAGTTTTTGGTTTTTTATTTTTATCTTTTTCAAAAAAAATTTTTTTTCCACGAAATTTGGTGAAAACTTACCTTTTTATGTCCCAAATACACTGTAATTTATTTGATTTAAAATATTTATTATTTCGCCTTATTTTGACTTAATATCAAAAAAGCACCCTAATTTTCAATCGAAAATTCTCGCGTCAAAATATCAGCTTTTTTCAAAAAGTCGGTGTGCTTTTTGTTCGTTGAAATCTCTACTTTCTGATGGTGTAAAAAAAATATACATTACTATGGTAAATGTTCTCAGAAAATGCAAAAAATATTATAATGAATAACGAAAAAAACTCGAATTCGAAAATTTATTCATTATGTACAATTTCATCAAAAAAATGTGATTGTTGCAATTTTTTTTAGTTAAAAAGTTTATTTATTAAATTAAAATTAAAAAAATTAAAATTAAAAAGTTTATTTATTAAATTCTAATAACATTAAATAATTATGTCAGAAAATCTCATAAAATATAAAAATACATGTAAATCATACTATTGAATTTAGATACTTCATTCTGATTACGTTATTCATTATAATATTTTTTGTATTTTCTGAGAACATTTACCATAGTAATGTATATTTTTTTTTACACCATCAGAAAGTAGAGAGTTCATTGAACAAAAAGCACACCGACTTTTTAAAAAAAGCTGATATTTTGACGCGAGAATTTTCGATTGAAAATTAGGGTGCTTTTTTGATATTAAGTCAAAATAAGGCGAAATAATAAATATTTCAAATCAAATAAATTACTGTGTATTTGGGACATAAAAAGGTAAGTTTTCACTAAATTTCGTGGAAAAAAAATTTTTTTTGAAAAAGAAAAATAAAAAACCAAAAACTTGTTTTTTTGAATTTTTCACATAAATTTTGAGGTTATGTGAAAAAATTGTAAATACAAAAGTTGTAGATCTTTTTATTACCTACAACTTTGACATTTAACTTTTTTCCATAGGACTTGTAGTTTTGCCGGAAATCGAGATAAACCATTTTTTACCCTTAAAACCCCCCCCTCCCACTTCCCGAACTCAGATCGCCCGTAATTTATTTGTCCTTTAATTTTTATTATATTCCCCTCCTTTTCCAATGGGTTTCATCCTACTCTTACTGTTATTTTTTTCTCTTTTTACCATTTTTAAAGGCTTCTGCACTGGTCTATTAAAATCAATCATTTTTATATTTTAGTTCTCTAAAAAACGCCGAAAACTGCATTTTAAACAACAAAATATACCTACGAATTCATGGCAACATAATATTATATGTATATAATACATAATATAATGGTATTTTACCGTTGAGAGACTTTCTTAATCAACGCTTTTAATAACGCTAAATGCGGTTTAAATTTAGACGACTTATTTGTATGTTTACACTTTTCACGTTAATCACTACTAAAATGTGTATTTATTGTATCGAATAGGTACAATTTATATTTACAGAGACTGTATGCAATTTATTTCTTCATTCAGATTAACACTGTTCATTGGAAAACCGGTAAAAACTCAACCCAGGATTTCCTCTCGAAATACACCCAACAACACAACAAATCGTGCCACGGTTTTTTTCGGATATTTTTGTAATACACACGCAAACTTGTTATTTTATTAATAACTTGGTATTTAATTAATAAACACATTCTATAAAATGGATTTCCTCGACTACCTACGCTACTGAGTAGCAAGAAAATCTGGGAATCAGGTCGCAATTTTCTTTATGTTTGTTTTTAGGTAGTTACGATAAAAAGACTAGATAGAATGCAAGCAAACATGGCAATATATTACTTTTATATGAATAATAAATGAATTTAACGATTTTACTCAACTGTTATTCCTTTTATGATGATTATTATAGCTATAAAATAATAATATTTGTATTAACTCATTTGGTTATTACCATAGTTATAGTAAAATTGTTTTTCGGAAATTAAAAACAAAACAAAAATCCGTGCCTTTTTAAAGCTCAAGTTCAAAAGTTTCAATTTATCATATTGTGTATGTACCGCCTCTAAGGATCGAAGCAATCGCTGTCCCAGAATCCTTGTCAGGACCCTTAATAAAGCAGCGTTGCCATATTTGCCCTTTTTAGCAAGTTAACTAAGTACTTTCTACAAACAGCTAGCTGTTATAGGTTATAAGGAAATTTTTATTTTTATCGAAGTATATTATAATATCTGATCAAAATTTACCTACAATAAGTAGGTATTTTATAAAAAACAATTCTTAAATTATTCTACTACACTCACAGGCAAAATAATCGATCCACACAATTTTTCGATGAATTTCAATCGCAAATAACTTTTTTATTTGTTTTCGGATTTAAACAAATATTAAAAAATAATGTAGATACATTAATGGAGAATCGCTCACATTTTAAAAATTACTAAAAATATACGTACGTTTATAATATACAGGTTTAAACAAAAAGATGTTTTTTACCATAAGTTTAAGACACTCTGTAGAGTGGCAAAACCGTATATTGTTCTAAATTAAGTTTTAATTATCAAGTCGCATCTATTTTAAACAGTTTTGTTTTTGGTTCACCTCGATATATTTATTTTTGTGGAAAATATGGATTTTTTTTTAAAACATTGCAATTTCTAATATTTTTCCTGTATGAAGAACTAAGGTTGCTATGGTCCATCCATAGCCTATGGAGGATGACAGTGACAGTTTTGTTGAATCATCCCATACTTGGACATGTCATACACGGCTTTCAAAAGCTATCAAATTGTTTTTTGTAAATTAATGTGTTAATTTTGAGGTGTCTTTTTACTTTTAAAAATGTCTCCGACTGATTTTGCCCTTTGTACTGTACTTCTTGTGACGTTTAAAATACTTGCCACGTAATATTGTGACCGTTCATCCTGGATTAAATTAATGGCTCTGGCAACATCAGTCGGAGACATACTTATCCATTTTTTAAAGTAAGAAGAAGACCTCAAAATTTAAACATTAGTTTGCAAAAAACAATTTGATAGCTTTTGAAAGCCGTGTATGACATGTCAAAGTATGGGATGATTCAACAAAACTGTCAATGTCATTCTCCATAGCCTATGGATGGACCATAGCAACCTTAGTTCTTCATACAAAAAAATATTGGAAATTGCAATGTTTTTTTAAAAAATTCATATTTTCCACAAAAATAAATATATCGAGGTGAACTAAAAACAAAACTGTTAAGAATAGATGTGACTTAATAAATAAAACTTAATTTAGAACAATATACGGTTTTGCCACTCTACAGAGTGTCTTAAACTTATGGTAAAAAACATTTTTTTGTTTAAACCTGTATATTATAAACGTACGTCTATTTTTTTGCAATTTTTTAAATTGTCAGCGATTGTCCATTAATTTATCTACAATATTCTTTAATATTCGTTTAAATCCGACATCAAATAAAAAAGTTATTTGCGATTGAAATTCGTCGAAAATTTGTGTGGATCGATTATTTTGCCTGTGAGTATATAAAAGCAAACTATTTTTTATATAGAATGCGCATAATCTCGAGTGTAATACTATACTTTATCTACTCCCATAAGTAGATAATAAAATGATTAAAAAAAATATATATATATAAGTAAAATTTGTCATATGTTATTTAACTTTGAAATATCTCAGTTAGTATGCATTTTACGAAAAAATGTTTAAAATAAAAATTAAATGATTCGAGGGGGGAAATCAATCAGTACTAAAATCATACTCTCCTTCTTATAGGAGGAACAGGGGGTAACTTTAAAATTTCCAATGGAGATTGCAGATTCGTATCATTCGACTAAAAATAGGTAGATTTTGTCTAAAACAATTTTTCATATATGTAATAGATAACGCT